CAACGACACAATAACAACGACACAATAACAACGACACAATAACAACGACACAATAACAACGACACAATAACAACGACACAATAACAACGACACAATAACAACGACACAGAGGCTGGCACTTGTTGTGCAATCGGATATCTATCTGTGCGGACCGTATCTGTGAGTGGAGATGTCCAGCGTGGCGCATCTACGACGATCTAGAGTGCGCCGGACGTATCGCGGTTGGCAAGTCCAAACAACAAATCGACCGTCTTCCGGGGAAGCTTGACTCGACGGATGTAGGGGTTATCATGATGTAGAAATATTAACATGTGAGCAAGACACACAATTTGAATGCTAAAGGAGCATGTGGACGGAGGAACGGCTTCATCCTCTCCAGCCTATCTCGACAGGTGCGAGGTGTTCATTTTGAGGAGGCGGACCCTAGAGGTTACAGAATGTTTGTGTTACATAGTCCATCCTGGGCACCAACAGTGATCGAAGTTCATGAACCTCTAGTATGATGAGCTGTCCATAGTGTCTTTCCCCTGAGCCCATCTCCAGCTAGTAATTGGTTCCCAGCACTTACAACTGTTCTAGGTTTGCGCGCGCAGTCAACAACAGGATACTCGTTGTTGAAGTAACCGTCCATGTCTATCTCAGAAACAGTGGCTGTCATTCCTAGCCAAACAGGTCAGCGACTGTGTAAGCTCCTGCTTCCTTGCTGACGGATGCGGAACGGCAAACACCAGGTCCTTCTTCGAGATCGCTTCTGGGGGGAATTGCGTTCTTGATATCCTCTGTGGAAAAGTGAGTGACTGGCTTCGGAGGTAGGATAGGGCTGTGGGAGGCGTCGTTCAGGGTGCTCGCAGCGTGCAGCTTCAGTGGTGTCGTACAAGGACTCGGACCAGCACGGAACGTGAAGGCTGGTGTCGCTGCATTGACGTGTTCTTCCAATGATTGAGTACCCATCTCTGCTTGGTCAGTCGCAGGACGAGGAAAAAGGTGACGCTCGAGGATCGCAGCAAACGCTGGACATAAGACATGATTGTGCAGCATATCAGTGGCTGCCAGAGGTGTCGGTTGTCGCAGTAATCGAGGAAGAATGATACGTCGCGTCGTCTGCTCCAGGATATCGGCGGAGGAACCTCGTGTCCCCAGGCGAAGGAGTAGTATGTTGAGAATCGGGGCGAGTTCCTCCTCGCTTGCCGCCCATATGAGCTCTCGCAGTTTTTGCGTCTTTGCACCCTGCTGCTCCTGCTCATATTCATCTCTTTGCTGCCTGAAGATGGCCTCCTCCTTTTGCAGCTTGTCCATGTTCTCCTGGAGAGATTTCTCCCTCCAGCACAGGTCCAGTTCTCTTTGCGCCAGGTTCTGCTTCTCTCCCGCAAAGATCCACCTTTCTTGATCCAGAGTCAATTTTTCTGCTCTCCAGGCTTCTTCGAGAACCTCCGCTTTTCTTTCGAGGGCCCTCCGGTCGGCATCCAATCTATCTTCAGCGGCTTGCACCTCGTTGATCAGAATAAGCTGTACAATTTCGTCTGTTGTTGGTGCATGATTCTGACTTGGAGCTCTAGATGGGTCTCTGAGGTTGCTCGCATCCAATGTCGACACGTATAGCGATGCACTCACGTCTGACCGGCGGTCACGAACAGGAGAACTGTGCTCAAGTAACTCATCGACCGTTGCAAGATCGTCAAAGTAGCGGTTGGGTGGCAACTCCGGGAGAGCTGGGTGGTCCGCATCAAAGAGCGACAGGAGAGTCGAAATGGGGAGGCCAGGCCCGACCATGTCGGTGGCGGACTTTCCCAGTCCCAGTGTCGGAAGGAGCCCACGATCTACTCCAGCCAATATGGAAGGGATATGTGCGAGACCTGTTCGTCAGAAGGAGCAGGGACAAGACTTGCTTGATCGAAGGCTGTTTTGTTTTGACAGTCGACGGCGTGGAAGGCCATCACTGCCTCAGTGCTGGGTGAAGTCACAATAGCAACGAATCCATGGTGACCGCCTTTCGCGCAGTCCCAGTTCACCTACAGGAAGTGGCCTTCACTTGCATATACCTTGGAATTAGGTCTCGCGATGTTGGTTGTGCCTCCCTCTGCAAATGTGACCATCAGCTCAAGGAGGCAGAGTTGCCATGCCCTTCCGCATCTCTGCAGATATGAGTCCACCTTTACACAAGAGATGGACCCATTTGAGGGTGGCCGTGGTGGAATCGCTGCCTAGAGAACATTTTGATGTGCTTTCACGGTTGGATGAAGGTACGGAAGCGAGCTTCTGCCTAAGAGCTGCGTTCCAATGGGACTGGGTATGCTACACGACGACACTGGCAGAACAATTGAGACATGCGAGCGAAGAAAGTCAACACCAACACGGGAACGAAATGAAGATAGGCGATGAATGGAGTATGAGAAGATTTCACCGAGTTCGAGGCCGTTGACTCGAGTTCCCAGCCAAGCGTCTGTTATGTAAGCCGCGTCTGTCTCGTCTAACTCACCCACTACTCGTACTGTGTACTTCGGCGCGAGTATACACCTCGCCGGCGAACAACTTGTAGCCTGTGCTTCTACCTGGCGCTCCAGGAAACCAGTCAGAAGGATCGCCGGCGCAGCAGAAGATCCGCAGCTCTCCGGATAGGGTATCTATAAGAGACAACGAGCAGCGAACGACGCCATATCAAAGCAGAGGACATGAAGTCGAAGGTTCAGTTTTCTATTCGTCTTCAGACACTATGTTCAGTCAATGCTCCAAGAGCTAGGCTACCTCAGCTGTGCGCGCTGTACCGCATCTCCAGCAATGTTTCATGTGTTTGATCTGGTTCAAAAACCCCTTCGAAGCTCGTTCCATCAATTCAGCTCAATTGCACTCATTCAGATTTCGGTCGATCCCTCATATGGACACAATCGATTGTTCGTGTTCGAGTATGTAAAAGGTCGCAAGTCTTATCAGACACCAAGAGACCATGATCGGAAGAATGTGCTGCACGACTTGCCCAATGCCGCAAAAAGAGACGAGACTCGGTCGAGTAGAGAGGCTCCAAATGCCTGTAAGTCTGCGCGTTGGTCCGCGCATGGAAAAAAAGTGTGGTAACGATTGACTCGGGTTGGGAAAGGAATGACAGGCCATTCTCGGCCTCCTTTTCGTGAAATGTCGTAAACTGTGCATCAACAAATACCGTACCAAGCAAGGCCCAGTTCCATGATTCGTCATGCTCCAAACGCCGAGGCGCTGTTCATAAAGCCGTTAAGTGGGTGATGCGATGCACACCTTTTCAGTTTGGGATCTTCTCCTTCGATCGCCAGAACAGCATCAGCTTGCTAAGCCGATTGGTCTTCTTCCTGCTCTTCTCATCCAGCGCAGCAGCGTCGGGAACCGTCTCAAATTTGAGCTTGCTGCCATGTGATGACCCAGGTATCAGACGGTTGAGGCTGGCCAAACTAGATCGCTTCCACGCCTGACTGTTGTCCGATCTCCTCGAAGTCGACGGCACAAACACGGACGCCGATCGTTGTTCGCCAGAAGATCTCGTACCCGCGCTGCTTGAGATTCTGGGGATGACGCCACTGGAAATGCTGTCACTGAGAGAAGGAAGATCGTCATTCGAGGCACGAAGGACCATATCGGGGCTCGGCTCTCCCAGGGATCGAGATGGCGGTGACATGGTATCGAACGAGAGATGGTCGGCATCTGGAGAAGAGATCATTGAAGCCGAGGTTGTACGACCATCCATCGACGAGGTATAATGTGACTGAGGGGCTGGATACGCAAAAGTCATCGGCGAAGACATGGGTCGCTTTCGGGACTCGAAATGGTGGAAGACAGGAGCCTCAATTGTCGCATTAGATGATCGGTTGTCATCCGCTCGACAGACGTCGTCCTCTGAGTCCACAATAATGACTCCGTCTCCAGGGTTCTCGCACATGGACAGGCCAAGGCCATCAGTGGCTTCCATCTTGAGGCTGGCTAGAGGTGGCGACGGCGCTGGCCCTTCTGGACCCGGCCTGCTAGTGGAAGGCTGCCGTGCAGCATTCTCTCCAGCCAGAAAATTGTCCTCCTCCTCTTCATCAAAGACATCGTCCGACAGAGACGCATTGCTCCCGATGTGATGCAGGCCAAAGGTACTGCGGTTCACAGCCGGCATCACCGGTGCTGATTCCGTCCGCCTATGGACTGAACCGAAAGCATCGACTGCCCCTCTGCGTTCACTGCTATGAAGCTTCGCCAACCGTGGGGGATGTTTCATGGCGCCATCTTGTACGAGCTTCTGCTCGCTTCCAAAGGGACCCAAGGCAGCATCTAAATCGATGACCGGGCTGGTGATTTGCTCTTCCGGTGGAACTGAAGGCAATGGAGCAAGGTTTTGCAACGAGGCTCGAACCCGAGTCGACACTGGCGAAGGCTCTCTGATTACGATCGTATCATCCGCATCAAAAATCTCGTTCAAATGGTCACTGGGGGTTCTCGTCAATGGTGGCGGTGCCGGCACTGTCCCTCGCTTGACCTTGCTGGAGCGCTTCTCGGACTTTCTCGAGAAGATTCCAGATGTCCATGTGTGGTATTTCCGCTTCTTGGACATCGAAGCGTCCGATGAGGTTCGTGGCCGTAATGCGTCCCCCGACGGCCGCGAACTCGCGGCTGGCGAGCTGAAGATGTCCATAGGATCGCCACCCTCGGCCTGCGGTGTGGTCAAGGGGGAAGTGTGGGAAGGATGATTGAACCAGAAATATTTCTTCTTGTTGGGAGGGCTGCTTGAGCTCAGAGTCCCAGGTGACCCAGAAGCAGACAGTGGGCGTTTGGGAAGGTTGATCATCGCCAAGGTCTTGTCTGAGGCCAGACCCTGCGACAAGGTAGAAAGAGCATCCGCTGTCCTCGGTCTTTCTGGAGAGACGTGTGCATCATTTGACGGGCTAACAATGAGTGTTGGGTTGGGTGTGGGACTCGCTGCTATCGAGTTGATGCTGCCAGAGAGAGAATGACTTCCTCGAATGGTGGAGTTGCTCCCTTCTGTCTCGGAGGAGATCATGGACAACGGTCTAGGAATAACATCCACATGATCGGAAAAGCCGACGCGAGGACGAATACCTGGGGCACTACCCCGGCGTGGAGGAGACGAAGGTGGAGTTCTGACAACACCTGACATGGACTGTCGCACGTGTGCACTGCCTCGTGGAAACACGAAGGCCTCTGCGCCGTCAGAAGGTGTCGTCGGTGTAGAGCCGGCCCGTGCCTTGGCGACAGCATTGGCTTTGATCAGTTCAGATGTGTCGATATCGGAAATGGAGACGGCCTGAGAACGACGGTGCACATGTCCTCTGACCCCGGACATAGGTGGATGGGGTCGATATTCCGGTTTCTCAGGACTCGTACTGACCATCTGGGGTCCGTCAGTCCTCCCACCACCAACAAATTCACTTCCACCTCTTCGATGACCACCTCGAAGGGACTGTTGGACCTCGTTGAACCCTCCTTTTGTCGGGCTAGGAGATGCTTGTTCAGGTGCAGGACTCGGGTTGAATGTGAAGGCGGGCAGAGGGGCAGGTCTCGCAGAACGAACGGCACGCTGTTGATTGAGAGCCATCTCCTGCAACACTGGGTGTGTCGGGCTTGGACTTCGCTCAGAGGGCAGATCTGCCCCGGGATTGAACTTGAACTCTGGGAGCGGGAGAGGCTTTGGAGGATGACGACCAGGCTCACCCATCGCATTGTTCACAGCTTCCGTCGGTGAATCCATCCCTTCCCTGCCTACAGCGTTTTCATCTCCGCCGGGATTGAAGGAGAACTGCGGTAGCGGAGGAGGAGCATTGGGATTCCGTGAAGCTCTCCGTCTGTGAGCTGGGGAGGATCGAGGTGGACTGCCAGGAGCTGATTCGAATGGAGACAAGACCGGGACGGAAGCAGGCAGAGAGATTGAAGTCATAGTTCAATAGAGCCACCGCCGCCCAAGACTAATAGTAGTATCGTTGTTCTGGCCAGCAGGAAGGTGCGACGTAACGCGTTGGAGGTGTTCCCGCACCTTGGATAACTCTGAATGCGGCGACCCCAGCAAAGGAACGATTACCACCATTAAATAGGGTTGAATGGGCACGTATGGGTGCAGGACGTCTGCGAAGGAATGACTCGTACAAGCTGTATCTGAAGGAGGTCAGAACCGGTGTCTGGAGTTGTTTGCTATTGCAGGTGGTACCTGAGAAACAAGTCTCGAGCCCGATGTTGAGATGTCGAGGGTCGCAGCCGAGCTGGGAGATTGGGATCGGACGGGCCGAAGGGGTGCAAGAGGAGCGCGAGTTGTTGGCTGAAGGAGTGGACGGCTACCTGGAAGAAAGACCGATAAAGGTACTTCCTTCGAACAGGAGCCACAAGGCGACGAGAGGCCTCTTGAGGTAGAGGAGGAGCGGCGGGAGGAGGCGGCGGAGGAGGTGGTGGTGGTGAAGAAGAGCGCAGACGGTGGTGAGAGGAAAGTCAGAGATAGAGCGGCAGATTAGCCACGCAGGACGCAGTTTGGGTGCGTTTGGTCAGCTCGTGCACACACAGTCCACCTGGAAACCTGGCCGCTAACCCGGGCGGGCAGGGTCAGGTCCTCGAGCTGTCTGGTTGCCTGGCTTAGAGTTGGATGGATCCACGCAGGTGCCCTTTTTAGGCGTGCCCAAGCGAACTCTCGGTGGCTTCACCAGCCGTCGCGGCATGTCACCAGTCCCGTTTAGGCTTTGCATTCTCGTTGCCGGTGGGTTTAAGCCTGCCGGCTCCTCCTGCCCACCAACTGCAGTGGCAACTCGCACGCACATCTATGGGGCAGTGTGATATCCATTGCGACCACGTTGCGGCCTCCAATGAGACCACGGTGCCCCGACTGCGTCCTGCGTATGTACTCGTATGCTATGGTCGTGCTGACGTGCGCACCAATGAAGAGCGGAATGTCTGCTTGCCATCGCACACCACGACCACGGGCTACCCCTGCATTTGCGCGAGCAAGGCGCAGAATCCCCAACGGCCTCTTTCGGCACAGCTATCTTCACCTGCAGAGGGAGTATTTTGGGTGATCACTGATTGACATTGACAATTTCGTAGCTTGACCCGAGAAGCGGCCATGTGATGTGCTGGCAGACGGGTTTGATGAAGCGATGAGACGGGTCGGCGCAGCCCTTGCCTATCCAAATGAGCCCAATCTTTACGAGATTGGTACTTTCCCCTGCCCCCCGACGCTGTTCCCACAATCGCTTCGGTGCTTGTGCACCTGGTGAAACCTCTCGGGTCGACTTCGTCTGTGTTTGATTGTGGTTCGGGCCATCCATTGCCATGTCAAACTGCATCAAACAGCAAGCAATCTGCTCGCCAAAGTGAAGGCGATCGTCGAGGATCCGCGCGAAACAAGGCACCCAAGCATCCCGTGTCTGTTCCTGGCGGAGTCAAAGCTTACGAGCTAACGCAGGAACCATGCTCACTGGAGCACAGGAGTCCACCAGCGATGAGGAGGCTTTTCATCCAGACCGTCTTGGGACACGCCCTCTTCGTATCCGTGGACTCGTGGCTTCTTGACGAGCAAACAATTGTGCGCGGATGCTGCCGTTCGAATCGGCTCGACCGCTTGACATTCGCCCAAGAAAAAGTGTCTTGCTCTGACAAGGGAGCAAACGGCTGTGCGTCCAGCCTGAAACTCGCTTCGTGTGGTCACCTCGACAACAGCATCTTGAATCTCGGTTGCTGCTGGATAGCAGATCCAGTACCCACGCGAGCATTGTGGCCACACCCAGTACTTGGACTGGTTACAAGTGCCCGGGGGCAGCTACACCGCATCAAATTGTGTGGGGAAGGCTCTTCATTAGGTTGACTTAGCGATCATCCATCGCCGTAAGCTGGACGTGCGAGATCCAATAATGCCACTTTCGCCTGGAACATCACGTCAAGACGCCCTCGGCGCTCACCACGAAGCCGACGGCGTGCAGCTAGCAAAGAACTTTGGTTCGTGCCTTGTATTGCTAGTTCCTTGGTCTTGCTGTGCGTGCATATCCTGCTCATGCCGACGGATAGAAAAAAATTCTCCTGCATACGGCCTGCAGGTCGACACACCACATTGACTGATTTGAAGCTCGCCTCTTCTTCCCGTTTAGTTGCTGAACCAATTGGGACAACCTCAGTTGATCCTCTAACGTGTCGCAGCTGGCCCGAAATCTCTAGACCAGGAAACCACGCGCCCGCGGGGCTGCTCGAGTACGGAGTACTCGTATCACTGCTCGCTAAATTCCCTCTTACTCGAGACGGGAGATTCCAACAGCGACGTTTGACTCGTAGCACACCGGAATATCTGACTGGACTGATTGGAAACACAGCAAACAAGTCAATCTCGGGGGATTCTCCGGAAGCCGCTCAATCCGGGTGACATTTCCTCACGTAGCACAACATTCAGAAAATCACTGCCCAGCCTGCCCGCTTCTCCCGCAGACTCCGGTTGATGGTTGAATCCGTCAGTCCAGCTCTCTGCGCGCCAAAGTGATGCAATGGCTCCGGCGAAGCAGCAGAAGGATAGAAGCAATCGAACCCGTCAGATCAAGCCTCACCACGGCGACACAAGCCAGAGGGCGGCACCCCAGCAGCGCCTCGAGAATGACGCCGCCGCCGCCGCCGCCTTCGCCTTACCGATCGAACTACAGCAGATGATCCTTGACATCTTCCGCCGGGCATTCCCATTCGATCATGATCAACGCGACCTCCGAACCACCATCCAGGAGGTCAAAGGCCACCTCTTCCAGCGCGATTTTGCTCGTGCATTCGCCAAGCCAGAATATCTCGATGCCTATGCACTGAGGTGGAGCGCCAGCCGTGCACTCGGGTACGCGAGCATTTTCTTACACGGCGACCTGCAGCAGGCATGGAGCAAACTTCGTGCACCTACGGCGCCGGCCCGGACTGACATGGCAGCATCGGCATCGCTTTCAGACTCATCATCATCGCCAGGCGAGCGACATCCAGCTCCAAGCGCTTGTAGCGTGCTCTGCATTGGAGGCGGAGGAGGGGCCGAAGTGGCTGCATGCGCGGCTGCAGCACGGACAATCCTGCCGCCATTGGCCAAGATGAATGTCCACGTCGTCGATATCGCAGACTGGTCATCATGTCTGCAGAGTCTCGAGACTGCATTCTGCACGCCGCCTCAATTGTCTGCCTATGCAAGTGAAGGCGCGAAGGCGGCGAATAGAGCGTTCGTCTCATCTGACTCCTTTGACGTCCTCTTTTCGCAGCATGATATCCTTGGTGTCAGCGAGGCGGATTTGGCACCCATGCTGCAGGACGTGCATCTCTGCACCATCATGTTCACGCTAAACGAGCTCTTCTCGGCCTCCATCACGCGAGCGACGGCATTCCTCCTGGCGCTTACGGAGTCCATTTCTGTGGATTCGTGGCTACTTGTCGTGGACAGCCCCGGGAGCTATTCGGAAGTCAAGCTTGGTACAGGGGACGACTCCAAGACCAAGGAGTACCCGATGAAGTGGCTGCTCGACCATACGTTGCTGGAAGTGGCGCGTGATGGTGACAACAGTAAGTGGAAGAAAGTCGTGAGTGATGATTCGAGATGGTTCCGTTTGAATCAGCAGTTGTTGAAGTATCCCATCGAGCTGGAGAACATGAGGTACCAAATCCATCTGTATCAGCGGGTCTGATGTCCAGCCTGGTCGACATGGCCGATGCTCAAACAGAGATCAGGAATATGACGGCGCCGTAGGTGGCAGCGCCGAGGGTCGCAAGCTCACAGCGGAGGTCATGACATCCCATCTCACGCAGGCACATAGAATGCTCAATCCTGGTCTACCAAGGCCAAGACACTGGCTTGTCAAAGCATGTCAAAGCATGTCCCTGGTCCTGAGCTCACAGCAACAATTCATGTTGAAAACTAGACCGTTCGCTTTAATTCGGGTCTGCCTACGTTTGCAGCTTTGTGCCCATGTAGATTGATGCCTGCCTTTGCAGCTTATCGTCGTCTTGTAAATCGAATACCTGCCATTGCAGCTTTTCGTCCACTTGTCCTGCAGATTGAACGCCTGCCCAACCTGCAGGGTATGTACTCGTACTTGTACCGTGTAGATGCGGTAGACTAGGTACCGAGTAAAGTAGACCCCGTTGCCGAACCGTTCGCCATTCAACCTGCCGCTTCAGCCGTCCGCAGTCTCTTGCATGGACATTGATTGCTTCACTTTTCCGATACAGCACTCGTGCAACGATCGCACATCGCACTTGTTGCCCTCGTCAGGCCGTCCTGCAATGACATCGGAATCGAAGTTCGAGAATCAGGGTTCGGTCTGATTGAGAACAGACACGAACCGACACGGGTATAGACACGGACAGAGATACAGAGGGTGAACCGCCACAGTACAGTACCCAGAGTACAGTACCTAGAATCTAGTATAGTAGCGTACAGTAGAGTACCATCGTCATACCTCAAAGGCTGAAGTGTAGTGCTCCGTACCCACTCGAGATTATCTTCGTGTAGAGCAGAACGGAGGGTTGACTCTTGCGTAACACGACGGTATGTACATAGCAGACCGGTCCTGGTCCTGGTCTTGGTCCTGGTCCTTGTCTTGCCCTGGCGTGGTACATCTGACTATCATGAGCTTGCAGCACGCGGCTCGGACACCAGCATCGGCACGACTAAGTGACATGACACGAGCGGTACCTCTAAACCGCACGAGTAGATGTGCCTGTCTGTCTACCTACACGGTAGCTAGGTAGGTACTCAACTAAAGTCGCATGTCACCTACACCCCCCACGGTACGACGCTCGCAAAAGGGGCATTGGTCACAGATTTCGCTGGGATGTTGTCGGCTATAGGAGGTTTAGATGGAACCGCCCACTAACTACCTGGTAAGTTTGATCGCTAACAAGGGTTCCAGCACTTGTCGTGGATTACAAGGTACTGTACGGACAGGACTGATTGACTGATTGACTGACTGCCGGCCAGACGGGCTGGGGGGAAGTCGTAATGCGACGGGCCGATGCAACAAACAACGAACGAACGGAACACGGACATGGACATGAAACTTCGACTTGGACTTGGACACGTATGGCGCTTTGATTCCAGCCTGCCTGATTCATTGCTGACTGATATGTAGGTCGGACCAATCTCTACACATCCCTTTCCACGACTGGAAGTTGGACACTGTTGAGTTCACGTCAGACCTCGAGACCAGAAGGCCACTGAATCTCTGTGAATCCCTGAGACCAAACAAGCAAGCAGGGCTGCCTCCGTGGGCCGCTCATACCCGTACCCTCTGGCTTTAACGAAGAATGTGCGCGCAGAGACGACACAACGCCTCGAACGATACCCATGCGTGCGTGCGTGCATCTTCCGTCCTTGTCCACCATCCAGACGATGTCCAGCACGCCACGCCTCGCGAAGGTCTTTTGTCTTTATTTCATTCGACGAGCTGCCTACGCCCGCTCTCCGCACCTCCCAGCCATACCCGCCGTGTATGGCATCTCTCGGCGCCACATCTAATCCTCATCCTCATCGCCCTCGTCATTGACGACGTTGAAGAAGCGTAGCTCGTAGACGCCTTTCGACGTAGAGACCACACGCAACCAATCTCGGAGTTGTTGTTTCTTGAGGAATTTCTTGGTCCTACGCACCACCATCCACGTTAGCCGCTTATTCACAACCATATCATATCACATCACACCACACCACACCACATCAAAACACAAGTATAGTTCTTGCTCCACATCGACGCTGGCTGGGTTCACCACTCACAGATACTTCAGATAGCGGCCCGAGAATGGGATATGGGTGACGACCTCGATCTTGCCATCGCCAACTTGCTTGATGTCGATGTTGTCGCCGAGATTGCCCGTCCGGCCCTCGACCTTGATGCGGTCGTGCAGGAACTTCTCGAACGCGCTGAGGTCGAAGATCTTGTCGCTGACAGGTTGCGAGCAGTTGATCGTGTACTGCGGTCACAATCTCAGGTTAGCGGTGTTCGCAGGTATAGGACAGGGCGGGTCCGAGTTGGAGTCACAGTCGCAGTCACCATTACGGTCGCATCCGTAGACGTAGATGTGGACTAGATCCGAGACATAAAGTAGACCGGTTGAACGAAACCAATCGAATATAACAGTAGGTTCAAACTTGTGTCATATAGAACGGATAGAGGAAACATGCACACGTACCTTATTCGTAACCTTGGCGCCCTTGACGGCCTTGCCGCCCTTGGAAGGGGCAGCAGCCTTTTGCGCAGTCCCGCGAGCCTATCCTCCGCCGAAGAACGAGAACCTTAGCCTACTGCATGCTTTGTGCCCCGTCGAGTCGACGTCGAGTCGCAGAATCGAAACGAACAGACTAGGGGGAGCTTGCCAGCAAAGCCATTCCGTTCCGTTCAACTCGGCTCGGTTCGCTGGAGTCGCCCAGGGAGAAGAGTAGCGATGCTTACCTTGACGGCGGACATTGTGAAAGTGTGAAGAATTGGGGGTTCGAGAGAATGGAGGAAATGGGTCGGCAAGGAACGAGGATGGAACGGAGAGGTCGCAAAGAAGTTGATATCCTGCGCCTTTGATGGATCGATGGGTGGACGGGTGACTGTATGTTGCGACCTGCCGCTTGAGGAGGGAATCGAAAAAAGTTGGGATTGTGCGTGTGCGGAGCTGCAGAACTCGCCGCAGTTGCCTGATTGGGGTGGGAGGCTTGGCGGGGATTTGGCGCTTCCGATACGAAGTACCAGCACAATTGTTACTCTCTTGGAAGCATTCACAACACTGATCGAATGGACTTGCTTCATAGGTAGGTATCACTGCCAGAGCAGTACGATCCGGGTCCCTCGACTTTACTCCGTGTTCTCGTCTGCCTCGAACACAAGTTGAATATCCATTGCAGCACAATCAAGTTCGATTTTCAGTACAAGCCGAGTCGCAAAGACCGTGGATCTCATATCAACCAGCCACCCAGACACGTTGACCCTATGCATCATCGTTGTTTGGAACACCATTCCCAAGCATGAAGCCCATGACATCTCCTAATCCGATTTGCTCCTCTGTGCGCCTTGCCCTGTCATATCGAATTCAAGTCATTCCAGCGAGTCCTGACCAAAATACAGCCATTTTGCATCATTGTCGAGATTCACGCCCAGCTCCAAGTCCTACCATAATCACACCGTGCGTAACCAGTCCAGATGCCATGTCCATGTACAGAAACAGAATCCCGCGCGGTCGTGACTGAGTCCACAGATGCCGGCATGTTCGCCATCATTGCCACTTCAGAATGAAGAAAGGGGGTTCGCGACCGTCACATCATGGCAGCGTAATCACAGTGAAATGCTCACACTCAGGTGGTAGTGATGAGTCTCGCAGCACTATCGCTTGACGCTGACTGGGCCGTGGCTGGCACTCCCAACGCGACCACTCGTCTTTCGGACCTTCATCTTATCTTCTCCGCCACTGCGACGAGGAGACTCGCGGATGGATCTGGTCTTCGCAACGCCCATGGCGCCCATCCCACTCGCGGATCTCGGGGTCTTGCGGATGGTCTCAGCCTTCTCACTTCGGGTGCTAAGTTTCAGATTCTCCTGTTCCTGTGCGAGCTCATCCCAGATGGCATTGGTATCATCCATCCGAAAATTTACGTCGCCATCGTCTTCGTAGATGCCCATGGTATCGCCAACGTCGAATGACTTGGTCACTGTCGTGGTGGTAGTGGTGTATGACACGCTCCTAGCCTTGCCCTTGCTACTGGGACTCTTGCTCTGGCTTCGGCGTGATGCTGCTCTCTGAAGAATGAGCTCCTCTTCGCTATCCAGGCCGCCTGTGCTCTGTCGGTGAATCTCGCTGGTGACGACTTCACCTTCAGACTTGTTTCCGTTGACGCGCATAGCGCCAGAAGTTGATCGAGAATATGGGTGCTGCCGGGGATCCATACGAGCATACTTTCTGGGCTGACCGGGCGTAGGGGCTGGCAGGTTCTCGTCCTGGTAAGCGGTTGCTACATCATTGCCGTCGATCTCTCCGAGTGCAGTCCGCTGAGCACTGGATCGTTCTGGAGTGGCCGTCTGAGCACCACTCGAAAGGCGCACGGGTGTCTTGGTCGAGAGGCCGCGGGGCGTCGACGGCTTAGAAAGCTCCATCTTGGCCTTCCATTGATCTTCCAGGTACCACTCGCGGAATTGTCCTTGGTTCAGGTGAAGCCAATGTTGTTGTGGGCCAACCACCATGCCCGGACGCATAAAGCGCATGAAAGAAATGACTTCGTTCGCGGTGAAGCCGTGGCGATAGATCAGGTAAGCGCCAATCAAGCAGCCAGTCCTACCAAGACCAGCCTTGCAGTGGACGGCGATGCCCTTTTTCTTGGCAATCGTGTCGCGGGCAAGCTTGATGAATTTTCGGACGATGGGTAAGGCAGGACAGGTTCCATCTTCAAAGATCATATCGATGTGCTGGATGCCAAGGGCGGTGAAGTATGTTGGGCAATAAAGCTCCGAGTTGAGTCGCACGACCAGACCAACATCACGTTGGACGAAATGGGTCAGGACGTTCTTGAACGGCTGAGGTATTCTGGCGTGCTGGATCTCCGGAACGCAGGAAGGCAGGGTCGCATATGCCGGCGAAGACATAGGAATGGGGGCGACAGGCTCCGACTGCGGCGACGCAAACGCAACGAACTGAGGCGAAACCCAGTTGAAATCACCTTGGTCGACTCGCTCATATCGCTCATACCTAAGAGGAAAGTTAGCATGTGTGCTTTGTCTGTGGACTGTAAAGACATACTCTTCGAGGTTGAATTCCTTCAGCTGGCACAGGTTCTCCTCTTTGGCCTTCCAAACCCCGTAGACGATATCTTGGATGTTCAGGATGAAATCTGCCTGGCTGTATCCGGCATCTCTGAATGGCATGTAGGGAGGGTCTGCCTGTGCAATGGGTGCCAGAGCTAGATGAGGAGGCCATGCTTGGATCAAGACCATGTAGCACGCGACCAAACATGCGGCATTCGCGCGGCTTCTTGCGTCAGCTCTGCTCCAGAACACCACCGCCTTGTCATTGTTGGCCGGGTCCCCCAATATCTCGTGAAATTGCACTGCGAATCGGTAGAGGTGGCCGATGTGCAACGGGCCGAAATCGGCGTGGAAGGCGTTGTAGAGCAAGGTATCGTCGATTGTGAAGTACACCGGGGGTGGCCGTAGCCTCGCAGGAGTGGGCGATGGTTGTGCCTTGGCCGACCGCTTCTGCGGTGATCTCTTCGCTTGAGTAGGATACGGGAACGGAGTATGCTCGTCAGGTGCGTGGGTGTAGGATGCTAGGTACAGTCGGTCTGTGGGTGGGTAGGATTGTCAGTCTTGCGCATCGCAGCGAGGGGCAATGTTTTGTTTCATGTGGATTTTATTTACCTTGAATGTACTCGATGACCTGACCGTAGCTGGCAGAATGTCCCAATGAAGGCGCCATCGCTGGTCAGGACAGAGAGTCGGCCGCTATTGTTTGCCGTGCTAGGATCTTGTGGAAAAAGCGGCGTCGGGTAACAAACGTGCGGAAGCTTGGGGCGCTGAATGCACGAGGAGTGCTTGTCAACAAGCCGGGGGAATTGGAATGTGTCTAGCTCTGTGGCATATCACTGCGAAGATGCGGCGCAACAATGGAGCGAGGAAGCATAGATCTCTAAGAGGATGGGATGCGACGGGGGTAAAGATGCGACGGCTGACTTGAGGTAGGACGAGTAGAGTGGTGATGCGAGAAATGCGAGGTGCAGGTTGGAATATGTGGGCGAAGGGCCGTGAATGAAACAGGGATGCACGACGTCGGTTGGTGTTGACACGCCGTTGCCCAGCAACCAGCACATCGCCTCCCACTACCCTTCGACCAACGCCCTGGACAACGCCACCAGCACCGAGCGTCCCATCACTATCCCCATCACCATCGCCGTCACCGACACCACACTTTTCTTGTCCCAAACAGCCCCCAATCCCGCATCCTGGTCCCTCGAGCCGCGCCCTCAAATGCACCGCTATCATGGTCGATCCGGCTAATCAGTCCGAGTTCCGATGCTCACTGTGCGTTCAGGCTCTCACATACCCTTGACCTCCATCTCGTCGCTGATCATGCCTGCCAGAGTGATCGATGTCCCGCTTCTCAGCAATCGCCTTGCCTCCACCGCCCTGCGCGCATTACAGGTTGACGCGGAGCTGTCTCCTTTGGTGCGGCGAAAATTCACCGTGGTTGCAGCGGACGAGGTCAACGGCGATGTTGGCGAGGAGCAGAAGAATGGCGCGGAGGGTTCTCACAGGACGATCCTTCGCACCGAGTACAGTGCCACCACCAACCGCATGCTTCGAGTCGCCGTCAATGGCTTCATGGAATCGCTCGGGGTCGTCCTTCAGGTGATGCAGGAATTAGATGTGGATGTGCTTGAGTCAAGACCATGACCAGCACCAGCTGCCGCCCGAAAATGCAGACCAACTTAGGAGTGCAATGAATCGGCCACGGTCAATGATGGTGGTACAAGTGATCAAATGTTTCAACATCTCTACGGTGGCGGCATAGCTTGCCTCTTAGCAGGCCGACTTCCACGCCATACTTTCGGTTTCGGAGTCATGCTTGGCTTGGAGGCGGCTGATTGCCATTTGGACCAGCCCCGTTCGTAAGTTGCCCACTTCGCTGGTTCACCAATTACTCAGCTTGCTCTAGTTGCACTGTCCCCGGGTCGAGTATTATCTAGGGCTCCAAACATCTCCTTGGCGGTAGACTGTGGCTCGCGTCCATCATCTAAACCCTGTTCCTACCCCCCAGCGTCCAGATCAAGATCGGGATAGTGCTGCCTCTCGCCACCAAGGATAAAGCGTGTATTTGGCACATCAAGACGTGTCTCCGTACGCTTGATCGGCGCAAGATGTGAGAGAGGGGCACGACTGATGCTGGTCAGAGCCGCACCGCCGTAGGAGATCATTCCGAAATGATGAGGCACAAATCGAACCCCTGTACCGTTGCTGTCGTTGTCCATCGCCACATAATCTCGCGTGTCAGGGTCTGCGCCGGTACCAAGCACCACTGTGGAGGTTTGGGTCTCCGACAGCGCCGGTGAATAGTTCTGAGCTTGAGGATCTGAACGGGCTGGGCTCGGAGAGTGCACCAGGAACTCCACCGTGCTCGATGGAGGTATTATACCACGCGATCCGAGTGCTTCCGCGACGCTTTGATCATCGTCAAGGTCGGGAAATCCCGCTGTCGACTGAGAATCTCGGCCTTCGAAATTCACCGCAGCTTCCAGAGAAAGGAGGCCTTGCCGCTTTCCCCAGCCTCCTCCACCGCCTGATACTTTGAACAGCTTTGCTCCTCGCCACAAGGCCTCCAGGACGCTTAGGGGACGGTATGGCTGGCCATCTCTGCTGCCTTTGGTGGGTATCGTCATGCTTTGCGGGCGTATAAGAGCATAGACAAGCAGTGGTCCCTGCGCAGTACTCGTAGGATTGCGTTCGATGAATGCCTGGACAGCCTTTTCTAGCTCTCGTGAGGCAGGGACGGCTTCAGTGCCGACTTCGATCTGGGCCAGGACGTTGCCCATGGATCCGATCACCTTTCTAGGTTCGGTCAACTGTTGGAGCGGACTAGATCCTCCTTTCACGATCTCATCGGAGTGACAGCCCAGGTCTACATGGTACGAGGAAAGTGGTTTTCGACCAAGATAGTTGACGGTCACCTCATCGGTTTCGCCGAACTTGATCCCCCAGCCGTCCTCGAATAACGTACTTCGTTGGCCATTGACAAAAATTGTGTTGGCGACTGGTAAGCTTACGTGCCGCGAGGTAATCGTGCCTTGATTGTCGCCAGCGTCGAGATCGCTGGGGCTAAACGCAGTGGCGAATTCCAGGATTGTGGCGGCCTCTCCGTCTTCACCGCCGTGCGCCATCGGGGAGGCATAGCGAGACCGCGAGCGTCCATCGTCGGAACTTAGAAAAACTGCAAGCCCTTCGGTCCCAGTGAGACCAGGCGAGGGTTCGTCTTTCCTTGCGAGAACGGGGGCAGGTACAGGCAATGCGTCGATAACACCGTAAACGCACTTGACAACCATTTCTGGTTCTTGTGCAGAAGATGACCGGCGTCCATGATATAGCGCCGGGAGGAGATCCTTAGGGAAATCCCCAGGCTCAAGTAGAGAAGCCAGAGACGGCGTCGTCAATACGACTATCGTCCTCACCACTTCCCTTTTCTTGCGATAGTCTGCAACAACAGCTAGCAGTTGTTCTAGATTCTGAGGCTGCATTAGAGCTTGTAGGCGCAAGTCGACAGAGGGACTCGAGAGTGGGTGGGGTGTATCTTCTAGAGAGACATTACACTCACCACGAGGGCCGGGTTCTTCGTCAACCAGGTGAATCCTTCTCGAATGTCTCCGCTCCTCTCATCATCGCGGGTGAATCTGTCGCCAGAACCCCGAGATCGTTGAAAGGTCGATTTCTCGCCGTCCACGGAAGTACTTAGATTGGATGATGCTCTAGTCGATTGAACGTTTCGAAGCTTTGCATCGTGCGGTAAATCGAGTCTTTTTCCTTCGACCGGAGTTTGCGCACTCTGCCCAATCCGTCTAGATAAATGCCGTCTCAATTCGCGTGTCTCGTGACGATGGATGTTCATCAACGTTCTCCATTGGCGACAAGGTAAGACTCCCTTTTGCATAGCTTAGGTTCGAGCGACGCGCCAGGCTCCGGAGTAGAGGTGAGTTATGATACAAGGCGCGCGTACCAAGAATCAGTCATAAAAAAGCCAAACGCCTTGTTACACAGTTCGAGACCTCTTGAATGGATCTGAAGATGGCGCGCGAAGGTCAAGGCGACGGGGGAGTGGTTGTCTTGGCTATGAAAAGACCCCTGAACCCTGTCTGACTGGGATTGGCAGGGGGGACATACGGAGTAGGTAAATCAGGAACAAGCAAGATTAAATGTCTGTATCTGCATTCTACATTCTTTCTTCGTAAAGCCATGTAATCTGAGCCGCTGCCGGGCTTTCCACGTTACAATACACTGTATAGGTATCTGAGATGCAAAATGACCTCCATCTGATGCAAAATAGGAATACACAGCTGAAAAGAAACTGGCTGACAAAAAGGACTCCTCAGATCTCAACGGTCAGGTACAAATCCCCAGTGCTTGATTTACTCGGTGTCAATCGAGCTTTGGTGGACGGCGACCGCTGCGGTAATGTGACATCCACGGTCTTTGTCTCCGGGGAGGACTCCCCATGCAGAAATGTGAGCGTCTTTGGAGGTAAAATGCCTTTGTTCCCACTAGAGGGATTGTTTCTCAGTTGAGATAGGCTTGACATTCGAGTCTTCGATGTGGGTGGAATCGGAAATTCGATGGTCGAGTCGGAATAATATCCGTCCGAGGAAGTTGTATCTGTTTGCATGAAGCTGGCTTCGGCTCGGACAAGCTCGTCCCTCCTTGGTCGCACGGCTGGCATGGTTCTCGGGGCAGGCACTGGAGGTGACGCCAAACCAGGGCTTGCGCGAGGTTGTGCAGGCCTCTCTGCTTGCCTCGATACGGCCGCCGAGCGCGGTATTTGGGGGTATCTTAGAGCCTTGATCGGGCTCCCCCGGTCCGCAGCGACTTGTTGCGGAAACGTCGAGTTGATAGCTGTTGGCGGGTTGGCTCGCAGCCCAAGCTGTTTGTTCATCTCTTCCGGTGTCGTGTCTTCTTCTATCTCGGTATATACGGAGCTGACAGAGCTCTGTCTCTGCATTGCTGCGATCTCCCTTCTTCCGGACACTGCCTTCTGCGTCGTTGGGGGCACCGGAGGTGGACGGGGAGCACTACGCGGCTTCGTAAGAGGCTCAGCCGGCAGACCACTGGGTGCTCGAAGGGGCAGTCTTTGTGGAGGATTCTTCCGCAAGACATTTCTGTTCGCGTACGTTGATGATGAAGGCAACTTGCGTTCTGCTACAGGGAGCGATCCTTGTGTTGCCATAGGCGAAAGAACGCTGCGTGGTGGTGATGCGAAATCGATGTTTCCGTTGTCATACGTGGGTGTCAGGGGGATTCGTGCGTGTGATGCATTTCGGGGAGAGCTTTCAGGCACCGCTGGCAGTTTTAAATTCGGTGGAGCTCCTCGTGGCCTTTTCGCCAGTGGCGGCTTCTCTAGGATAAATGGCTGGTTGTCAATGAGAATCCGCTCGGGCTCTTGCGCTCTCATTTGTGGTTCCTCATCAAACTCGGTGGTGTCACTAACAGGCCGTTGTGTATATCTCCTGCGATCCCTTGTAGCCTCAAGATCAAGCGGCGCAGGTCGCAGTGCTGCAACAGGCGCGGTGGGTAGTAGGAGAGAGAAACTCTGCTCGGACGATGCGCTCACAGGAGAGTGTTCGCCAGGTATCTCCGGCGAAACTGCGACGCCGATGTCTTCTGGTCGAATGCTCTTTCGCCAGAAGCTCCTCCTCTTCTCTTCCATTGGCTGCTGGGCACCGTAGAAGCGACCGTTCGCGTGAGGCACTGTCAGCGAGGAGCCAATGTTGTCGAATGTCGGTGTAGCCTTTTTGGGTGGACTTTGATAATCCGGAGGAGGAGTCTGCTCTATCACCCTTGAGCGCCTCTGACTTCGACGGCGTTGACGGCGCCGTCGGCGCATCCATAATGCAAGCAAGAACAACCCCAGAACGACCATCACGGTGGCGGCACCGCCGACGGCTATCCCGGCTATTTGAGGGGTTGTGAGACCTCCACTAGGGGGTGCTGTATTAGACATGGCACTGGCACCGGATGTTGCTGAAGGCTCGGGAGACATGCTGGAAGCAGAAGGAGCAGCTGCAGACGTCGATGTCGCCGATGATGTCGCTATAATCCAGGTTGGGCTATCCGTGGCCATCACAATCATACTAACTTCCTCTGTCGATGTGGGATTGCTGATTGTAGCAGGGAAGTTGTCCATGGTGGAAGCTGTCGAGGTGGCACTCCCGATTATCGTAGCTGTGATGGTTCGAGCCGTCCTCGGTTGTGCATTTGCTATACCATCACAGATTTTGTATACGTCCACGTCCAGCTGATCCTGTCCACTACACGACGCGACAACGCACTGTATGGACCCTTCTCCGATGGTGAGCCCAGCAATATTCGGCTGTATGCACAGGTAGCTGAGATCTGAGGTGTTGGCGCAGGTGGCCCCTGGGTAGTTGACCCCGGCGAAGGACGCAATGCAACTGACTGCGCAATTGGGGACTGTCGAGAGGATGGATTGAGGGAGGCAGGTATTTGTTGAGGCTTGTCGGGCACGTAGCTCGAGTGCATCGTGTAAAGTCGACGCCGGACCCGGAGAGGTCCATGTAGGGTACCGCATGTCGAGTGGCCGGCCTTTGTCATCGTTGATGGCTCATGCCTTTGGAGGTCCGTTTGCGGAAATGTTTCTGTGAACGGTCACGGCACGACTGGCTTGCAGGTAAACATTGATCAACAATCAGAAAGTGATCTTCCACAGCGGACGACACGGGGAGATTTGCTGCAGATATGCGCCGCGAAGGCAGTCTGGGGTCATCATCCTTGGGTTTACACTTTGGCCCTTGCCCTACCCCTCGAGCAGGGTGGACGTAGAATTTTTGTCCCTGAGCAGGACATTCGCGCAACGATATGACGATGGCGGCTTCCATGCTGAACGGCGATAGGTTGTATAGCCTGAAACCCAGGAAGCATCATGGTGGGCATGGTCGAATGTGAAGCATTGGATGAAGCGTAGTCGCTGAGCCAGCGGTTAGGGATTGTCCTAGCCGAACGCCAGGAGCCGTCACGTGAGCAGGTCTTAGCTATCCTTGCCTTGGTCCCGCCCGGAATGGGCAATGGCCGTAGGGCTCGGACCTGACCAGGCGGTTACGGGAAGCCTGGGCGCGAACGGGCGCTTCCTCGCTGATTGATGATGAGCAGGACGGCGCCTTGGATATTCGTCACCGACGGCAACCTCCTTTCTTGCCCGATGTAATTGAGTTGTCTTTGATGTGGGAGCCCATTGCCTGGACTCCGTTTCCTTCTACGCTGGGCGCGGATGTTCTGGCGGCCTACTTCGACATCTGTCATCATCCCCCGGGAACCGGCGATTTTTGTCATCCTGCTACAGGACAACATTGGCAACGTCTTATCACCTAGGACATTAAGATTGCCAATGACTCGATCTAGCCCCAGATGACGCACCCTGGGATTGAAAGAAACTCGGAAAGCCAGGATTCCCAGCCTTAAACAAATGCGAAGGCTGGAATCGAGGTTTCCGGATCTCCCAGCTCCGACGAACCGTTCGGTTTCACCATCACCCACGAGGCTTCAGACTAGGCAAGCCGAGCTCCGACACATAGGAAGACAAAGTATAAACAAAAGAAACAGATGAGTGGGAGGTCAAGGGTGGTCTCATTATGCTGAATTAAGCTGTTTACATCCAGACCACGTGCAGCATTCATGTCCTTGTTGCGCCGAAGTAGGACGGAAATGCTCCCATCCGTCCAGCAAACGAGTTGTACAATAGCCCATGTCGCACCACCCTATCCAGATTGCGTTGCCCGTCTGTTGCCAAGCAAATCTTGCGCTTGTCAATCGCGGAAGCCGATCCGGTGCTCGATCTGTTGTGGCGGGCAAGTCGTGGAAGTTTTACGTGCATCATGCTCTGAGAATCACAAGCAATGGGGGGATATCAAGATTTCGACAAGGTTGGGTCGATCCTTGCCAGGAACTAGCGGATCGCGGCGGGCGTTGAGAGGTAATGGGGTGCTCATCGCTTAGTACTTCAGGATAATGTAGCTGTTCGATGTGTTAGCAAGCACTCGGCGCGTACCGGTGAGATTGGCATGGTGTGCCTGAACGTACAGTGCGTGGATGATACCGGGAATGTAACCCAGGATTGTAAGCAGGATGTTGATGAAGAAATCGGCATTGCAGCCTCTCTCAAGGAAGACACCGAGAGGAGGGAGGACAATGGCAAGAATGATCTTGCAGATGTCGCTGGAAAGCGCTGTGTCAGCTCAGCTCTGCGGGCGCACTGCGCGGAAGGGCACGGAAGGTGCCAGCAACAACTTACGATGCAGTGAACGGCATGGTGATGGTATTGCGGTAGTCTTGGGATTAGAGAATTGACTCGTGAATCAACAAACACAGTTGCGAGGGTTTCTAGCTTGAAGCGATAGTCGACGGGAAACAGGATGTGGTGAGAAGAAACAGAAGGCAGGAAGATTGCGCGCCGGGAGATACAGCGGGCCTATTTAGATGAGGCCTGTCACCTGGAGGATGGCTGGGGCCGGAAGCCGTCACCCACTGGTCAACCCGAGTCTCTCGTCCAGATTACGAACATGCTGCCTGCATCTTGGCCACTAATTCCGTCTAACCTGGCCCTTCTGGGCACGGTCCAAGGAATGAAGGACGTGATCGAGCCACATGACGTGTGTTTCGGCGTGCTTCGTCAGGTGTCTTTCCACCACAGCCCTCAGGGCGTCTGCCAGTCATGTTTGGGGCACGCCACAGCTGGTTCCCAGAGTGACGCAATGTGACGAATCAAGACATCATCCGGGAAATTAAGCATTCTGCCTCGTCATCGGCACCGCCACAGATTGTGGCTTGCCGCTCTGCGATCGCCGGTCGGCATGTGCGCGTAAATTACTCCGGACGAGTACTTGTTGGTCAAGTCCACCCGCCTTGTCCTCCGCGATATCCGTGCTCGCCGTCCTGCTTTTCCACACTACTGTGCACTTCAAGCCTTTTTTGACGTGGGATGATGAGGCTTACGCAGGAATTCTGCAGGACATAGGAAATGCAGCTCCAGCAACGACTCACGAGACTCCCTCGACCGTGTTGCTCCGTACTTGTCATACGGAGTCTCGCTCCCATAAGATGTGTTTAAAGGCTGGTAGCCAGCCGCTTCTGATTGCTACCAGACATATCGTGTCATCAGACGAAGTCGTACTCGTACACAGGACCGAGCACTCCTCTGGACGGAGTATGTTCACCCAACAGCGGTATATCGAGACTGTACTCCGTACACAGTGATAAAACGTCCAATAGCTGATTCCCTATGTGACGCCAGAACTGATCGCGTGTTCGGGACGCTCGGCTGGCTAACCAGGTTGACCATCTCATGTTCAGTATAGCGACAGGCCAACATGTGCGGATTACCATACTCTTCACATCCTAATTATGTGCTGAAATCGCTCAGCAATCCATCGAAGAAACTCACTCAGCAGGGACCAATCTTCTCCGATATATCGCGGCACTACTGTAACAACGGTTTAGCCGGGCGCCCGGAAGCGAGCCAACTGTGTCTCTCGTGCTCTCGCATGGTTCGATCTTTCGTGGTTCCTAATCCTCCTCCCCAACCAAAAGCGAGTGTGTCGCGCTCTGCGTCGTTCTTCCGATACGAGCTGAAGCAGGAAACTTGGGGCGATAATAATGTGTCCCACCTCGTCACGCAAGTCTGCTCTTCTCCTGTATGATTGACTGACATCTGTCCCTTTCGTGCACAGTAAGCCGCAGGAGCCATGGCTCCTACAAGCCCGAGTTCCAGGTCTCACTTCCTACGCGCCTTGTCCTCCTCCTCCATGAAGCCCACAAAGGACAAACCTCGACTGTACGTTGCGCTTTACCCGCGTGGAGACTCGTCAACGACTTTTGCCTTCCGCAACGTCTCCAGCTGTGACTCGTACCACTGGGCTCTCGTAGTTGGGCCTCAAACAGCCGGCCGAACAGACGCGGGGACACGGTACCATGTGGCCCACCTCGACGAGCACTCGGACAAGTATCTCTACGAGGAGCAAGACATCCCCCTGAATGTGGGTGCACAGAAAGGCCTAGTTCGCATCGCAGTCTGCAAAGTCTCGGACGAAGAGCGCCTGCAGACGATCCTGCGGGACATGCCTATCCGCGGAGACGACTCGGCATTCAACTGCCTCACATGGGTGCGCGAAGCATTTCGCAAACTCCACGCCGACGGCAAGGCGGTGAAGACTTATCTCAAGTCGGACGACTGGGACGATGTAGAGAAGTGCGCCAGGAAATACTGCAAGCGGAAAAGAGATGCAGGGAGGTTCCAGGAGGGCAACAACAATGGGGCAGCCCCGGCCTGGGATGTGAACCAGATCAGCACGTTCAACTTTTGGGAGAACCGCGAAACCACGAGTTGAGCGTCTACAATACGTGTCCTCTTTCTGACGCTCTCTTGGTGTCGTAGATCACGCCTGGGGAACGGTGTGCCTCTACCCGGCATGAGGACGTGTCGCCCGGCGCCCGAAAAAGGCAATATCGGACAACGACCAGTGGTCTACTTAATGCAGAAGCACCACCTCCAGTACGATATATGACTTCATATCTGCCGACGGCATGGACAGAATTTGCGTTTTCAGGATTGGTCGAGTCACAGTCCAGGCATCAACTCTGGTATGTACGAGAACAAATGCATGCGGGACATCACCACCCAAGTTACAAGACCTCAATTCAAATTTCTTGCTTGATACAACATGATGTCAGCAAGATGGCAATACAAGTCTGGAGAAGTCACTCCTCTTGTGGCTCAGCTCGTCACGCATCTCGCCCAACATCTACTGCACATGGCAACAGAAGCCAACACCGGATCTGCAGCGATGTGCTGCCAGAGTACATACGGCGCTCGTGACACATATCTACCACCGAGCTCCCTACTATCGCTTCGTCATTGATAGCTGACTAGGTCAAGCAAGAGGAAAGTCGAGGACAATGCGAGCAAGCCAAGCAACCAACGCAACGCGCGTAGGAATGGAAGCACTTTAGGGTGAAAGCAACCCACGCAGGAATAGAGGACCTAAGGATGAACGCAGGCCACGCAGGAATAGAAGGAGTTGAAGTCGCACGCAAGCCACGCAAACCCGCTGAAGAGCTATCAAAAAGGCCCAACCACGGACAGACTGTACCTGAACCATTCTCCACGCGCATACAGGGTACGTCCCTCCAAGATCCAAATACGCAGGATGGTCGAAAAAATAGCAAAGATACCCTATTTAGAAGTCCAGTCAGTGTACCGTAACTAATTAGTGCACCGAAGTGCCGTGCCATAACATGCCATGCCGTGTCTGATATACCTCCATACAGTCCTCCGTAAGTACAATGATATTACCGTATACGTACCTCCATACAGTCGCCTCCGTAAGTACAATGATATTACCGTATACGTACCTCCATACAGTCGCCCTCGTAAGTACAATGATATATATACCTGGGGCCTGGCTACCTGTCTGGCTGCCATGCTCGGCGAGCACAAAGTCTAGGTACATATGTACCTTCGATCACTGTCACGTCCTCGGGGACACTACGTAGGCTGGATGAAGGACACCGTCGATCGTGATAAGGGGACACAGAGCGAAAGAACGATATCAGCGACGACATGATGCTCAGTTGAAGCCTGCCCGGCCCAGCCCAGCTTCTCTACCCTCCTACGCTCCTACGCTCCTACTAACTGTTGCAAAAGTCTCGAGCAGACATGGGACAGCGGAGGGGATGCAGCGAACGACGATGAGGTCTTTCATTCACCGTAGTTCCTTGATCGATTGGGAAATATTGATCTACCTCTACTGGATATTGTAGATGACCCGTCATGAGGAGGCGGAATGCCCATTCTTACCCGTACACAGAAAAGGCCGAAGACAATCCCAGGCTGGATCCTTATGGCCAGCTATGGCACTTTGCGAGGATAGATAGATACCGTTGCCCGTGCTCGTGCTCGTCCCGGAGCCCTGCGAATCCCGTAATTGATGCCCATCCCAGAGAGTCCGTTGCCCAGATACGAATCCCAGCGTACCGCCCACGGAGAGACCGGGCCGTCACCCAAACGCCGCGCAGTGATAATTAGTGACTGCGCCTAGTGAAGTGTAAAGACGACACATAAAAAAAAAATCAGAATGGTGACCCGTGGAGCCCTCTCCTCTTGCCCAAATCCATATCGATGCGTCGAGGGGCATTCTGGATGGATTGGCTGCCACCTATAGGCCGCGGAGCATGACAGTTCGCTCTCCCTCCAATTTGGCGGTATTCCTGTCTTTGTCCGCCTTTCGAGCGTCCGCCAGGCCTTCGCAGTTATGGGACTCCAACATGCGGTGCTTCCCGCAGAAGCGTTTCTGACAGAACCCGCAATCTCCGACAATGGGCTGGGCCGCTGTTTTGCACCCGTCCTTGGAACAGCGAGGCTTGTTCGACTTCTTCTTGGGGGTCGAAGCGCCAGACGAGGGAACAGGTGTGGAGGAGGAGGACGTCGGGGGTTGGATTGCCGTCATGTCTGATTGTGGTTGTGAAGGATCTGTTGCTGTGGGACTTCGCGACGGCGACGACAGTTTCAAGGTCGATGATTCTTCAAGCTTGAGCTCGCCGACAGTGGTGGATGGCTCTAAAGGCTTGCCGTCGAGCATGAGTTGGACGTCGGCTGGTAAGCTCGTTGATGCGGATAGGAACTCGAGGACGTTCGAGACGGTGTGAACAGGTCGGACGTTCAGTTTGATCGCTGTGAGGCATTTGTCAGGACACTGCCTCGCGCGACTTCTAGAAGACACTGCTTACTCTTGCCACCACTGATCTGCACCTGGATAGCCATGTTGTCGGCAGGAAGCTCCTTGCTGGATGTGTTGGAGGCGGCAGAGCCTGATCTTGAGCGATTCATGTTGACTGTGAGGTGGGTGTAGAGGAGACAGGATTCAGATGGGAAGCGATGTCGAGATCAGAGCGAAGTCAAGTAAAGAACTCTGTTCGCGGGTGACAACAGTCGGATGCAACAGAACAGGCTCGTGACTGATGACGAATTCGGATGGAGAAGAGCGGATCGTCGGGCGACTAATGAGAGTGTCGGTGCTAGTCCGAGTGATAGCGTGACCAGTTGCTAGGTTGAGGCACCGAACGAAGTCGAACTCGTGGAGTGAGATGTGTAGGCAGCTGTAGGAGTGGTAGATGAGGATGGAGGAAGTGAAGATTGTGAGAAGGGCAGAGCCGTGTAATGTATTGCCTGGCAGCGGATGGTACTCGGTCGTAGCGAGGACCTAGTCAGATGGGCCGAACCAAGGATGGCGACAAACGATGAGGCAACAGGTGGCTATTTATGTGGATTAGTGTCAGGGTGGCTGCTTTGGAGGCGATGAGGAAACCCTGGATCCGGCGATGTGGATATCACGTTTGGCGTGGATGGTGGATGGTGGATGGAGGATGGCGGATCCAAGGGATCGGATACTTCAGGACGGGGCCAGCACATGGACAAGAACCAAAAGCAGCAGCTTCGTACGAGCTATTAAGTTTGTAACGGAGAGAACAAGGAGTTACGCGGCAATGCTGCCCAGTCAATGGAATGCCCTGCAAAGGCGAGCAGCACAAGTCGCCGAGTTGCGAGGCTTGTCGGAGATGAACCGATTCTCGGTCTGAGCTGATGGTCGAGCCGGAAATCGATGTGATAGGATGGAACGCATGGTCAATTATTAAAGAGACCGAGCTGAATGGTCTTGTTGCTGATCATCAACTCACAAACAGTGGCAAGCGCGGCAGAGTTTGGGTTCATCTGCTTCTTCCAAAGTCGTCTCTATTCGATACCATGCGCTCACCACTAAGTCACCTCGAGCTGGCTCTTCCGTCGGAGCCGTGCTACGTCTCCGCTGACCACTGCCAGCCGTGCCTGAAGGTCCAGATCACGGGTCGGCGCTTGGGACCCTCAGATGCCTGTGCGTGGCCCAAAGCAACATACTAATAATGCTGACCGCAGTGGCCGGGCGCTTGAGAGGTTGCCCTGCTACGGGAAAAGAGCAAATCGCAAACGGCCTCTCCATAACGTCCACCAGAAACAGCTCCAAAGGCCGGCCGACGAGCCAAGAAAATTGGGACAATTGCATTGTTGTCACCTGTAGCTTGCAGCAATGACAGCCCACATGATTGTTGGCCTCACCTCCTGCGCGGTTTTCGTTGGGCGGTGTCTTTGTTAATAGGGCTGGTTGGCTTCCTGGCACCGAATGCGGCATCAAGCATGAATTTGTTTGCTCTCGTTCAGTTGCCGACTGCCTAGAGAAAGTGACAAGTCTGTTCCCAAGCATCGTGTCTGCAGCTGTGCTTCTCGTGTCCGATGCCGGTTTGCGGTCGGAATTCGCCCTTATCAGAGCTTGTGATTTCCGACAGTCACATTGCGACCCTTTGTTGGATTCGAGATAACCGTGATAACATATTGCTCATGCGCTCATAGGAGTAAAGGGAAGCATGGGTCGATGTGCATTTGCAGGTGGGACCCCGGCAGCCACTGCTTGCTGCTTCTCACGACGTTTGCTATTTCTTTGTTGGTATTGACGTGGTTGGGAAGAGGTCCTTTTGGGATCCATGACCACATCCATCTCAATGTGACCCTCGTCGCCATCCCACATGTTGGTGTCAAGTGGTCAACACTCGTGGTCACATAAACGCTTGACATACGCCATCATACCATCATCTCTCATGCAGTCATTCAACGTACCAATTCGAGCTTCGTATCCAGACCCTGATGCAGGCCATCTTCGTCACAGTAATTCGAGGTCTGAGCATCGGTGAGTCGTCCATCCGTACGGGACCCCCATGGCCAATTAGGCGCCATCCGCCTTCCTATCTCCAGCATCAGGGTCAAGGTAGTCGTCCTTCTCCGCTGCCTCGTATTCTGCGACCAAGCCCATGACCACCTCTTTCGCCTCGTCGAATTCACCCAGACCTTCTGAGAAGGGTGCTTCCTTCTTGTACTGCTCCAGATATGCATTTCTCTTCCGCATCTTCTCGTATTGCACCACTATTCTCCTAAACAGTGTGGCCACGCTGGTATGGTTGGCAAGCATGAGCCCCGACACGCGGTGTGTGTTCTGGAGGTAGGGAGACTTCTTGGTCAACGCAACTTGGATCGATGCCGGACCCCAGGGGATGAAGTTCGCCATGCGGCGTTCCCGAATGCGGAGGAGAGACTTGTGCACGTCCGTGGGATCGGCCTCGCCCTGAATAATGTTCAGGATCGAGATGTAGCACGACGACTTTGAGGGATTGATCGAGACCATCCGGTTCTTGGGTTGCAAGAGGCGGCGCATCACGTCGAGGACCGTCGTTTTGCGGACCGTCTTTGCTTGGTCCACGTTGTCGCCCGTGAAGGGGGTGTAGGCGGTCATCAGGAAGTGGCATCGTGGCGTGGGTATCAACGAGGCAACGATCCCCACCAGGTCGTTGTGCATGTAGCCCGGGTATCTGAGCGTCGTCGTAGAGGCTGACATGACCGTCGAGACCAGTTGATTCGTCTGTTGGAACGAGGGTTCCTGGACATGCAGTCTCTCGGCTGCGATGCTCGACAGCGCCCCATTGTCGAGAACCACCACGCAGTCAGCGTTCTGGGTTAAGCGCCGCATGGTGAGTAAACTGTTGTAAGGGTTGACCACGACGTCGCCCGTCGCCGTATCCGGAAACACCGAGTACGTCTGTATGATCTTCTTGGGAAACCGGTCGTTCATGCGCTCGAGGAGGTATGACCCGAGGCCCGATCCTGTACCACCGGCTATCGAGTGCAGCAACATGAACCCCTCCAGCGAGTCACTTCCATCCGCCTCTCGATCAATCATGTCAAAGATCTCCTCTTGCACCCTCTTTCCCGCGGCGTATCCCGCAGCCCAGTTGTTCCCTGCGCCCATGCCATGCTCGCCGATGAAGAAATTCTCGGGGTTATAGATGTTCTTGTAAGGACCGCTTTGTATGCCGTTGATCACTCGAGGTTCCAGGTCGATGAGAATCGCGCGCGGGATGTAGCGTGTGTCGTCGGACTGGTAGAAGAAGACATCTTTGCGGTCACCGCCTTCAGTCGCGAAGTCTTCGAGGTTTCCGTCGCGCGAGATGCCGTGCTCCTGACAGAGTTGTTGCCAGAAGCGAGAGCCGATTGCGTTTCCGCACTGGCCGGCCTGGATGGTAATGATCTCGCGAGGCATGGGTGAGGGCGTGGCGAGCTGCTGGTGCAGACGAGGCAGTAGAGGGACGCTGGGATTTCCAGAGTCGAAGGCGCACTTTAAGACGCGTAAAAGTCACGCGTCGAGGGGTGTGTGAAGCTGAAGTGTGGGGGTCGAGCCAAGTCAGTGATACAAACACTCGGTACCGAGTGAACATGTTCTACACACTGCAATGTCACTGGCGATATGGAGTAAATATCTCCTTGAACCATATGAATATCGCCCGTTGACGTCTTTCCGAATCTCCTCCCTCTTCCCAAACTGTCTGTAAACTCAAACACTAGTCTTCCGGGAGACTCAGCCGCGGCGAGATCGTCTAAGAGCGGTCGTTTACTGCGAATGCCGCTTCGAACAGCAGGTGCTGTGTCTATCTAATGCTGGAGATTCGGAGCCATCCCTTTGAGTCACAGCTCCTCTACCGTTTCGGCTGCCTTGGCTCGGATGTTCTTCTTCTGAATATACTGCTCTACCGTCTCGGGAAATTTGCGCCTAAAAGGCCGGGAGAAGACGGCGATTAAGATCCACACGTATATCGTGTAGAACCATTGAAACCAAGTCTGTCTGACTGGCGGTTCCTGCTGGTCGTCCCAACCTTCACATATCCTTCTGAATCTTTGGGGATCATCTGTGACGACTCCGGCCAGCTGATGCTGAATACACCATTTCATGAGGTTGGTGTCGTTGACCGTCCAAGCGTAGAGTGGTCGATTCGCCCTGCGGACATCGCGCATGAACCGGGAGCCGAAGGGACCGAATAGGACTTTTTGAAGCATGCTGAACGATACATTGGGTACCTTCAGGAACTGCCTCGCGTAAACCGTGGAGAAGCCGATGTGCGAGACGGGAAACCCTGGCAGATACTTGGAACATAGCGGAAGATATTTGGCGGCCCAAATTCCCAGAATGACTCTGTTATTCCACCGCCGGGCACCAGGATGAACAGACGCCAGCGTCTTCGCGATCAGCCGCATTACATCATCGGAATTGTTGTCCATCTTGATGTCGAGGAACAGCCAGATATGTTGCAAGTCGGGCTGCGCGACGTATTCAAGCAGGTCTTGAAGCCGTGGCATGGGCACGTGTGGCTCGCGAAGTGTGCGGACGCTGCTTAAAAACTTCCAGTCACACTCGATTATCTTGTCCTTCAAGCCAAAGCACCGTTTTAAATCGGGATCCTGCGAAGATCAGTGATTACGCCGTACACACCTGCTGGGCACTTACATGAGACAGAACCACCACCCCGTCCTTGCTCAGATGGATATCGGTTTCAATGGCATGTGCCCCGACGTCGACAGCGCCGACGAAAGAGTCCATTGTGTTCTCCGGGTGTTCGGCCTTGAAGCCGCGATGGGCGATAGCCTGAGGTAATAATTGCTTGCTGTGCCCGTACATTGTTGCTTGTGCCCAGCTTGCTACTTGGCCATCAGAACGGCAGCTTAGGCTTTCTATCAGGGAGGCGTCTTACGCATAGGGAAGTCCAATTCTGCATTTCCACTCACACGCTGAGAGCCATAATTCAGGTCCCCGTGTCCGATCTGGCTCGGTTCCTTCAGCAGCGGCTCGGAGGCCTCAACATCCGTGCGATGATGCATATTGAATGCGCGCTTCTGAGAGATGGTAGCAGTCCCCCTCAGATGCCTTGACGCCTTAAACACAAAACCAGGTTTCAAGGACGGAACGGCTAGTCAGAGTAGTGGCGACATTGGCTGTGGTTTGTAGAGAACGTGCGGTGGTGAGCGCTCGGCTCTCGAAGCGACTGGAGCGCTGTCAAGCCATGCTGTTGACCATTTTGGAGATGAGGGATGACTCTTTGTGCAAAGAGTCCGATTCTGATATTTCGCAGCACACCGGAGCGCGGCTGCTGAAGTTATCATGCTGGAGCTGGTCCCGGAAAGCGGCATTAAGAGCGTACGGGAAGGGCGAAGTGGGTGTACTGGGTACGCCACCGCAGGCGAGGATTCGAGAGCCCCGAGATCGAGAGCACCAAGGACTGGTGAGAGAGGCTCGATCCTTCAGTTGCAGTCAGGGAAGGCGTGTTTGACAGCCTGCAAGTCCGCTATTTTGGTTGCTCGAAAAAGTCAGCTGCTGCTGGGAGAGGAAGATCGTTCACCAATGGCATTGCCACGTCAGGCCGACACCGCCAGAACTGGGAATGCTCGAGAGGCGAGAGCGCCACTAAAGGCGCCCCTGGAGTGGAAGCTCTCCGGGATGGCCAACTTCCGAGATCTAGGGCACAATAGGAGGCCGACGGGCAGACACGAGACCCATAGAACAGGCCGCACCCTGTCAACCTGCCACGTTGTTCGTGTTTCAACCAGTGTCGGTGGTTTATCCTCGGGCACATTGCGTTGTTCGGTTGCAGGCAGATATCACAGGTGCAATCTAGTGCTGCCTCTGATCCTGGTGTTTTTGTACTTTGATATCAAAGTCTCTGCGAAGCTGAGCCTCGGGAAAGTATAGTCGTTTGAAGGAACTTCTACTCCCACTGAACATTACGATCGCAAGGAAAAACCCAGAAATAGCTGGGCCAGAGCGCGCGCTCTGGAACATTAGACCTGCTACCCCTGATCTGGGCGCAGCCTTGCAGCTTTATTTGAGGCGGAGGAGAGAGCACATCCGGCGGAAGAGCACAAAAGGAGTAAGAATCCATGGTTCGATCATTCAAATTCAGTACTTTTTCTTTGGCCGCCTATTGGTGTCTTGCACATTGAAGTCCTTCCCGTGATGAACGGCACAGGCAATGGCAATTGCAATCGGAGAGCGACACGCCCGCTTGACCATCGTCGAATCACGAGGCCCAGGACACCAAGGACCTGTTTTATTCAGAGGCGGGGGCTGCGTGGAAACAAGTCAGCTCATTGAGATATCAACCGGAGGAAGTTCAGTTACCCCGAGTGTGGTCAGGCCTCCCTCATGTTAACCACACATCGGATGCAATCGCCGGCATGCATATCATGGAAGGCTTCGTTGATTTTGTCCAGTGGCTGACGGTGGGTGATAAACTCATCCACTTTGAGCTTGCCATCCAGGTAGTCTTGGACAAGGCCCGGCAGCTGGGTGCGGCCCTTGACACCTCCAAAAGCGCAACCGCGCCAGACTCTCTGCAAATCACCCGAGGTCAGTATTTGTCTCAATGGAAAATCAAGCCGCCGGCCGAAGGGACAGCCTTGGTAACACTTACGCCAGTGACGAGCTGGAATGGCCTCGTGGAGATTTCGGCGCCAGCTGGGGCGACACCAATGATGATGGACTGACCCCAGCCTTTGTGACAAGCCTCAAGGGCAGATCGCATAACTTGAACGTTGCCCGTGCAGTCAAAGGTATAGTCACAGCCGCCGTCGGTCATCTCGATCAGCTTCTCCTGGATGGTTTGGCCATTCAGCTTGGTGGGGTTGACAAAGTCGGTACCACCAAACTTCTCCGCCCATTCCTTCTTCTTGTCGTTGACGTCGACCACGATGATCTTGCCCGCACCGTTCTTAACGGCACCTTGGATGACGGACAGACCAACACAGCCCGCGCCAAAAACAGCGATATTAGAGCCCTTTTCCACATCGGCAGTGATCACGGCCGCACCGTAGCCGGTGGTGATACCGCACCCCAGCAGGCAGGTCCTGTCCATGGGGGCTTTGTCTGTGATGGCCACAACGGAGATGTCGGCGACGACGGTGTACTGCGAGAAGGTGGAGGTTCCCATGAAGTGAAGAAGGTCTTGGCCCTTGCACTTGAACCTCGACGTCCCATCTGGCATCACACCTCGACCCTGAGTTGCTCGGATCTTGCCACAGAGATTGGTCTTGCCAGATACGCAGAACTTGCATTCTTTGCATTCAGGAGTGCTGTCACGGTCAGTTGCCGGGACCCCGCCACGCAAGGACGACTTACTAGAGCGCGACAACATTGTCCCCAGGCTTCACATTGGTGACACCCTCTCCCACGGATTCGACAATGCCGGCACCCTCGTGGCCCAGGATGATAGGAAAGGCGCCCTCCGGGTCTTTGCCGGACAAGGTGTATGCATCTGTGTCTCGTTTCAGCTTCCGGCTCTTACCCGCCATACGCTCGACATACCAGTGTGGCAGACGCCAGTATAGTAGATCTGGATGCGGACCTCGTGGGCCTTGGGGGGAGCAACCTCGACATCTTCGATAGAAAGGTCTTTGCCGGCCTCCCAGGCGACGGCCGCCTGTCACAAGTCAATCACTGACAGCCATGGGAGGGCCCGCGCGAGAGCATACCTTGCAAGTGATGGTCTAGCAAAATCCGTCGTCAGCACAAATCCCTATTGTCCGAGGCACCTGGCTTGACTCACCTTTCCAGCAGTGTCGGCAGGCATGATTGATGGATAGATGAACAAGGATGGGTGAAGGTACAATGAACAAGGACTCAGGGAGATCAAGTACTTGTAGAGCAACAGGAGGATGAGGAAATATCAACCATCGACCTGCCGGCCCGGGTGGGGTTTTTGTTTTCCATTCCTTTCACGACACGCTGAGAGCAGAGCATGAGCATGAGCCTGAGCCTGAGCCTGAGGTGGGGTTTCGGAGATGCTTGTAGTTATGATGATATGCCAGTCAACCCCCCAAGTGGAGGGGCCATTGGCACGTCAGTCTTCACTGGGTGACTGGTCGCTATCCGGGATCTTTCCCGACTATTTTCGTGCTGCCCGCACGGAGTTTGGTGCCTGTGGGCTGCGGCACCCGCAAACGCCCTCGATAGGCAGTAGTCGGTTCGTTTTGAGCGTGAAGTGAACGGTCAATCAAATCCTCTCCATCACCTCACAATCATATCCCCGAACTTTCGCCCTCGCTGACGCATTGGTCTCGTTAGTCATTTTGCGTCCATGGCCTTTGTGGCACGGAGAAAATTTCCTCAAACAGCTAAACCACTCCGTCCTGCACATCCTCAGGCTCACGCTCATGCTCATGCTCATGCTTATGCTTGTCCTAGACTCATCGGAAAACTCCCCCATCGATCGGCAACTGACCCATTCGCACTACACCGACGACCATGAGAGATGAGCGGCCCCAACCCTGATGGGTCAGTGCCTCCAGCGAGCATCGCCTCGTCTTTCAGCATACCGCAATACTCATGGCAGGCCTACATTCCCCCACTAACTCCGGAGGAAGTGCATCCACGAGGAGGGGAGCCGCGACCGTTAGGATCTGAGGACGATGGATTCGGTCTGGTGAGTCCTCTTCGTGGCCTAGGACCCCGTCCGCCAGTGCATACAGCTACACCACTCGAACAAACCTTGTCCGCTGGGCATTTCTTCTCCCGATATCAGCCACAGCCACAGCACCCAGCTGCAGCAACCCACAGCAGACTCTTGAATTTTAGTCAATCACTGTTCCAATCACAGCCACAGATATTGAACCATCCCTCAGCACGCGCTCAACAACCTGGGGCTGTTGTACCAGACACTCAATTGCATCGATCGTTCTACCCTGATCCCACCAATCAAGCGCCAGATCGCCTCTCAACCCACGTTCCACATCATCCTCAACAGCAACTCCAGCATGGAGAGGATCGAGTATGGGACGCTCCTCAGCATGTGGACCGAACTTGGGCCCAGCCGCCAACTGAGGTTGAGTTCGGCGGTGCTTCCAATGTATCCATGACCCAATCTGAGCAAGCGGCATCACATGAGGACGTCGTTGATGCTGGCAGTGCCAGTGCCACTGGAGCTAGGAAAAGAGGCCGGCCAAAAGCACCAGTATCGGACCGTCAGCCCCGGAAGCGACGCAAGAAGGGAACAGGACATCCCGGCGGATGGAGCAAGGGCATGAAAATCGGCCCGCGACCTGCCATCGACCCTGGCCCTGAATTCAACTCACTCTACACGCAGGCGCTGGAGGCTTTTATCGACGAGCAAGACTCCGACAAAGCTCTCAACCTAGTCACCAAGGCCCTCGCGATCAACCCGGAGATCTACTCTGCTCACGCTCTTCGCGCCGAGCTCTTATTCGCAAGAGGTGAAGATGAGAACGCTCTGGCCACTCTCTTTCTGGCCGCCCACGCGAGCCCGACCGACCCTGAAGTGTGGTTCCAAGCAGCGTCCGCGCACCTGGAGCGGTACAAAGGGAGGCGGGAGGTTGCTTTGCAACAGGCCAACTACTGCTTCTCTCGTATTATCCATGTCGGCAGTGCCCGCGACAGGCATATTGAAGCCCGATTCCAACGAGCTGCTGTCAATCGGGAGCTCACCAACTATACTAAAGCCATGAAAGATCTGGAGACTATTCTTGAGGTGATGCCCAGGAATTCTAGTGTTCTGCGACAAATTGCAGAGATATGTATCGACCTCAGGGACATTACCCGGGCGAAAGAGGTGTACGAAAAGACCCTGGCTTACTATCAAGAGAATGGGTTCGAAGATGAAGAGTCTTTCTCCTGGGCTGACATCCTCGTCTACGCTCAGATTCTCGCCTTGGAAGAACCACCCGACCTGGCCATCTCAAACGCCTTGAAGGTGCTGAAGCAGTTGTCGCGCTGGCTACTTGGCAGAGCAGATGAAGATTACTGGAATCGGTTCACTGGCGATGACCGGGAATTTGACTCGGAGGATGAACCTCGCAGAGTCCTGGTACCTGAATTTGGTCCAGGCAGATACCCGCCTGAAGCTTACGGTGCCGGACTCCCACTAGAAATTCGAGTCAGGCTGGGGATGCTCCGTTTGCGGCAGGGGCAGGAGGCTTTGGATGAAGCATTGGCTCATTTTGAGTGGCTCGAACCCGATGCCAGAGATGAGAGCGCCAACGTCTTCGAGTATCCTGATTTGTTCTTGGAAGTTGCCGAAGCCTTGCACGAAGCGAAAGAATACGATCAGGCACTTCGCTACTACCAAGTTCTGAAAGAGACCAACGCATATTCACACACCGACTTCTGGCTGGGTATCGGAGCCAGCTCCTACATGTGTGGTAACAACCTGCAAGCCGTCGAATGTTACGAAGAGGCCAAACAAGGGGATGAGAAGTCTGTAGAGGCCCGAACTCAGCTCTCTAAACTCTTTGCGGATTTTGGCGACAAGGAACTGGCGATGGAGAACGCTCGAGAAGCTGTTCGGCTTGCGGAAAGTTTACTCCCCGACCATGGCAAGCGCAAGTACGAGCCGAAGCAGCTACGCTATGCCCGTGAGGAAGCTGAAAAGGCACTCAAGGAAGCTTTCCAACTGTCAGGAGACTACACCGGTGGAGTACCAGTCGAGCGAATCGAGAGTAAACTAGAAATGGTCGGCCGAGGGAGGCACAGAAAGCGACTCCCAAAGAGACTGCCAGCCGAGATGAACTCGGCTGGGGAAGGAGGTGGGGAGAAGGAGAATCGATCCGGAGAGGGCTTGGAAGATGGCGACGACCTGCCACCTGCGAGTGAACGGGAGATGGCAAGATTGATCGCAAGAAAGGTTGTGAGAAATAGACAAGATCGACCCCCAGCTCGATTTCAAGCTGCACCGCCAAAATACGAGTTTAAGGCCAAACGACCGACAGCGAAGGAGAGGGATGCACGTCGGACCGATGCAATTAACGGACTCTACCAGAGTTTGCTGGACAGCACCGAGGCTATGAGGGCCGGCGACGAGCTTGCCCGACATGCGTGGATGGGATGTGCCGAGACGCTTCTCAAAGACTTTCGGGGGAACCGCACCTTCTATTCCGACGATCGCATTGTGAAAGTCAGTGGCCTTGCCCGTGAGGCATTGGTGGAAACAAGAAAGAAATGGCAGGAGCAACAAGAGATTAACCAGGTCCAAGATCAAGAGCTCGACCCAGATATCCCCATCCCATCGGTCGAGTCAAATCTGCCAACGGAGTATCGCGAAATTGCCTTCTCAGACTGGCTGGACATCTTCCTCGAGTACGCTCTTCTCCTGTCACAGAGCCCTGATCCAGATGCCCAGCATCGCTGCTACACCACGATTGATGCTGCGTTGGGCTGCATTATTTGGAAGCGCGACCCGCAGACACTATTACAAATCCATATCACATACCTTGCCTGTGCTATGGCTCTCAGAGACGAGGACACGCTTTATAACGTGGTCTTACGGTGGTTTCTGAAGACGTACGAGTTCAACAACGATGCGTACCGGCTGTTCGCAGCTATCAACCTGTTGTATCCACACGAGCTCGACAAGAGCGGCAAAGATGGACAAATGAAGAATGCCATGTTTCGCGGCCGATCGATGCACCAATTTGTCCTAAAACAGCTCCTGCTCGCCGATTCGTCCTTGCCAATGGACTATAACCCTCCAGGTTTCGGGCCGGTGCCAGATTTTATGCGAAAGGGTGCAGATGCTGAGGAGCAAAGCACCCGCAGCAAGGACGACCTCGCAGCCACACCAGCATCGAGGAGTGCTCGCAGCACAGAATTTGGTGAGCGGACCGCAACTCAAACTCCAGCATACGGAAATTCCCGTATCAGAGAGAGCACCGGAGAGACCCCAGGACTCCCAGAACAGGCTGAGCAACGACATTCAGAAACACCAGCATTTGTAGATCAACCTGAACAGCAGCCGCGGACCCCTCCCGAGCAGCAACAGGGCCAGCAGCAAACCTCGGAAATCACAGAACTAAACGCTCTCCTTCTTCTCCTCTACGGCCAGATCCTCGATGCGGCCGGCACCTTCAGTGGCGCTTTGAATTACTTCTTCCGCGCCCAGTCCCTCGACCCTCAGAATCCTGTCATCTTATTGAGTATCGCCTTGACTTATATGCATCTTACCTTCATAAAGAAGTGCAACAACCGACACATGATGCTACTGCAGGGGTGGGCCTTTTTTGAGCAGTATGCGGATGCGAGGCGGGAGTGGGCGCAAAGAAAGCTGCAGGATCAGAAAGAAGAAAGCGAGGGGCAGCTGGATTTAGAGGGTCTAGAAGTGTTGATCGAACGGGAAGTCGAGTTCAACCGTGCGAGATGCTGGCACATGCTTGGCATGGCAGATCTGGCTGTCAGTGGCTATCAGAAGATGCTCTCTTTGGCAGTTCCCTCCCCGGGTATTGACCGAGAAGACACGATGAAGTACACGGATTTCACCATGGACGCGGCGTATGCGATGTCTACGATTTATGCAATGAGCGGGAATATGGAGATGGCGAGAGATGTGACGGAGAAGTACCTCGTGGTTTGACGGTATGGGATGAGTCAACAAGCAATGGCGAGGCGCAGCGCTGGAGAGCTTCGAAGATGGAACGGTGTAAAGGCAATGATACCCCTTTAGCGTGAGGCCTCTAAAGAGAGCTATTTTTATGTACAACATTGAACCACCTTCCTGCTCCTACTTGAAGGCCTTTGTCTGCAGTTCTTCACTCCGCCTCGCTATTTCACCACCCAACACATCTCTGAGTTTAGCCCCTCACAAGATCACCCATTCTCGCTGCTCGAGTTCACCCTTCTTACTGACTCTTGCTCGCAACCAATCTCTCCACGTCCGCGACACTCTGAGCCAAAATCTGCTGCAGCACCTTGGGGTTTTCCAACTCCTTGGTCACCTTGGCGATAATGCTATCAGCCAATTCCTTCTGCTGGCGCTGCTTGACTTGCCCTTCGTAGCGGACCCAGCTGTCCAGGACGGTCTTGGCTTCGGCAGCCAGAGCGGTGCGCTGCTCGAGCTCGAAGGCTTCGGCCTCGAGGCGAGCGGTTTCCTAGCCCCAGTCAGTAACATTTCGAGCAGCGACCCCGCGTGGTGGGTGTGTAGACGTTTCACTGCATCTGTTCTCGACCCAGGGACGACTGTACCTTTGACACCTCAAACAATTGCTTGGTGATCTCGACCACGTTGCTCAAGGGCTTGACCTCTTCGATCCTCGCCTTGACTGCTCCTGCGTGATTGGTCCGCGCCTGGTACAAAACGTCCTTGATCCGCTGCACTTGGTTGTCCGCCCAGTCGCTGTACATGGGTCCCATATATCGGAAGATGCCGTAGAAGACGGACAGCAAGCAGAAGGCCACGACGGATTCCTCGTTCAGGACGTAGAGTTCATTGCTGATGGCCCAGACGGAAATGCCGGCGCCCGCGGAGAGGATGGCGGTCTTGGACGCGAGGGACGTGCCCGGCAGAGAATCCACGATGGATTGTGCGGCTTTCTTAGGATCTTGTTGAGCGGGCACGTTCGATTGATAGCGGGACGTGGTTAACGGGGTGCTAGCTGTGAGAGCACGGAGAGGGAGGGTTGATGGGCGGAGTTTGCTGGCTCCTGCAAAAAACGCCCCTGTTAGTCTTCTGTCGTCGTTTGTGAGCTGGAGATGATGCAGAGACTAACCAGCCACGCTCCTCGCCAGTCTGGACGCCATTGTTGGGGGTGATGTATTGCCTGAGCAGCGGTCGTGAAGCTCCCTGACGTTGCGAGAATTGATGCTGGCCGATTGAGAGAAGCTCGGTTCAGCGCTAAACTGTATGTGGAGTAGTGCGGTAGTACGGCGCAGCAGTTCACCATCAGCTACAAGGGCCAAAGGGTGAGTGCTCCCCCCTACATGGACCGACGACGATTTATCGAAACACGAACTGCTTCTCGGAAGGTTCACTTCTACCAACAGAGACTGTCCGAGTGTCTGCAGATTGCCTTACTTTCCTTTGAGCGAGGACAACGGCTTTGAAAACAAGGTCTCAATATCATGCCGGGAGTCGAGACAACAGGCTCAGGCACAGAGTACTTGTCCATCGACTCCGCAACCTGTCTGGCATCACTTCCAGATAGCACATCTGTCGTTCGTCCACAGTTAGGTGTTGCAGCTTCATCATCAACTAGAGGTTCTCGAGTCATCTTGCGTTCGACCTGTGTGATGGCTGCGTCGCAGAATCGATGGAGCGAAGTGCCGGGCCTTGTTACATTCGCCAAGAAGACTACGGTGGCTGGTGGTGAAAGAGTGGAATAGCACAACCTCGATCCTTCAACACAAGGGTATCATTCTTGCTTGGAGGCAAGTTGAGCTCCGCAGTCAGCGCTGGACCATGGTCTACTGGGTAGTCCGCGAAGCCGAGAGCTATTGTTATCGTGTGTGAGCCACTTGCGGCCAGGTGTTGGTGGTGGCATTGGCTACATGCTTTCTCATAGATTGCGCACGGCAGTTACTCGTACCTCTGCCTGTGTGCATATGTACGTGAACCCGTCAAGCAGAGATAATGCGCTTCGACATCAGTGATGCTGGACCAGGACAGCGAATACTCCGTATTAGTGCGCGATCTTCGTCGATGTGGCTTGTGAGTGGTCCAGACGCCAGCATAACACACGTTAGCGCAGAAGTGGACAAATCAGCCGTCGCCCAGTCACGAGCGCGACCGTCCCGGCACGTGCTATGGACCCCTCCTGTCCTCCCTGCGCTCCCCTTCTTGGCTTACACAGAATTCTCCACCAGCATGTGCAGAAATAATCTGGCTCGACGAGCGGGTTCGCGGTCCATCTCGCCTCGAGATGTTACAGCACGACACTGACCACATTGAGCACGGAAGACTGGAGGTTACACTCTTTATAGTCTGAGAGCAGTGCTCTCCACCGCTCTCCATCACGTCTTCCTTTGTCCCCTTCTTGTCGTCACCTACCCAGCATGCCTTCCTCGACCGCCATGGATGGGTACGCCGCCCAAATTGCAGCGCCGATGACCATGGCCCAGCGCAAGCAATTGCTCAAGCAGCTTCAAGATGCCAGCTCTATTGACAGTCTGCGCCGTCCAGAAATCCTGATGGACTTCTTCACCGACAGTCTGGACATGCGGGACTTGGGGCTCGCAGTGCCGGCACTTACGGGTCTGTTTCACCTTATCACGAAGAAGAACCTCGATTACCCTGCGTTCTACCCTCGTTTGTACGCCCTGCTTGATAAGGATCTCCTCCACAGCAAGTACCGCAGCCGGGTGCTCCGGCATTTGGACGTCTTCCTGTCCCCCACGAACCACTTGCCCGCCGCGACAATTGCGAGCTTCATCAAGCGTCTCTCGCGACTATGCCTCTTTGCTCCTCCCTCGGCCATTGTGGCCATCATCCCTTTCATCTACAACCTCCTCAAACAACATCCAACCACTACCTTCATGATTCACCGACATCCACATCCTCCCTACACAAAGTTCAAGCATAACCTGGGCAACGATCCTTATGACCCAAACGAGCCCAATCCACAACTCACGGGTGCGATTGACTCGTCGCTCTGGGAACTCGAGACCTGCCAGTCTCACTACCATCCCACGGTCGCGAGTATCGCTCGAATCATCTCTGAGCAGTTCACGAAGCAGCAGTACAACCTCGAAGACTTCCTCGACCACGGCTACGCGACGCTGCTGGAGAGCGAGTTCAAAAAGAAAGAGAAGAAGCCTCCCGTGGTGGAATACAAGATCCCGAAGAGAATTTTCTCTTCCACGGAAGATAGTGAGGACGAAGCTGTTGCTGGGCAGCAGCAGATGGACCAAATGCTGGACATGTGGGACTTTGAGTGATCAGATACATATCTGCCTGCACTACATGACGAATTACGACAATCAAGAGAAATAGACCCCGACAAAAGATAGACTGGGAGGAATCCGTGCAATGCGTTTTAGCGGTTCTTGATCTGGTGGATAATTGACGAGGATAGACTTGGAAAGGGCAGAAAGGGCAGATCACTCCGATCGAGACATAGAATAGACACATGCTTCAATGCCAAGGTCTCTTGTTTGGACACAGTTGGGTCCTGGATGGTTCTCGAATGAATTGTTGGGCTCACCGCTGAAACCAAGTCAAAGTGCCTAAATGAGAGCTTCGCTCTCCCAGAAGAGCTTCGGCAGTGTTCGACATTTAAGCAACTTCCCGTACGAAGCATGCTTGGGCTCCTTCGTTTGACTAGTTTCTGGGTGTTTTGGAATATGCTATGGGCTGTCGAGCGTGCATGATCCCAAGGGCATGGCTGAAGGCGACAAGCCAATGTAAGGGTAAGAATGAAGAGCAGATAATCATCACCTTGTGTTCTCCAGTTTCCTGCCTGTTGACTCTCCTCCGAGCGGCATATTCTGTAGCTGTATCTCTTTGACAAGGCCTTTGGCATCGATGCAGAAGTCTGGATTAACCTCCAGCATACGGCGCAAGGGGTCATGTCTCGGAGAAACCGTGTCCGTCAACTTCGACACTTTTGACAGCCACCTGGTCATTTACGTGGAACCCGCCGTGGCCCCGAAGACCCTGCTCGGATCCCATCAATCTCTGTTGCGTCGGGAAGCGGTACTCCGTACAATCCTCAGACAGAACATCAGCAATCGCTCGGGACCAGAGTTTCCCATGTAAGACCGTTGTTGCAGTTAATTCATGAGCGGATACGGTATACACCCACTAGAGAAATGTCCTTGGATTCTCTCAATAGCGGGACGAAGGACACAGTCCAGTATTCGTATTCGTAGCAAATACGAACAGGCAAAAGGACCGCCGCTATCACAGATCGAGGACAGTGTAAAGATCCCCGCTCTCGCTTGTCTGCTTGGCCACAGCTCGCGCGGGCTTCTGTCTCTTCCTTCTCTGTATCCGGCCCGTCCGTTCATTCTACAAAAGAAGCACTCCTCGTCGCCGTCGAGCCTCCAGTCTACATGATGGGGCTTGCTCTCATCCCGCTCGTGTGGGAGGGAAATGTCGTCACCGCTGATCTGCATGGCTGTCAAACCCCGTCAACGGGCCCCTTGCATGAACGCCCAGGAAGAACCAGAGTTCTTGAGAGTTTATTCATGCCACTCCAAGCAAGGTCGATCTGTCCTGCGTCACATCGCCGCCCACTTCATCTCAACTCTTCCTTGAGCTCACACACGGGGACTACAGGCACATAAGCACTCCTGCCGTTGCATTCTACTGCGTTCCTCGCATCGATACACCTTCTGGGCTTGACCAGTTTGATTCTGTTCCTCCTTCACTCGAGGAGCCATGGCCGGCAGTTGATACTACCTCTGCTCATTCTCAAGCGCCCCTTTTTCGCATTTGCTCGTTTCATGACCCAGCGGACTTGTTCGAACAGACAGACCTTCTCTCGTCCTTCATCTCAACACAGACCCCGTCCAAGTCTCGACGATGGAGACATCTGCCACATGCTTACAAAACGCCCTAGCTGACGAATCTGCGACGTTTCTCTGTCTACCGAAAGAAGCTCGACGCATGATCTTCCAGCTCATCTTTCCCAAGATCCAGATCTATTGCCACTATGAAGGCCCCTATTCGCAGTTTGACGAACAAAGCCAGAGGAGAATCGAACATCCAGAGAGGAGGTGGTACAGTCGCGGGTGGCATTTCGAAGGTGCACTTCTCCTTGTCTGTAAGCAGATCCACCTGGAGGTAAAGTCCGTCATCTTCAACGCTCCGGTCACCGTCGGTGGGCACTGGAAGGGTGTTTTCTGCCCGTCTGATTTCCCCACCGGATGGGATGTGTCTTCCAGAGTCGTCAAAGTGCATCCAGGTCGAACATTCGCCCTCTCCCGGACTCAAAGCATTTACGGGTACCTCTTCTTGGATCCTGTGAACTGCCCCAACCTCCGCACCGTCTCGACAAACATCGGTCGCTATATCTGCAAGGATTACGACCATCAAGTTCACTACCCTTTCAAGCTACTACCGACCATCTATCAATGCTTGCGACGACAGTTCGAAACACGAGAGCACGTGTCGACCGTGCATCTAACTGAGCTCGAAGCCATATGTGACGTCAATGCCCTTCAACACGCTCGAGAGACAGACCGATTCATCAAAAAGAGGAGCCTCACATTCAAATGCATCACGCTCTTCGAAGTTGTCTGTTGGGAGGATACTGCTTCTGAGGGTGAGCCGTATCGAGAATGGGACCCACGCTATGATCAGGGGCCTGACTTTCAGCATGCTTTCAGTGTAGTAAGTAACTCAGCCGTCAAGTTGCACTCAGATCGAGCTTTCTGACGTTGGGTTAGCTCGTCTTATGGGACAAAGATGGACTGAGAGTTGAAAACATGCCGAGGCTCGATGGATTTTTCGCAGAGCATGGGCGACGGATATACTCTGGCAGCAATATTTGGGAAGCCGATGAGTGGTTTGCCAAAGGTCGAACCATCTGGTGGCACGATCGAAGCGACGGCAGGCTGTCCCGGTGGTTCAAGTCCCAGGAATTGGAGGGCCGGGAACACCTCAATCGGAAGAGTTTGGCGTTGGAAGGGACGGATGATTCCAGCAATACGAACGTCCTGAATCGAAGCTAGATCTGGTGCCAGAACGCCTGTGAGAAGGCTGCGGGTATTCAGAAGTTCTTTGCTGCAGTGACTTGGTGCGGCTAGTCGAAGTGGAGGAAATCAACCACTGAAGAAGTCATCCGTGTCCGTCGAGGATCTCAAATATGGTCGACGTTGCAGGAGGAACACGATTGCGAAGCGTGGGGGTTGCCGACCGGAAGCGTCATTGTCCTAGTCATTGACTTTGGTCGTTGTTGAACAAGATGGACTTTTCGCGACAACTTCATTCGATCTCGTACGGAGTACGGAGTACTCGTGATGAGGATCTTCCAGTGGAGAGTGATAATTCTTGGCGTAGAGATAAGCATATCACAGCGCCACCAATCACCATCAATCTGGCTTGCGCATGCCCCACCCTCAGGATGAGGGGTAATTACCCAGTATAGCTACCACGAGTATCCACGTACGGAGTATGTGTACCGAGTAATGTGTACGCGGTAATGTTTATGGAGATCAGAATCCTGCTTGCCTTTCGACAACTCAATAACTCGACAGCCGACACCTCGACAATTTGACACCGACGTACGTCAAACCGTCGCCCTGAGCCACTCGAGCTGTATGCATGTCTCCCACCATGCTGAATCGAAACTACCATCGAGCCCTCCGCAGCAGCAGGCCCCTCGCCTCATCGATGTCGATATCGATCCTTCTTCGCCAGCCAGCCCTTCCGCGCCGGTCATTCCATCCAGAACCACGCTCCTTCCAGAACAGTGCTCACGGCACGCACCGCTTCGTGTACAGATGGATCATCCAAGCCATCGGCACGCCCTTTGCCGTCGCTTACCTGTGCGATCAAGTGTCGGAGCGAAAGGACGACGGCGGCGGCGGGGAGAATAGCTTCAAGCTGGCCCTGCCGGGAATCGATACGGGGATTCTGACCGAGCCCATGCGGGTGAAGAGTTGGACTTGGGGGCAGGTGCGCGTGTCTTGACTTGACATGGCATGACATGGCCTGGGGCGGCCTCAATGCGTTAACATTCGTTCGCTGGATGGTGTGAGACCATCGTGCAGAGGGCATGTCCAGGCGGAGAGCATGGGAGAGGCAAAAGCGCAAGACCCCGGTGTGCATTTTGTACTCATACCTGGTGAATTCTGTACATGTATGTACTTATGTACACCTAGGTACTGATGAAGTTATGAAACTTGCTAGTGATGACTGATTACTGTACTGTACTTGGACAGCGCCGCCTGTTACAGTATTCACGAGGGATACGTGCCCAGTATGCAATCTCGTCATTCGTCGCTTGTCCGGTGGAGGTGTGATCTCTTTCACACATGTCAATTACAAGGCCGCGGCCTGGAAAGACGTGTGTATACCCACCTAGGAACGATATACACAATTACCGGATGTGTCAGGGCAACGGTGCGTCTCTGATATCGCATCTCCATGTGCTGTTGCTGGGGAACCCATTCACCGCTGGTGTTGTATCACGCACCTGTTCCATTCACTCAGGTATCACACCATGGCGACTCTGTAGATCTAAGGCCCCGCCAACACGACTGACGCGGCTGCGAACTATACGAGGCCCGCCGTCTCGTCGTCCAGCCAGCTAGCTGTCCTCGAGTCCAGTGAGACATGCAAGCATATGTACAGTAGCTAGGCCGGCCGACCGCCAGTCCCGTGGTTCTCTATATCCCTGCAGCTGGCCTTCACCACGCGTATGAACACGGGCTGCGACAACATCCCCTGGGGACCGGGACCCTACGACTTGTTGTTCTCTTGCAGAACCAAAGCCACCAGCCTGGTCAGGTCAACAGGACATTTCAGCAGACCGTAGGCACAAATGCCCGCCCTGCCAGCGAGATACGCTAACGGACAAGTTGAAGGATACCATCGAGTTCAAGTCTTGTAAATTGCGATAAAGTATGTACATGTTTCGCTAAGGGGGAAGATTATTTCCGCTTCCATGGAGATGTGCATAGCCCGTCACGGAACTACCTCTCGCCACGTCTCGCCTGCCAGATAGGTGTATGCCTAGGCTGATACAGTAACTGGGTCCCACGACGCTGTTCTGCATCTATACTGATCCATTGCCCGCCTCTGCACTTCACAGGCCGTTCTTCTTCAGGAAGGCCAACACAATGCTCGCCTGCTGTGCCAAATTCGTCTCCAGCAGAAAGTGACCGGCGTCCAACAGCACGACCTCGGCGTTGGGGAGGTCTCTCTTGTAAGCTTGCGCCCCTGGCGGGACAAAGATGACATCGTTCTTCCCCCAGGCGGCCAGCAGTTTGGGCTGCTTCTGCCTGAAATAGGCCTGCCATGACGGGTAGAGCGGGACGTTTGAGCGATAGTCCGTCAGCAGGTCGATCTGAATATCTCGGTTGCCCGGTTGTTGGTTGATCAGCGAGTAGTCTAGCCAGTACGCCTCGGGCTCGATCAGCCAGGGCTTGGCGCTGCCTGTCGTATACTGCGATTGGATGCCCGGGAGGCTGAGGACCGTGCTGTTGATGGGATCGGCGGCCGTCTGGAACTCGGCCGGCGTGGTGGCGTTCCAGAGCGGATAGACGACCGGCGGCCAGAAGGACTGACCGAACCCCTCGAGGTAGGCGTTCGCGTTCTGTGAGATCAAAGCGAGGATGGACTGCGGTCGCTGGACGGCCAGGCGGTAGCCCACGGGCCCGCCATAGTCGTGCATGTAGGGGATGAAGGAGGTGATGTTCTTGGCGTCGAGGAAGGCCGCGACCGTGTCTGTGAGCGTCGTGAAGCTGTACGTGAAGTTCAGCGAGGAGGGCACCGTGGTGAATCCGAAGCCGGGGTAGTCGGGTGCGATGACATGGTAGCCATGTCCTGCCAGGATGGGGATGAAGTTTCGGAACTGATGGGACGAGGAAGGGAAGCCGTGCAAGAGCAGGAGTGTGGTTCCGTCGCGGGGGCCGGCTTCGCGATAGAAGACATCAATACCATCGGCAAGGGTGACATTGCCCACGGTGTAAGGCAGGCCCGATGAGGAGGATGTGGTCGCCTGAGCGGCTGCGAAGAACAAGAGAGCAAGGAAGTTGAAGATTCGCGAGATCCTGTCTCTTGACATGTTGTCTGTGTCTGGGAACTGATGGACGTCAGCGACTCTTGCGGAGTTGAGGCAGCCAGGGAGGTGGTCTGGATACATATATAGGATTCCCTTCTGGTGCTCCGCCATACCAGTCCATTCTCGTCCACGTCTATGTGATTATTCACGTTCGCACCTGGTGCTGGGCTCATGGCTGACTGACGTCTTTCAGGCCCAATGAGGTGACCGTGGAAGCAAATGACGGTCGGTTCGTGCAAGATGCTGTTGGACGTCGGTGCCTGTGCCTCGCAGATTCGTGATGCCAGCTAGCTGTCCGTCGTTCTCCACGCAGACGATCCGTCGGTGGCTGACTCACTCCATTTCCCAATGCAGAAGGTTTCCGGCTCTTGATCTGGAACAGACACGGATCCGAATGGGATCTGGTCCACACGGCATCACGTCGAGAAGTCTATGCGCAGAGAACCGGACGCCAAGTGGAGAGGAGCTGCTCAAGGCCTCGAAACGAAAACACAGGCATCAGCCGTGCGCGGTACCAGGTGCGAGCAATCGAGAGCAACGGCCAAGGAATGGCCGCTGGTCAGACTAGCAAGGGCTCGAATGCCTAGAAAAGGCATGGTGACTTGGACATGAGAAAGTCTCAAAGAGGCTGGACAAACGGCGTTAAGGCGCCACATTGGTCGAGATTGAGAAGACGGTCGAACGAATAGACGAGGTGGCGAGGCATACTGGCGCACAGACTGCGCAGAATATCAGCATTGAAATCAGTCTGGACTCAGTCCTGACCACAGACGGACGTCTCTGTCGCATCCACAGCGGTGTACCTCGTACTGTGCCATTGACAAGAAATGTTAGATCGAATGTTAGTGGATAAGCTGCTGCTTTAATATAGCGAGTCAGCGTGTTGTCATTAAGCCAGTATCGATGACAAGACAGCAAAGATGCTCCTCGCTTCTTTGGAAACTTCCTCTGTAGGTGTAGATTTTTTAGTGTGCGGGGCCACCTGGCACAGTCACTTGGGAATTGCCATCCGGGCGCAATGCACCGCCGTACCTCAAGAGCCACTTGACAACGCAGCCGGTTTCTGCTTGAGGAACGAGGCCGCACGCAGGCCTGGGGCGTGGCACATCATCGGACTGTGAGGGTCGATGAGCAGCCAGCCATTGCAGCTCTTCCCCTCACTATGCGAGCATGGGTTTTCACCTCTGCACAGTGGATTGTGGAGGGTAAGCGGGCATTGGCTTCATGTCGCGCCTCGTTGTGGCATCATTCCACCACTTTCTTCTGTCCATCACGCATCTCGACATCCGTCTGGCCCCAGTGGATCACGCTGCCACCGAGAGCTCGGATGTGGATCGGCGCCGCATCCGACCTTCATGATTCGACACGATGCCGCTGTACGAAATTACCGGAAACACCCAGAGTCGCTTCGTTCAGGCCGCAGCCCTCCTTCACTTGCTCGATCCAGTGCGTGGCGAACCAAGTGCGTATGGCCTCGATCAGGACTCGAACACACTGGAACAGAATCGGGAGCGGCTTCTGAAACGGAAGTTTCTCGATTCTTTCGCCCTGATCTGCGCAAAGAAGAAAGACGGCGACACGGTGTCGGCCGCGTGTTTGGAGGAAGGCCGACCAGAGGGAACGATAGTCCGCATTGCCAGTAATCAGGGCGTCGCACAATCCACGCTTGCTGAGCTACGAGAATTAGTGGCTGTTCTGAATGGCGTTGCAGCCCGTGGTGAGTAGCACGCTTTAAGTCAACCTAGCCCGCTATTTATTGTGGCTCCCTGTTGCAGAGTACGCCGCATCCGACAAGGCCGCGGAAGTCTTGCAGCGGATCACCAGCCTCGATGCTGTCAGAATACGGTCCTATCTGAAAGACATTCGCAGCGTGGGTGACGATGTGAGGGACATCGTCGACGTCTCCAGTTCGGCACCAGCGTTCCTCCAACTCGACAACGCTGGCAGCTTTCCAGAATGGATTGCGCACGTCTTCACGATCCGAGACCTCCCTCTAGAGCCTGCCTCTGAAAGTCTTGTCGACCATGTTCAGTGGGCTTTGGAGGCTCGACGAACGTACCTAGCATGTCTCAAAGCTCTTTTCCCCGACACTTTACCCCGATGGGTTTACGCCATTCTCAAGCTTGGACGGTATGCGATTGCCTCTATGGCATTACTCCATTTTGCATCCGACTTCCCGGCTCTCTTCAATCCCATGCTTGTAGAGCCGGCAATCGCCCCTCCGAGAACCCAATTCACAGGCATGGAAGAGATGCCCTTGACGAGCGTGCTTCGAAGAATTGCCAGCGGTCCAGAAGTGACCCACTATATCTCACGCCTCGCGCAGGTCTGGCAGGTACAGGACCCAGAAGCCCATTTTCGAAATGTTTGCACTTTAAACCTTCCTGTTCATGCTGAAATGCAGCTCCTCAATTTCTACGACCACAACCCCAAGAGGAAACCGTCCTTCCGCTTCATCGGGGTCAGCAAGAAATCCTGTTTTCTGTGCCATTGGTTTCTCACGAGGCATCCGCAATCATTCAACATTGCGGCTTGCCACCAGAAGCTTTATCTCACCTGGAGACCTCCACCCGCAGCCGACGCCGTCATCTATAGACGATACAAGGCCATTGTAACCGACTTGGCCAAAGCCATGGAGTTGACGGCGAAACAGGAACTGCAAAATCGTCTCGGTCTCCGACGCCCTGTTCCCCCGGATTCAACTGCTGGTGTGTCAGTCTCAGGTCTGATGGATCTCAACAACAGATCACATGACGCACCCGCAATCTCGGAGATGGTCACTACGTCGGCAAAGTCTGTCGTGCGGGAGGTAGCACCTACAACATCGTCACTGCGGCCGATCCCGGTGGTGGACACTTCATCCCGAGATGAAGAATTGTCCTGGCGTCCTTGGAACAACTCTTCTGTCGGTGATTCATGCTCAACCACCGAAATGATGTTCCATGTGATGCGCTTGAACGAAACTCAGCGGCAAGACATCATCGCTCTACGTGACGTTATGGATCGACATTCCGGAGAACCATCGTGGGCCAAACTAGTCGACCTTCTCATGGACGAGGCTGGGGTTGGTTTGAGGGACGGAGACTTTCTCATGGTAAACGATCGGATCCGAGTCGGTAATGAGAGACAGCTGCTTGCTTGCCTGCAGTTCCTGCGAAACGAGAAGGTGTTGAACTCGGAAGTCTATGTCTATAACTTGAGCACACGATCACCAGGCGTGACTCAGCAAGGCTAAGGTATTCTGGACAAGTGGATCTGGACGGTAGCTATTGGTGATCCGGATATTCCTGACGATGATCACGGTGCATATCGATGGTAATAGTATTTCGCGGTGGCTGGAAGGACATTTGGCGATTCTTTAAGTCCATCTACATTTACCCACTTTTAGGCGCATATTCTATTCACGGTCGAAAAATCAGTTTCCTTGCCCGATGATTTGCGACCCTTCTACAAGGCTCGGTCTATGTTGACGAGGCTGCTCATGTCATGATTTTGCCCCATGGCCTATGAGGACTCTGGGGAAGAGAACAGCATGTTGAACAAGTGCCCACTGAGTGATGTCTTCTGTTTGCAAGGCTCTCTGAAGATCTGGCTGTCGCTGCCTCATCATCGTTGCCGCTTTCAGCCTCGACTAGTTGAAACCCTGGATATCAATCACGGGCCCTGGAAGCAAGTTTTCACCGGCTTTGTCGCATCCAAACGACGAAATGCCGGGGCATCTTGCGTATTGCGTGTTGCTTCCGTCTGCAATCATGGGTTTCATGGACTTTACCCATACAGTCCTCCACACAACCGCCAGGCTGGTCTCAGATGTTCCGCACCACATCCGAGATCTTCGTCGCATCCTGAAACCAACAAGGAACAAAGGTTCAATGTCCTCCTGCCTTTGCTTGAACCCTGAAACACTTCCAGCTGCCGGTGTGATCCGGTATCAAGCCTTGATGCGGGCTCCCTGACGTTGTTTGTTTTTGTTTCTTGAAAGACATGGGGCCGACCCTTCCACGCCATCCGCGAGTGGGACAAAGGGAACATCTCACGACGACCGAGAGACGGTCGAAGTTCTTGTCCAACCCGACGTTGTCGCCATGGGAAGCTTGGGGGACGAATCTTCTCGCTTTGCCTTGTTACGTGTTTGCGACAGGCCAAGGCGTTGTTTGAGATGTGGGATACAAAAAGCAAACCACCGCACTGAGGGTCAGAATGGACACCACTTGTTTTGGCTTTCCCAAAGAGACATCTGGCGACCTATGTAAAGAGACGGCACGGTATCGCATTCCCGTGGTATCGCTTGAAGACTTCCATCACACGGCGCCCGGCCCAAGCCGACCAAACTCAACTTCCACACAAGACGACATTTCCCATTTTCTCCTTGGCCAGCAATTTTCTCCTCTACCGCCATGCCGATCCCAACACCAGAGTCACCGAACGAGTGCTGGCTGTGTACCCACCAAAAACACTTCGAACGACAATTCTTGCGATGTCTGTGGTGGGGTGACACCGTATACCCGCTTCAAGGGCGTCAAGGTCCAATGGACAATCCGCACCTTCCCACCTGACATCGACTCGAAGAGCCGGTTCGGTAGCATACTCGGTGTACTGAGAACTTTGGACCACTACGAGAGAATCGCCGTCAAGATCGGCGCCGGGAAAGGGGCCGCTCTTCGGAAAGCCAAAGATGAGGGAACCGAGGCAGCCTTTGGAGATCGCCCAAGGGTTCCACCTCCGGCAGTCATTCTCATCAAGGCCCCAAGAGAAGAGATGGAAAGGAAAAATGAAAAGGAGAAGGCGGATGAAAGGGGAGAAGAGAAAGGTCCGGTAACCCGGTTCAGCTACAGGTTATGGGATGAAGAAACCCAAAAGACCGATGTGGAAACGTGCGAGTGGAAAGACGCAACACGACCAACCTTCTGGGACGAGACCAACCCGGTGAGCAGCGTCGATTTCGTTGACCCAGACCATGACGCTAACAGCGATTAGAACTGGCGGCAGAGAATCTGAGCGGAAACCGGTCATTGGATTTGATGGAGACTTCCCTCACCCTGTCCCGAGGCAATCGGTCGCCATGCCATGTTGTGTCTTGGGAAGACGTCCGTAAGCATCAAGGGGTACGGGTATCAAGTAGGCACCATGCTGGTGCTGCCTTGATAGTACTGGGATTGTTTGAGTAACAACTACCAGTCCATCTCAAGCACTTAAAGCACGACACCAGTGCCAAGCACCAGGTGCCAATCCAGCAACGGGCAGTGGCAGACACACAAGTCGCCACCTGCCCTCACAACGGGTACAACAGGGCGGTTGAGATCCTAGACATTGACACAGGCAGTTTCGGCAGGGTCTGAGGACGCACACGATGTATTTCCGTTCGAGTTGGAACATTCACTGAGATCCCTCATCATTTCGTCTCTGGCTGCGGCTCGTCTTCTCCCCTCGCCGGCGCCTCGCATGCCCATGGATCCGGTCTCTTGTACACTTCAAGAAGAGTTTTTTGTTCCTCCGATCCGGGTTCAGTGATTTTACAAGAAACTTGGCCTCCCCAATGCATCATTTTGAATATCCCGACCGCGTCATGGGTGCACTTGCAGAAAGGAGGCCTGTGCCACGTCTTGTTCTTGCCGGGGTGCTCATGATCGAATTGTGAATAGGTGCTCCTCATGCAGTCCAGGTTGTTAGCCACGCGGCGCCATGCCCGGTCACTGACTTCTGGCATGAGCTCTTCCCAGATCGGCTTGAACAACTCGTCGATGGAGTCATCGCCCAGTCGTTCCATGGCCAGCCGCTCCATCCACCAGGGATAATATCCCGCGCGTTCCCAGTCGATGATACCTTGAATTTTGCCATCCTTGACAATGATATTGGTGAGATTGAGATCTGCATGGGTGAGGACGAATGGGCTGCAAGTGGGGAATCCGTCTTTGAGTTCTTGGAATTCCTGTTCGATGAAAGCCTGGTCCGCGGTGTCATAATCCCGTGCCAGGCCCATCCGAAGGTCGGCGCCAATGCCGTCTAGCCATTCGTCAACGTTATATGGAATCTTGAAACAGGTCCCGGGACCGCTCGTCAAACATGTGGCGATGATGAAATCGTCGAGTTGGCTGCCATCAACCTTGTGCGGCCTGGGTGCTGTAAACCGCCGCAATTTCCGTAGAATCTCAGCCAGTTGGCGGCTATAACTGGCTTTCTCTTCCGGGGAGGCCTCGGCCCAGGTGTCGCGGAGTGAATCGCCCAGCACCCGCGACTCCAAGGTGAAATAGATTGGATCTGTCGGCTGGCTTAAGCTCCGGACTTCCTTGGGGATGGGAATGTCCAAGTCTGGTTGCTGGTGGAGAAACTTCAGAGTGATGTAGTTATTACCGAGGAAGCGATCGTTTGGCTGGTCCCGGAGAATCCAACGCGTTCCAATCGTCCAGGCCCCCTGGTTCTTGGTCGAGTGGATAATTCTAACCCGGGATCCATAAGAACTAAGCCCTTCATTGACCGTATTCCAACCGCAGCACCAGCAGAGCTCCCTCGCAGGTTCCTCAGCCCGTAGCCAATACAGTTGCCCCGGTCGGTGTACCTCAGATTCAGATGCTCATATTTTTTTTGGAGGGGTCGGTGTAGTCCAAGTCGTCAGCGGCGAGATTCTCGGTGTTGCCGCTGATCGTTGTGAAGAGAATGCACGGAGTTGTGGTGATTCAGTGCCGTACGCTGAGTACTATGTAATGTCGTGTCTCGAGAACTGCATCGAGGTTGAATGGACGTGGATTGGTACCTTTAATGACGGCGGTCGGAAACAAAGACGGAGAAGTCAAGTCTGCAAACGGCGCGAGGAGATCAGGATCAAAGACAGCAGACGAGGCCATAAACAGCGGGCGTCGACAAGGAACAAAGACCGAAGTCTCCGGAAACCGCGATAGTAACGCAAACAGCAGTCGGTACTTGCAGACCAGGACCACAGACAGCAGTCTCCACGCACGGCCATTGCGACAAGGATAGTGCTTTGCAGCCGTCGTCCGGCGGGAAACGTTACAGACTTGATGTTACCGTTGTCCAAGATACTAATCCCGTCTGCCAATTGACGGAGCATTGTGCGCGTGCGAACAAGGATTCTCGAGTCTCCGAATGCGGACAGCTGCGTGTCTCGGTGCCATTCGAGACGGTGTACTCTGTGAGGAGTTAGTGTGCCTGCTGTGCCCATCGTCTGTGATAGTGAGACCGGTTTGATCACATTCCAACGTAGGGAGTTTCTAGGGAGATATGTCTGGAATGTGACCGTCAGGTGAGGCGAGGGTGAGACGAGAGTGAGAGGTGAATCAGCGCCGAACCCGATACGTCAGCATGTGGGTCGCGTATTTATTCCGACGATTCTCATTCCGGCGACCGCAGCCAAATCACACTGGCCACGTGACCGTCCTGACTCGGTTCACTGCCGGCGTGAGAACGATGCAGTCAGCACAGCTTGACTTCTTGCTGGAAGATGGCTGACAGCGCCTGCCATTCCTGAACACGTAACCTACTACGCATCGCGTCACTGGAGCCGCAGTCGCACATGTCCTCCAGACAGCGTGAGGTGAGAGTCTACACGCCGCTTAACACAATGGTGATCAGGCTGACGATGCGATACAGCCGAGATCACGTCTGGCCCAACCACTGAGCTTCCGTTTGCCGGCCGGTCGCGTGCTCAAACAGACGTCAGAGCGCCGCCAAGGCAGTCTAGCCAAATCTCTCGCACGCGCGCCGTCGTCGAGGTCGGGAATGGTACACTTTGGGTAATGGTCAGGCGTCCTCGCTACGGAGCCACCTCTGTAGCGACGTCGTCGTGGACTCTTTCCATTCGCAAGATGCCGCTGATATATGGCGAGCACACAACCCTCGAGCCATGGAACTGAAAGACTGCGACGACAAGACACTGCAGTCGACTTACAGGGGCCATCATCACACCGATCGGTCTAGGGCAACCCAAGGCGAAGCTCATTCTCGCTATATGGGCCGTGTCGATTCTCCCTAGGTATATTAACTCAAGCCGGAACCCACGGCGCACAGTTTGACAAGCAATCGTGCAACCACGTCGGAAATGGCCCCTGCTACCATTCCTGCACCCCTCGACGGCAAGGTGGCTCTTGTCACAGGAGGTTCTCGAGGCATTGGCCGCGGCATCGCAGTCCACTTCGCGACCAAAGGCCTCGCCAAGATTGCAATCACCTACGCCGCGAACGCCGCTGCCGCAGACGAGACCCTCGCAGAAGTCCGCCGTATCAACCCGAACATCAAAGCCACGGCCATCAAGGCGGATGTCTTGTCGCCCACTTTCGCCCAAGACGTGGTGTCCCAAGCCTTGACCGGTCTTGCAACCCAAACCATCGATATTGTCGTCAATAATGCCCCCTACGTCAACACCGAAGAAGCCCTCCCAATAGTATCCATGACCAAAACTGTCTTTGATAATCTCCTGACCGGCAACGCCTGGGCACCCGTGCAACTCTTCCTCGCTGCTTTGCCACACATGCCGCGGGGCGGCCGTGTCATTATGATCAGCAGTACGGCTTCAAAACAAGCCAGCCCGGACCCGGTGGTCTGCTACGGTGTCTCCAAAGCTGCGCTCGACAGCTTCACCCGCAGTCTCGCCCTGATCTTCTCTGCGAAACATGGGATCACGATCAATTCGGTGTCTGTGGGTCCTACGCTGACAGATCTCGTCAGAATCCCAATGGAGGCGGGCGTGTTGCCCAAAGAGTTGATTGACATGCTTGTCAGCAGGAATACTGCAGACCATAGACTCGGCGAAGTGGAGGACATTGCAGGGATTGTGGGCTTCTTGGCGAGTGAGGAGAGTAGGTGGATCAATGGTGAGTTAGCCGTGACGTGACACATGATTTCCCGATCTTACGAACGTGCTAACGACGAGGCAGGGAACAATATACCTGCGAATGGAGGGTCTATGCTGGAGATCCAGGGGTGAAGGGGAACACACGAAGACAGCACCGGGAGACGAGAACATATCCATACATGCCGCTAGTTAGGTACTTAGCAGGCAACACCTCCGTCTGCCGAGAAGGTTGCGCCTGTGGTGTAGCTTGAATCATCGCTGAGCACGAAACAAATCGTCTTGGCCATGTCGTCGGCCGTGCCCAGCCGTTGTAAAGGTAAGGTTTTGTACGTGTTGGTCACGGGCCGGTCGGTCGCATCGCCGTCGTTCAACAACCTGGACAACATGGGGGTCTCGATCGGGCCACTACAGCGGCGTCAGTTGGTCTTTCGCCGCTTCTGCCAGCGACAAGCTTGATACTTACGGCGCGAGCGCGTTCACCCTGATCCCCCGTTCGCCCACCTCCTTGGCGGCCGTGCGGCTTAACCCGACCACGCCGTGCTTGCTCGTACTGTAGGCCCCAATGCCCGGCCGGCCCATGACGCCGGCCAGACTGGCCACGTTCAAGACGCTGGCGCCCCGTTCCATGACCCGGAGCTGTGCCCTCAAACAGTAAAACACGCCGGTCAGGTTGATGCGCATGATGTAATCCCAGTGCTCGTTGCTGATGTCGACGAGGTTCCGGAAGACTTTGCCGCCCGGCGGGCCCTCGACGCCCGCAATGTTGGCCGCCCCGTCCAGCCGGCCGAAATCCTTGACCGTGGCCGCGATCCAGGCGTCGACCTGCGCCGAGTCGGACACGTCGAGGCGCGTGCCCGTGACCTTGGTGCCCTTGGCCTTGAGCTCGTCGACGACCTTGGCGAGGGCCCCCTCGTTGATGTCGGACAGGGCCAGCCCGGATGCGCCTCGCGCCGCGGCGAGACGGGCGGTGGCGGCGCCGATCCCTGACGCGGCGCCAGTGATGGCAATGACTTTGTCTTGAAGTTGCGCCATGTTTTACTGTCTGTAGTTATGTAAGCTACTGCGGGCGGGGCTGGCTGATCAGGTCAGGTCAGATCAGATCAGGTGTGGGTGGGTGCTTTCTTCCTCGTCTCGTAAGGGTCAAGCACAATCTTTCGGCGCGCCTGGTATCTCAAAGGACAATCTGCCACACCCCGAACCCCGGACCCATGCCGCCTCGTCTTCGTCTTATATAGGTACTAGCAGGCTGACGGCACTCCGTATGCTGCTGACTGGCCGAAGTACCCGGTAAGCCGTAGTGAGGGGTTCCGAGGCAACACGGCCGGCCCGATTTGGGAAGCGCGGGGATTTGATAGAACGTCTCGATTTCTCCGCACGGCGTGTATGTAATGCTCTGTTGGTTTTTCAGATTGGATGTACAGAGTACAGAGGACTAGATGAGGAAGGTCAGCAGTATGAATGCCTCCAGTAGCATCGTCTAACACGGCACGTCACAGCCAACACGTCACAGCCAGCGCCGAGTCCAAGTAGGTGACAAGTACAAGAACAATGGTGGGTGAGAAGCTCAGACCAGACGGACTGCTCGTTTGCACCATCTTCCCCGTCTGTCCCGTAGGAGCTCAGCATCTATGTACGGAGTACTTGTAAAGCACAGATCCCAGGGACGCGACCGACGCGACGGCGCGACAACAGAAGTACGGGTAACTACTACGTTCCCTGGTACTTGTCCTCGTACTCGTAGTTGAGCAAGCAAAGCCCATCCCAGCGGCGGCATTTCCGTGGAGTTGTCAAGATTGTGAAATTGTATTTCTCTTCCCGCCGGGATAGCATCGAGATGGAGGACCGTGGTGAAAGTTACTGCTAAGTAAATGGACTTGCGCAGTCGAAGCCTGGATTGATTGCCTTTTTGTGCGTGTGCGTGTGCGTGTGCGTGTGCGTGTGCGAGCGTGCATGAGAGGACGATTCGCACAAGTTTAGGTTCGAGTCGAGCTCAAGCCCGAGTCCAAGGTACACAGTCACGCAGTCAGCCAGGACGAGTGAACGTCCGATTTGTGGTGGGACGTCCCAAACTTGCGGCCAAGCATCAACCATTGACCAAGCTGATCGGCGGCGGGCCCTTCGACGCCACGCCACGGAAGCGCCTGAACCTGTGGGGGAGGGACAGGGAAATACCCCAAGTATTGATGGCGGAGGTGTTTCGTTCCGGGGAAAGGTCGTTGACGAGGACAGTACCAGCAAGTGACTCGCCCCTTGTTGTGGGGGTGGCCTTGTCAAAGTACGGAGTATACGAGGACCTATCTGGAGATATACGAGAGAGACAGGTTTCCAAGGGGCCAAGCTATAAGCTATGAGCTATAAGATGTCGGATATAAGACATGCCCTCGAAGCCGTCGGACATGAAACAGACTCATGTAGCTTTTGCGGATGCAGTGCGAATGTAGGACATCCACTCACTCAATCACTCAATCACTACTCACACACCGCACACCACATACGTCTCACACTCTGATCTCACACTCTGATCTGATCCTGTCAGAAGTGTCACTGGTGAGAAGGAACACTCCCTGCCCTACATCCATCCATCCATCCGTATATACGGTTCCGTATTACCCGAAGCGCCCCCTGATTGACAACATGTAAAGGACCAGACGACCCCTCTGTACTCCCTAAGGTACCTAAGGTAAGTGCGTACAACTATATACAGTCCGTCAACCCAACAGCAGCGCCCTCAGCAGCGCGGCTACCAGCGACGCCGTCCCAACGACCAGGATCACGCCGACTCAGCGCATTCACTTTCCTACATCGATACCTGTACGGTCTACTCACCATGGCCGTCGGTATTGTCCTGCCTGGCATCGCTGGCTTGGTCGTGGCGTTCCTGCTATATGCCTTTCTCTTCATCGGACGGCGAGAGAAGGGCCTCCCACCAGGTACGTACATCCAGTACATACGCAGCCGAGACGGGACGGGACGAGACGAGACGAGACGTTGGTGCCAACGGCACAGCTGTCACGCAAGCAGCAGTGTGGCGGGTGGCAACAGCGACTCGTTCCGGGTTCATTTTCACCTTCGACTCGATCGTTGAACTTCTCTCCCACTTCCACTCCACTCCGTCGTGACTACTCCTCCCTCCGGCCGTACTGACTCTACTTTCGTGTCACAGGCCCCCCTACCGCGCCCATCATCGGCAATCTTCACCAGATCCCGACCAAAGGATCATACCTGACCTTCACACAGTGGGCGCGCCAGTACGGCGGCATCTTCTCGCTCAAGCTCGGGCCCGGCACGGCCATCGTGCTCACGTCGCGCACGCACATCAAACAGCTCATCGACAAGAAGTCGACCATGTACTCGGACCGGCCGCACAGCTACGTGTCGCACAACCTGATCACGGGCGGCGACCACGTGCTGATCGCGCACTACGGCAAGACGTGGCAGAAGTACCGCAAGACCATCCACCAGCACTTTATGGAGTCGATCGTCACGCGGGACCATCTCCCCCTCCAACACGCCGAGGCCGCCCAGCTGCTGCACGACATGCTGACCCGGCCGGACCAGCACATGGACCACCCGAAGCGGTACACCAACAGCATCGCGTGCGCCACCGTCTGGGGCGTGCGCTCGCCCACGGTCGACACCCCGCACATGCGCCGCCTGTACGAGCTGATGGAGGACTGGTCCGTGGTCATGGAGCCCGGGAACACGCCGCCCGTGGACATCTTCCCCTTCTTGCACTACGTGCCGGAGAGCGTGTTTGGGAATTGGCGCAGCAGGGCCAGGCATGTGGGCGACGCCATGAACGCCTTGTACAACGATATGCTGGCCGGGCTGGAGAAGCGGAGGGAGGCCGTGGGGAGTAAGTTCTCGTTCATGGACCGGGTGCTGGATCAGAAGGAAAAGCTCGAGCTGAGCAGGCACCAGCTGTACTTCCTGGGCGGGACCATGATGGAGGGCGCGAGCGACACCAGCTCCAGTATCATCATTGCCGCGATCCAGGCCTTCACCAAGTGGCCCGACGTGATGCGAAAGGCGCAAAAGGAGATTGACTCGGTCATGGGCGAGGATCGGTCGCCTGTGTGGTCCGACTACGCGCAGCTGCCCTACGTGGCCGCGACGGTGAAAGAAGCCATGCGCTGGAGACCAGGTAAGATGTCCCGCTCTCAAAGACGTTTTGCGACAATGCCGCTTATACTGACCATTGTTGTAGTAGCGCCACTGGGCTTCCCACATGCTGTCGACCAAGGTAAGTCGAGCTCGGCACGTCTCGTGTCCAAGTTGGCCAGCAATCTGACAATGTGGCACGCACAGATGACTGGATCGATGGGTACAAGATCCCCAAGGGTTCTGTAATCTTCATCAACACATGGGGACTCCACCACGATGAGCAGCGCTTCCCAAACCCCGATACATTCGATCCCGACCACTACAAGGGTGTCACGGCATTAGCATCAGAACTCGCTCAATCTGTCAACCCCGACGACAGAGACCACTATGGGTATGGCTCAGGCCGACGCCTGTGTCCTGGAATTCATCTAGCCGAGAGAAACCTATTCCTCGGCATCTCCAAGCTGCTGTGGGCATTCAACTTTGCGCCGGGCAAAGATGAGGATGGGAATACCATCATGCCCGACACGAATCCGACGACGGGCTACAGTGAAGGATTTCTGGTGTGTGCGAAGCCTTACGCCCTGGAAGTCAAAGTGAGATCCGAGAAGAGGCGGGAGACCATTCTCAAGGAATTTGAGGCTGCCAAGAGGGATGTCTTCTCGGCCTTTGATGGCTAAGGGTCAGTTGAGCGGGCGGAAATGCCAAACTGCACAGTGGTGAGGGATAATGGCAAAAATACCTGAGCATCCGAATAACTTTCGAAGGCGAGGACAGTTCCGAGCGACCGACAGACGCGGGAACGAAAAGCGTAATGCACATTCTGCAAATAGCGTCAGTCAATGCTATACACGAGCAGAAAATGCCGTCTCCAACCTTTTTGGCTACAGCCCATTTCCATCCTCAAGAAGCTACGAGGCCCTTTAAGCCGGTCTGAACGAGGTAATTTTAGTATTTCGCTTCTTCACCCCGGCGTGATCTGCATTCGCCGTAGGCGAACAGCGGCCGATTAGAACCTGAACTGGAGCATCCGTTTCAGAGGAAACGCCGCAATATTCCTTGGAGACGATTTCTTTTGCCGAGCTCGCGCGATATACAATTGGACTGCTATCCATCGACGTCAAGGCCTGTGATGTAGGTGAAGGCCTAGGCAGCAGGTCTGTCGGATGTAATGCAAAGCATTGTCGATCAAAGAGGAAAGGACTTCAGTGGCTGCAGTAAATCTGCACAAATCCGGTGCCGCCTGATAGTTCGTTTTATGTGGCACTTTACGCCAATCGACAAGCGTCCTAAGTCAACAGATCGGCCACATTCATGGGCATTTCGTCAATCTGGGTCGAGTAGTAGAGTTCGATGTCACGCAGGATACGGACGTCCTCGCTGGTGACGAAGTTGATGGCCACGCCCTTCCGACCAAATCTTCCACTGCGTCCGATTCTGTGGATATAGTTCTCTCGGTTGCTAGGTAGGTCGTAATTGATGACGAGGCTCACTTGCTGGACGTCGATCCCGCGCGCCCAGACATCTGTGCTGATGAGAACGCGGCTGTTGCCCTGCCTGAAATCGGACATGATGCTATCTCGCTCCTTTTGCGGCATCTCTCCGTGCATGCTGCTGACTGTGAAATTCGCCTCGCGCATCTTGTCCGTAAGCCAGTCGACCTTGCGGCGCGTGTTGCAGAAGATGACGGCCTGGGTAATGGTGAGGGTGTCGTAAAGGTCACACAAGGTGTCGAACTTCCATTCCTCCTTTTCCACAGCGATGAAATACTGCTTGAGGCCTTCGAGAGTGAGTTCATCACGCTTGACCAGGATGCGGACAGGGTCGGTCATGAACTTGGTGGTCATGTCGAGCACGTCGTAAGGAAGGGTGGCGGAGACGACGACGACTTGAGTCGCCGGAGGGAGATATCGGTAGACGTCGTAGATCTGCTCTCTGAAACCGCGGTTGAGGAGTTCATCTGCTTCGTCGAGAACCAGCATCTTGATGTGTCGCGTGCGCAGATTTCGTCTTCTGATCATGTCCGCGACTCGGCCCGGGGTACCTGACACGACGTGTTGGCCGTAGTCGAGTTTTCTGATGTCTTCGCCGACGTTTGTGCCTCCAATGCAGGCATGACACTGTACATTCATGTAATCGCCGAGAGCCATGATGACGCTCTGGATCTGGGTCGCGAGTTCGCGAGTTGGGGACAGAACGAGAGCTAGACTCCTGTGAGTGAAGATCCCAAACCGGATTATTCTCTCTCACTCACCTTGGGTCTCTCGAACCGAGGTCTCGATGATCTGCAGAATACTGATCGAGAAGGTGGCAGTCTTGCCTGTGCCCGATTGCGCCTGTGCGATGGTGTCTCTTCCCTTGCAGATCTGCACAATGGCTCGTGACTGTACAGCAGAGGGCGATTCGTAGCCGTAAGCGTAGATGCCGCGGAGGAGATTTTCCTTGAGGTGCATGTCCTCGAAGGTCGGCGCGACGGTCACCTCCTTGGAGGTCGAGAACTCCATCCGGTCTGTAGGCAGTGAGTGGCCGGTCCCGTATAATTCTCAGTGAGACTCACCATCTGCGGTTCTGTCAATGCCTTCTGCCATGTTGGGTCGTGCGCTATCGTGTGTAAGTGAGGTAGGTGCACTTGAGATCGGTGGTTGTGAAAGTTGAGTGGCGGAGAGGACTGAGACTGAGACGAGACTGAAGGCGAAATGACACAAGAACCCTTCGCGCCGTCCGAGAACGGCTAGCGTGAAGGGAGCAGGCAGGATGCTTGATTGGACGGACTAACAAGCTAGCGTCGCTACGTCCTCGGATCCACAGCCGCCTACGAATTCCTGCACACAGTACGGAGTAGATAGCCCTCACCCGTAACAACCAAAGGCGTGCGACTCCATACTCGTGATCATCAAGCCAAGCGCGGTGGACGAGCCATTGCACAGTAAGTAACTAAGTAGCACCGGGATCCTCTGGAATCCGGTTCCTGTTCCGAGGTCAATGGATTTGATGGTGGACCGGTCACGTTGCATCACTCGAGGGCTAACGTGAACGTGGAGCGTGCATGAATTGCACAGAAAGAAGTCTTTCCAAGTGTTTGTTCTGGCTATTTGTCCAAGAAGACAAAAGGACAGAAAGGAAAAAAAGGGAAAGCAAAAGAAAAGCGCTCTCAACGCTTGAGCCCCGAAGGGCGCCCGGCAACGAAGCCCCGACACACAGCCAGCACACAGCACACAGCAGACGACAGCGACAACGACACCACCGACAACCCCGGCAGAACAGGCACCACCACAGACCACCGCAGAGAACCGCCACCACGCCGCCCTCCCACCGACCGCGACTGGACGCCCTCCTCGACGAGGCCCAACACCCCCGCGGACCTCACTCTTCTTTCTCCTCACCAAGCCGGGCGCGGAGCGAGGCAATCTCCAGCTCGGCATCCCGAAGGCGTGCCTCGCTGGTGAGAGCGCGCTCTCTCCACCCGCCAGCCTGGATCTGGAAATCGATGAGCTCGATCCCCAGGCGCAAGGACTCGTCTCGAAGCGCCACGATGCCCTCTTGGACATCGTTGGCGACCTCCCTGGCCTCGACCAAGGACCGCCACAGCAAACCAACGCCCTCGTAGATGCCCTCGCTGGCTGCGAGGACCTCCGCGCGGGCGCGCATGGCTGCTGGATGGCCCCGTGAGCCGGGGAGCAGAGGGATCGCGACGTCCAGGGCGTCGACTTCCTCCAGAACCTCGCTCAAGTGAGCGAGCCCGGCGCGGAGTCGCTCCGCAACCGGGCCGTCAACTTCATCGAGGTTGATGCGCTCGGGTCCCTCCTCCTCCTCCTCTTCTTCTTCTTCTTCCTCCTCCTCTTCTGGGACCAGAGGCCGACCAACACCAACACCAACACCACTGGACGAACCACAAGAGGCACCGGAGGCACCGAAGGCACCAGGAGCCCCACCAGAGCCGCAAGCAGGGCCACCACCAGCAGAACCAGCACCCACCACGCCGCTGCTCGCGGTCGAAGTCCCAGACACAGACACGGACGGAGCCTCAGACTCAGTCTCAGTCTCATCGCCACTATCAGTCGTGGCTTCAGAATCTGATACCACGTCGCTGCTGGCAGACAGGTCGGCAGTTTCCATGGCTTCCTCGGCTTTCTCTTGCTCATCTGGCTGAACACTTGAAGTCTCAGTCGTAGATTCTGGTGCTACGGCATTGTTAGCTAGGGACATTCTTTCAAAGGAGAAATGCGCTGCTCTGAAGTGGTGGGCTTGCCTGCGGAAGGGTTTTGTGATGCCATTCTGGACTGCGGTGTCGTTGGTCGGGAGATATGAAAAAGAAAGTTAGGTGTTGATTGGTACTGTCTGAGACAGACTATTGTTCTGAAAGGGGGAGGTGTTTGTTGATTGACACCGTCTGCAACGCTCTGCAGATCTGAAAAAAGGAGGTAAGGTATTGATTGAGACGGTCTGTGACGGTCTGCAACGCCCTGAAGATGTGAAAGACGTGAGGTAAGGTATTGACTGAGACGGTCTGCGATGGATTTGACGGTCTGTAGAGACGCGAGGTAGGTGATTTGGTATGTGACTGAGCCGATCTGAGACGGTTTGGCAGTCCGTAAAGACGTGAGCCAGGCAGGTCGGTATGTGACTGACACAGTCTGGGAGGATCGTGATGGGGTGTGAGAAGTCTGTCTGACTTGGCTGTGCGCGCAGCTACTGTCGTCGTATCATCCTGTTGCGTCTCGTTTTGTCGTGGTGTTGAAATTGACAAGACAAGGGCTTGAGTGATATGATACGACTTGGGCGACAATACGATGCGATCGATCGTGACCAAGTTGAACTTGAGAGAAGAAGGTGAGTGAGACTGAGACTGAGACTGAGACTGAGAGTGACAGGGAGGGGACGAGATCGAGAGAAGAAAAAAGAAGCCGCCAGCAAACATTGTGCGATCGTCACCGCCATTGTTCTGTCGGACCCGGACCTGGACCTTCCTCTTCGCATTGTCGTCCCTCGTCGTGGATCTCATTGTGTATTGCTAAGGTACTCAGAGTGATCAAGCAGCTGGAAAGGGATGGCTCTGCGCCCTGGCAGCGGTGCGAATGGCAAAGGGCAAGTGACGAAGGGTGTAGACCTGGGTGGAATAGAACGTAGAGGCATGACAAGGCTAGATGGGGATTTGCTCCTGCTCCTGCAGTATTGTCCTTTACTTTACCAGCAGCAGCTCTGTCGTCATTGTATTGTCGTTATGTGTCACCACATATTCTATCTATTGATTTATGCACAGCTGAGTCTCAGTTCAGCAAGTCGTTCGGCGCTCCTTCTCAAGGCCTTGTCCAACACTCTATCATATATTCAACATGCTGAGTTGCCTCCTCATCGGGCTGGCAGCATGGTCACCGTCCTCACTAGGGCCGATGCCACTGTCAGTGCCTCCCAGCGGGCTCGCATCAATGTCGATATCCCATTTGTCCTCCACATGGTCGCTGTCGTCATCGTCGCCATCGTCCCAGCCCTTCTGCACTGCTCCTCTAACGTTCCATCTCAAAGCTCGCTGAACGCTCTCAACCCATTCATTCGTACCGGTCATCACGGTGGGGAATGGATACTGGGACGCTTCCAAGGTCACAAAATCCCCCTGCTTCAGCTCGATGCGTCCCTTGCCGTCAAAGGAACAATAGGCCGACGACCGAGATTTGTGGGGCACTGCGATGCGCAGGGCCAACGTGTCGGAAAGAACCATCGGACGGAAAGACAGAGTGTGTGGACATATCGGCGTCAGCAGAATGGCAGGGATGGACGGGTGTATCAGAGACCCCCCAGCCGACAGGGAATAAGCCGTCGACCCCGTCGGCGTGGAAAATATACACCCGTCGGCCTGTACGACGGTGAGGAGCTCGTCGTCACCGTAGAGCTCCAGGTTGGACACATAGGCAGACGGCCCACGGTCGATGACGAGCTCATTGAGGACTTCGAATTGCTCGCCCTCCTCCACAGCCCCTTTCGCCGCACCGGGAGAGCGATCAGCTCTCCAGACAGTGCAGGTAAATCGCATGCGGAGGTTGACACGCATGCCCGCGTCACCCATGACCCGGTCCAGATGCTCTTTGTACTTGCCGAACTCAAAGTTGGTCAGAAAGCCCAAGCTCCCCAAAGAGAAGGACAGGACGGGTGGGACAACGCGCTGGAACAACCAAGACGTGAACAAGACGGTCCCATCGCCTCCCAGTGTGAGCACGAGGTCGAATTTCTCCGGCGATGACCAGCACAAATCCGGAGTCCAGTACTTCAGCATTTTCTGGAAGCGCGGCTCCTTGGCCAACAGTCCCGCCGCGTCGAAGCGCTTGGAGTGCCGCAGCTTCGCATCGACATAGACGTTGACGCCAAGCTCGCTGCCATATCGGGGTGTCGAGAGCAACCACTCGGCCAGGTCGCGTGTCAGGTAGACAAGACTGTTGTCGCGGGCCTTGGTAACGATCATAACATTACGCACCGCCCGCTTCAGCGGCTTGCGCTGCAGCAGCTTGGAGACTTCCCGCACGCCAGTAGCAGTCTGCATCAGTCTCGAGTGCGAGTAGTCGTCGTCGGCCACCTCCTCCAACACTCTCTGAATGTCGGCCACTCCGTCAAATCTCTGGTGGAAGAAGCACGGCGACCGGAGGAAACTGGTCGACGTGGGTGAATATGCGGCCGACAGGATCCCGGGCTGCAAGCCCGCAAATGTAGCCGTCAGCGATGACGGTGAAGAGCAGCCTGTCTGCTGCTCTGCTTCTACATCTGCAATGGCCGATTTCAACGCATTCGTGGCCAAGGGGGCCGTGTTGGGCCCTGCACTTGGCCGACGTGAGACCAGCGCCTTCATGATGGTTTGTCGGGGTATATCTATCGATTTTGTATTCTTGCGGTGCGCCAGGTACGACTTGGGCAACAAAAGAGGTTTCGGTACAGGCACGGTCGGATGGTGAGCAATGTAGGAGTTCCTTAACGACTCGCTGACCGGGGTGAGGGCGCCGCTGGGATCCTTATCGCTTACAGAGCCAGGCGCTGGCTGGTCGAGGTCGCGCGTCGCGTGCGTCTGGCTGCCGCCGTCTATGGGGTCTAAATGCTGGGCATACTGGCGGAGGATAGACTCCCCGATGGATGGCTTCGAGGAGGAAGTGGCCATGCCATGGGGAGGAAGAAGATCTGAGTTATGGACGGGAGATGGTGCGGGAAGGCTGCTAATGCCAGTGGACTCGAAGAAGGGGGTGGTGGGTGAGGGTGAGGTGGAGCGGTTGTGGGCGTCGCAGTCGCTGATTGTGGAAGATGTGGTCATGGTGAGTCTGCGAAGAATGCGGGAGATAGGTAGATGGGAACAACCCGAGCCGGCGGGTGTGGATCTACTGAGCGTTGGACGATCCGCCCGTTGTCCTGGGGGCACCCAGTCCACTGTTTGTGATGCCGAGGGGAGAAGCCGTGACTCGAGGGTGTACTATGTAAGCGGACCAATCTTCGGCACAGTCAGAGCGCCGATGGATGGCTGAAGGTGACAGACAGGCTTTCCAGAAGCGTCCGAGTATGCGGAAACACGGAGTTAGGTCCAGCCCAAAGCGCGCCTTGCAAGACGGAGAAAGTAGAGAAAAGACGGCTGACGGGAACGAGGAACCGAGGTTTGCACCGTGCCCAGCACTGGATTAGTTATGCAAAAACCCGCCGTGAGAAAGAAGAATGACCCGATGGCTCTCCGGGAGCGACCGTTCAAAGAAGAAGGGGAAAGAGGTGACTGAGCGGGATGGGTGATAGCTGCTGCTGACAATTGCTTGCATACTGTCCATGTGGACATAGGTACCTCGCCCCGAGTATTTGTATCTTGGCGGCATCAGGAGAGCTAACTCCCAACATGCTCGGTGATAGATCACATTCTCGCCCCGGCGCTGGTCCGGCGTATCTGGGAGCTGAGACAGGCACGTGGGGATCTGCGCTGGGCGTTGAGACGCCACAGATAGCCGGCGCGAGAACCCCCGTGTCGCCCCGATCCTCCAGGGGGCTTGGGGGGGCGCGAGTGCTAAGTACCCAGTACCTGCTTATCCCGCCTATCAGGCCCCCCTGAAACCTCCAACACCGCAGCATCGAGCCTACTCGTCCGAGGTGAGAAAGGGCCTGCTATAAACAGGCGGTGCTGGGGGGCTCCTGGTGAGCCGCTAGCCGGGCGAGGCTCTCGAGGGCCTCACTCGCCTCTCGCCTCTCGCCCGCTCTCCACTTCCTTCACCTCACCACTGTTTGGTGCCAGTCAGCTAGCCGCCCACTCGGGTGACTTTGTTGGTGACTTGTTGGTGACTTGTTTCATGATTCACACACTGGCCAAACTTGCGGCACCACAGGCACCCAGACAGGTGGGTTTTGGTTCTGTACTGGCCAGACTTGCAGTGGGCTTTAGTTTGTACTGGCTCAACTTGCAGTCGGCTTTAGTCCTGTCGCCAGCTCTCGTCCTTAATCACACGGGCTACCATGGCTTTCCTCATCACGTCCAGCACGGAGACGACCACGTCGTGGTCGGTTCCGTTCATGGCAACATCTCCGTTGGGAAGTTTGTATGCATCCGTGGCTACTTCGCTTGCATCGCGTGCATTGGTCTTGTTGTTGTTGTTGGCGCGCCGACCCTGGCCGACCACTGCCAAACGAGCGGCGTGTTCTGCTCGTTTGAGGTGATCCATGCCGAACCGGCCCTCGCTCTCCATCAACAGCGTTTTGCCATCCTGGGTAAAGGCAAAGACGTGCAAGCTGGAACTGTTCTGTCGTTGGACAACGTCCGGGTTGACGACTATCTGCCCATCACGACTCAGTCCAATGACTGCCGCCCCCGCGATGGTCCTCATCTGCACGCCTGCGTCAAGACACGCGAGCATGGCGGCGTTGAGGGCCGACGCGAGCATGTCGAGATACGTCTCACCTTGGCCACCGCCTTTGACCCCACCAGGGAGACTCTCGTCCGTCTCGACCGAGACTATCTGAAGGGTGACCTGGAGCATGGTCCGGGGAGTCTCCTCGCCCAGCACGAGGGCCTGCAGAGTGCGTTTGATGAGATCTTCGACGTGCCGTTCCTTGACCATGCCTACGCCGTTGTGCGGTCGGAGGTTGACCTCGACAAAGGTGGATTCGGGTAGTTCATCGGATCGATAGGGTACTTCGACCGGGTAGTTGACGCCGGCGACTATTTTGTAGCTGTGATGCGGAGCGCTGTACGTCGCCGACCCGTCTGCATTGTTCAGGGAATGCAACGTGGCTTGCGGGGCATTCACCATGAGTGGAGAAGCCATGAGAGATATGGGCGAGGCGGTGGACGGGAGAGATGGCGGTGGGTTGGTGAATGGTACGAGGGCGCGAGGAAGATTTGTTTAGCGGCACGAAGCTGCCAAGGAAAGTGGCGCGAGGCTGTGAATATGGAGAGAGGAGAGGGCGTTGGAGGGATAATGCTAGATGTGAGGTGAGGCGAGGTATTCGAGTACGGAGTACAGTAGTCAACTAAGGTATGGGCAATGGATAGTCGAATTGATGCAAGATTGACACTTGGTGACAAAAACGAAGTACCCTTGGGATGGATGTCTCGAGGTGAGGTATTCCGAGTACTCAACCAAGGTACGGAGTATGGGCAATGGAGAGTCAGATTGATGCCGAAAATGGCCCCGAGTGATAGAAACGGAGTACCATTGGATATTGCTGAATGTCTCCAGTGAGAGAAATATTACGGATACTCAGCTACAGTACCATGTACGGACAATAGAGAGTCGAGATTGATGCAAGAGTGTCGCCGAGTGACAGGAACGAAATACCCTTGGATATTGTGGAAGGGTTGCGGGTGAGGGATTCCGCGAGTACTCAACTAACATATTCGCATGTCAAGGACAGGTTCACAGCGTCTGGGAATCGTCCACAAAGGCTGAATATCCGATCCCTTTATGCTGGATCATTGAACCTCTTACTCGTGGCTTGAATGCTGGTTACCTAGGTATGAACCCGGGGCACGCGATTCATGACAGGGCAACCTAGCTGAAGTGATCCACGCATTGACACTCAGTGATAGATACGAGTACTTGCGATACTACTACTGCATGCCCCACGAGGTGAAGTATCCATGTACTCAGTACTGCGTACTCGTACTGTGCAGTCTGTTCATGTCCCACAACGATCGTCAGCGATCGAAGGGCTCCGAAGGACTTTGAACAGGCATGATATGCTGAAGTGGCCGTCCTTGCCAGAATGAGCATCATGGTTGCCGATGGTACTTTGTATCGATGGCGTCAAAAGAGTGCAATGTTGCATGGTAAGCTCGGTCACTCGGTGAAGGTCGTGCCTCCGGTGGTGATACCGCGTCGGTCGCGTCTTTGACAACGGGTCCAACGTCCGCACAGCCCCTGTCAACGGTATTCGTTTGATATGCCAAAGATGTCTAGACCCTCATCGTCGCTGGTCATCAATGGAGGTCGAATACGAATGGCATGGACGACAACGAAGACGAGACCGACCTGTTCGATACTAATAAGTCAGACTGTCGAAGCCATAGTTTCTAGTGCAGCTAGCAGGTTGACTTTCCTGGCTGAAGTGCCCGGATAATTCGCACAACCCCTACTGTGTACAGTTGATGGCAATAGCACTCGAGATTAGGCAGTCGATATCAGATATCACGACGGGGACACTGATTTCCACTAACACAGCTCCTGTAATCGAGTCTGCTGTGATGGGTGCGAACTGTCCTTCACGCCTTCACATCCACGTCCACATCCACATCCATCCCAGCTTAATGACGCCGATCAACTCGACGGCAATTAAGTACTCTCGTTAATAACAAGCAGTGCAGCTGAATGGCGTCCTTGAAACAGCAACCGCCGGGTATCAACACCACATTGGTAATATTCCCCCTATAACTGCTACGCTACGCTCCGCAGCGCAGGATCAATCAGGTAATGCTCTCATCACACCTTCAAAAGCCACCAGCGCCATCGCGTTCGCCGGAAAGGCCCTCAGAAAACAAGGCACAAACCCCCGCCAGTACCCTCTCCAGCCCGATTCCCGATACACAGCCTGGGCCGCATCCTTCCAGCGTCTAAACCGCGGTGTTCCGTCGTTAAGGCCTCCACCCAACGGATCCGTCATGATGCGCTGCTTGACCACATCCGACGGATAAGATGTGACCCAGAAGACCTGGGCCGACAGGCCACCGGCCCAGAAGTTGATGACCGGCGTGGAAAGGGAGGTGTTCGTCTTAAACCACGTCGTCAGCAGATCGTAGGATCCCCACCAGAAGAAGAAAAAGGAGCGGAAGATGAGCGTGGAGAAGAGGCCGTGGAACAGGCCACGCACGCCATGGTGGCGGAGGATCTTCCTCGTGCAGTCGATGGGACCACTGTACAGTCGATCCTTCTTCTTCGCCGCGTACTGGATCTGTAGCCTGGCCTTGACGTGTTCCACGGGCGCGGCGATGAACGAGACGGTCGACCCAGCCATCATGCCCGCGATCCCGTGGCCGAGCGCCGGCAACTTTTCGTGCGCCAGGTCATCGGCGGTCCTGCCCGGGCGAAACGCCGGGTTCGAGAAGATGTTCTCGTGGAGTAGCCTCCGGTAGACCGTCAAGCTCCCCAGCATGACCGAGTCCATGGCCATCCATCCGAGTAGAGGCGGCGTGGCGCCCTTGTATATCCCCGTGAGTCCTTCTTTTCGGAGCGTCTGCAGCAAACAGTCCAGCGGACCTTTGAACTGTGATTGCTGCGACGTCTGCAGCCGGACCTTGATGGTGTCAAAGGGATGGCCGACGGAGAGCTTTGCAATGCCGGAGAAGACCCCGGCGACGAATCCCTTGTAGTGGCTCACAATGGCTCTTGTCCTGCCCTCTTCGCTGGAGACCTGGTTGGCGCCATGCCCGGGGCTGGTGAGGCTCACATCGTGTGGCTCTTGAGGCCTGGCGCAGGTACAGTATCGGTAAGCCTGTGTGTGCACGAGAAAGGGAGACGCCCTCATGTGAACCATTCTCCTTACCTGCTCAACGGCGCGGACATGCTTGGGACGCTGCATGCGGCTCTTTTGCCCACAGCTACCGACTCAACGCTGGCGCCTGCACGGGCACAACCATCCTTGAAGCGACACGGCCGATATGCCTCTCAGAAGAACACACCTAAGCGGGGAGGAGAGCTTGCTGATAATGTTCCTCCGGTGCTGTGCAGTGACTGGGACGCTTCCCGGGGACGGTCTAGGCTCCCCGGCTGATGCTTTCTCACGGAGATGAAGGTGGTGACGTCGGCGATGCCTTGTCGGGATCGGAATTTCCTAGGCGCTGCCTCCATTGTGCGCTTAGTTAAAAGCGGCCGCCTAAGCTTCTGTATCTATCTGCGGCCGTGGCCGCCAACAGATCTGCACCATGTAGAGGGGCAATTCTGGCGTGATTGAGCTTCTGGCTCTTCGGCCGTATGAGTATTTGTATATCTTGTGTTGCACATCCCTGACATTGGCCTTCCCAAGCAGAAGCAGCGGGCGAGTTGCACGCTGCCTTGCCAACGGCGCAGTGATGGAGGGGCCAAAGGTGTGGACCACGCTCATCACCAACACCAAGTACCTCTCCGGGCTCCTTACGCTCGACTACTCCCTGAAGAAACACGGCTCGAGATACCCTCTCGTTGCCTTGTACACGGATACCTTCCCCCCCGAAGGCCTCGAGGCCCTCAAGAGCCGGAACATCCCCGCGAAACACATTCCTTACCTTTTGCCCTCCATCCCCAAGGAGTACACCAACGACCCGCGCTTCTATGACTGCTGGAGCAAACTGACCCCGTTCAGTCTGACCGAATATGACCGAGTGGTGCAGCTAGACAGTGATATGTTGGTGCTGAAGAACATGGACGAGCTGATGGAACTCGAGCTGGACCCGCCTGAGATGAACGGGGAAGGAAACCGGGTATACGCAGCCAGCCATGCCTGTGCCTGCAATCCCTTGAATAAGCCACACTATCCGAAGCATTGGATACCGGAAAACTGTGGCTTTACCACCCAGCACAATACTCCAGACGACGCCCAGATCCATGGGCCCTCCCCAACCGCGGGCATAGGGTGTCCAAACGGCGGGCTTGTTGTCTGCAACCCGAGCAAGGGCATCTATGATAAGATCTTGGAAGCAATGAAAAACGGAGACATTACCTCCAACTATGACTTTGCCGACCAGAGCCTGCTGGGAGACCAGTTCTATGGTCGGTGGGTGGGACTGCCGTACATATACAATGCCTTGAAGACCTTGAGGTGGAAAGGCGTCCATGATGCCATCTGGCGGGATGATCAGGTCAAGAACGTCCATTACATCTTGAGTCCGAAACCGTGGGATGAGAAGTATGAGGAGATTCAAGACGAAGCGCACAGGTGGTGGCATCCCGTCAACAACGAGAGGTTGGCCCACGAGAAGGCAAATGCCATAGATGATGGGTTCTGATGTTGAAGCTCGACGTCGATGTACAAGCCCGGCCATACTGCTGCGAGGTAGATTGGTGACCATCCATAGACGAACACATAGATTAGACGCTGATACCAGGCTGCCGCCAAGCGCCACCAATTGCTGTTTGCCGTTGTGCGGCAGTATCGCAGCCCGGATCCCTTACCGTGAGGACCGCCAGCGTGATAAAATGACCGTCCCAGCGTACCCGAGGAGAGCTGAGCATCTGGCCAAGCGAAAGCTGTCGACAGGAGCTTGAGCAGCGGATGACGGTCGAACCTAGTCGTGACGTAGCACTTGCATTGCTGTCCTTGAAGACGACGTGGAGACAGACGTCGATCAACACTGGATGGACACCATTGCAGTTGACACGAGAAATCTTCGGGCAGCGCAGAGTACCACCGCGCGACTCCTGCTCTAAGCCAAGGAATGCCTGATTTCGAAGAGAGCCGGGCACGCGAAACAGGAGAGGCTCGTGCCGGTCGGGACAAGGACCAGCGTAGAGGCAGCAAGGCTGAGAGCTCTGCTGATTTCCCTGGGCAGCTGGGAACGGTGTTTCGTGCTTCATCGACCAATGAGCGAGACCAAAATGGCTGACATCGGAATGTGCGGTAACTCAGGTTTCTTCAGTTGTGTCGGCAGGCCCAACGCCGCCAAGGGAGACGGACTTGGATGGGAGCGTCGTAGAACATGCCGAACAGGACACGCAGGAGACGAAGCCGAAGAAGCTGGAGACGCCACGGTCCTGCATTCTACTCGGCTGCACCCGACCCAACGAGTGCACACGAGGCTGGCGAGGGTGCAGGAAAGGCCGTGAAAGGCCTGACACAAGGCTTGCCTCGACCTTCGGGACGACAGCCAACATGCTGTCTCTGGTGAACTCAGATCCACGAGGCAGGGACACTAACGGCGAGGCGAGCGACCAACCGACGAATGATGGGAGCGAGGACCGGCTCGGCTTGGCTCGAGACTCGGACTGAGACTGAGACCTGTGCTCCGGATTGGTCGAGGGAAGCTGGCTTCGGAACCAGGCCAGCAGGGGACTTGCTTGGGAGGTGGATGACGGTGTGACGACGTGTGTCGTCTATCAGACCATCTCGAGCATACACAGTACTCCGTACTCCGGAAGCGGAGGCACTATCGATATTGACGGGCGCTGTCAGTGTGCGCGAGGAGAATGGTCTCTCCAGTGAGAGGTCGTCCGTAGGTACGACGAAACAGCATCAGATTCTGCCGCATGGACTTGTTGCCACTTTCCACCACTCACGCACGCCACCAGGCTTGCACTTGGCTAGAGGGCACACGACAACATCTCCTCTGCACGCTCGCCGCATTCACCGACCGAGTCAGGGAACTAGAGGGGTTTCTGTTGCTTTCTGGCTGCGAACATGAGTTCGAAGAGAATGCAGCGCAGCGCACTCATCTGACCCAAGCGTTTCGTTCTCATCTGCAGCTACAGTAGGCCGGCTTTTCCTGGATCCTACCCAACCATGGGAATTGTGACCACATAATCATTTCCCAGTGGCTGCACGAGACGGTGGTTCTCGAAAACTTCCCGCCTGATCCGTGGGATTTCTCCTTCTCCTCTATGTGTTGCCGCTGGCTGGAACATTTCCATTCCGGTGCCGACTCGTCTTCAGCACCGATTTGAGGATTCACAGGAGACTTCTTCCACCGACTGGCTGGAAATGAGGGTTAGCCTCGCAGAAGGGTGGGAGAAGGAAGAGAAGCGTCAGGCTGCTGAGCGACCGTCGACTTCCACTGCGCCCTTTACCTCCACCTAGATGCGTCCACGAACGTCGAGCTCACGGCCACTGGGTCGAGGGCCGCGTGCATCTGCAGATTCAGTCTCGAGTGACATGTTGTTCAGGACGGCAGACGTCGTGAATCCAGCGGCCCAGCCGCAATCAGGAGGAGCTCACTGGCCACAGAAAGGCACTGTCAGCGTTTTGACCGACTCCCATGCCAATGGCTCTGTGCAACGTGGTATGCCGCAGAGATGACAGCACCGGCGCTCCAGGCGCAGCAGAACTGCTCGGAACGGGCTCTTGCCACTGGGTTTCACCGTCTGCACGCACTCCCATTCGAAGCCCCAGATCAGCATCACCGCCCAATGTCAGCGACCGGTGACGGTGGGGCGCAGGCTAGCTCGTCGCCATCAGCCAGAGTGGTGAGAGCTGCAGTTGCGGTGGAAAGAGGGAAAAGAATGGCAGAGGCTGCGCCAGTCACAGCGGCCCGCGAGCGACTGGCCTGTGACAGTGCGGGAATTTAGGCCCGCGGGCCAGTCACAGGCCATGCTTAGCCGACCGCCTCGCCCCTGCTGGATCGGGCGCTGAGGGCCGCGCTTCCGTCACACCAGGGTGCCTGCATTGGCTGTCACGCCAGGCCTAACCCGCCGAAGATAGGCACCAAAAGGCAGGTGTGAAGCCCGTCGCATGCAGCTTGGGCGCCCGGCGTTGCAGAAGCCAGCGAGACATGGCGCCCACAGCTTGGAGCCCCATGCAACTGTGCCCGCTTTCCGCCTGCGCACGCCGAATCCTGACTCTTGAGGCGAGATGGAGCGCCGTCTGCATGATGCAGCGGACTGGCTACCCAGTAAGTCCTTCATGTTCCTGCTGTGAAAGAGACGCTGGGCCGCCTTCGTCTGCTCTGGTCTCTCTCGCTCTCGCGGGCAAAACAGTCCCAGTTCGCCATCACCACACTGCGTTTTCCCGCTCATCACATCTGCTCTGCTCGTTTCCATCGCAGCTGGTCAGACTCTTTTCACCTGATCCTGTTTCCGCTTGACCTCGTCCTTTTCTCCTTCTTCTTAGGATCCTTTCCTTGCTCCGACGTGAGACAGCAGCTGTCGTCCATGACGTGCAATAACACACAGTAGCAAATCGAGCCAAGTCTCCAATGTATCTCGACGTCACCCTCACCACTGTGGAAGACCTGCTGCGTGACCTCTGTGTGCTTTGAGTCGCGCAATTTGCAGTGTACACCAGGAAGTCGAGTCTAGACGCTTGCACAACATCTCACCGCTTTGTCTGTGCCTGGATTCTTTTTCCCGTTCCTGATTTTGTGAAGCGGAATTCTTGCACCACCTCGGGCTGAGCGACCGGGACATAAAGATTTCCTGGGCTCCTCGCCACGCAACACAGGCACAGGTGTTGGGCGGTGCCTCACTCAAGAGCACATCTTGGACCTTGAATCTTGCGCACTCGGTCAACCACAGCCATGTGCGTACGGACAAAGACATCGTACGGGTGCGGATGCGAATACAAAACAGACGCCGAATGCCATTCTTCGCGCTGCCAGGGGCTTGAGCGATACCACTATCCCAAGAGCGGCGACTGCAAAGCCTGCAAAGAGGCCGGTGGGGCGCTGACGCGAGGGCGAGATGGCAAGGGTCGTTATGGGCAAGAAATCGGCCGGCGCGCTCTATCTCGACAGGAAGACGTCGACCCTCCAATCGATCCAGTTCCGGAGGTGGCCGAGGCCGGCAACGGTATCAGTCCCTGGGCGCCCCCATTAGCTCGAGAGAAGGAGTGGGTCAGTCATTCCAGGAAAAAGGCAGACGACAGCTGGCTGGAGGAGCACGCAGAACGGAACCTGGACCTGCAAAGCATCCGAGAGTCGCTACCGTCTTACCCTCCATCGGAACGCGATCATGCTCCAGCCGGTCATTCTCCACACCGGCGACCAGCGCGAATCTACGTCCACGAGGATGATTTGCCTGATGACCGCGAGCACAGCCGCTATCACCGCCGGTACCGACGAGAGGAGACGGGGAGAAGCCTTCCTGTCGAGATTCGCAGCTGGAGTGCCGAGGACGATCGCCCCAGTCACGATGGGCTCTACCGTCGACGAAGACAAGATAGTCAGGAGAGCTTCGACAGTATGCCCAGTTCCCGCTCTTCCACCCGCAAGTACAAACCGGCTCCCTCCAGCTACGTGGCTCACGACCATGTGGAGATTCATGACTCTGGATATGGCTCCTACGGGTCTCGGGCCTCAGACAGCTACGGAAGAGCCAAGACCGAGCCCTTTCACTACACATCCTCGCCAGCACCGCGTTACATGGGTATCGAGCCACCTTCACCGCAGCCATACGGCGGCTACCACACCGGCTATGGGGTCACTCCTGTCAACGTCGTCACTCGCGCGCCCTCTTATGGGTACAGTTCAAGAAGATACTGATCAGCGCCTATGAATTCCTTCTTTGTCCGGCAGCAAGGCGTTCCAGGTAGGCCCAACCTACGATAGCGCGGGCCCAGGGCACTGCATCGTTCCAGCGACCACGCGACCTTACAAGTCAACGCGCATCCTTCCAAGGCCCCTACTTCTTTGAAACGGATACGCACTTGAATATTTTGCAAGCTTGTTCCAGTCAAGACTCTTACTACAGTAACGCAGATGGTCAACAGGAAGCCATCGACGAGACAAGCCATTTACGATGATGATTGTGGGAGTTGGAGATTTCTGGAGAAAGGCTATGATGACGGGCAGTACTTTCATGTATGATGATACAGGTGCAACAACATCCACGAAGTGAATGGTTACAGGCGGTATGACCACTTCATGGGCTTCAGGCTAGAGGGAGCTCTCGGGAGTCGGACAGGGGAGGGGCCAGGAAGGGTCGGGCAGTGTTGCGGTTGGGGTCAGCGGTAGGAGGCTACAGTCAGTGCTTCTTCATCGGTCTGGGAGAGGTACTTTCTGTCTGTACTTTACAGATACTGGACCCGGAGCTCGTCTACCCTGCGGCGCAGCAACGCAACCTCAGCTCGTTGTTGTTCGGTTGCCCCACGGTGAAGACAACTCCGGCGTCTAGAGTATTGATCAGCGCAAGTCGATTTCAACCCATTCAGAACGATCCCGTTATCGAGTGATGTCTCTTTCATTACACGCTCCCTTTGTCAGTCTTACTTGGCGACAGAAGAAGGCCCCCAAAACCTGTCCGCAGCTTCGCTAAGCCAATGATTCCGTACCTAGGTAGCCTCGATGCCTTTACGTGCCGCCATTGGCACCGAAGTCATCGCCCTCCTCGCCTCCTCGCCGAAACGCCCCTTTTCATCAAGCGCCGTCATGTCGTATCCCCAAGTTCAATGAATCGGCCTACCGCTGCGGCAGACGATGTAATTATACTCCTCGGTCGGGAGCGATAGCGCCAGCTCAATGAAGGACCGGCAGGTGTGGCTGCTGGTGTATCCTGTTGTGTCAGGTAAGGTTCCATTGACTGGATCGACGACGCCTCCGAGCACGAAAGGATGAGTCCCATTGATTGGCCCAACGACACCTCAGAGCGAAATAAAGGGTGAGCATGGGTTACTGTACTCGCGCGACGTTCTAGGAGCCTGCATTGTGTGTGTGATCTCCTGTATGTACCGAGCATCTAGAATCCTCGTGCCGTGCCAATGCAGTGGCATGGTGATGGAGATCATGCATGCGAAGGTCTTGATTTCGGTTCGTTACATAATTCCTCCGTAGACAGTACATATCTGACAATAGGCATTGGACCTAAGTCGCGAGGAATCTAAGGGGCTGATTACGAGGAAGCTGGCTTGTAGTTACAGTAGTACATACTGTAATGGATTCGTGTTGACTACCTAGTACCTACCTACGGGAGCCACCTCGAGCAGTCGGTCGACCGATTACATCGCAGCATGCATCTTTGCCTAACGGTACTTTCTCCGATTCGATTAGAAAAGACCTCTCCCCTTTGAAATGCAGGGGTGGATAGTGCATAGCTCATAGGTCTTAACTCGCGTCAGCTCCCATTCACAGGACACGGCATTGACCGACCGACTGCCTCGACAAAGAACCCATAATTATGTGACAAGACCGCATCAGACGCCAGCAAGTCATATCAGTGCGCAGGGCGGACATTTGCTGAACAAGCTCTTGTGCAGCCTCTAGCAGAACTCCTTCTCCATGACAACAACGGCCTGCTTCTCGCTTCCACACAACGTATTCGCATCACTGTCACTGTCATGCACGCCCTCAGGATCGACGTGAGCACCCCGGTTCTTCCGCTTCCGCGCCACCGCCAACTGGGCAGCGATCTTCTCCGTCAACATCTTCTTCGCCTTCTCCACCTTCTCGCTCCTGTCTTTGCCTTCCTTTTCGAACTTCTTGGCCCAATCGATCTTCTTGCCGTTCTTGTCTACGTCGCCGTGCGGAACGTATTCAGTGGACTTTCCCATGCTCAAGACGTCGCCGACCTTGATGATTCCCGAGCCGACGCCCTTGATCGCCAGGCCGACGGATGAGACTGCAAAGGACGCGGTGCGGAGAGGGAGTTTGGCCACGCGCACGGTGCGGCTTTCGCGGATCTGCACAGACGGCATGCGAGGCAGAGATTTGATGTCGCCTGCTTGAAGGGATTGCACCCAGTCCCACGTGTACTGCGAGGTAGGGCCGCGGTATTGAAAGTAGAAATTGCCCTACCGTCCCCACATGGATCAGCTTGTCAGGTACGTACGAGAAAGACAAAGGGGCGACTCAGCTAGCGGGGAAGGACCGACGACTTACCGTGCCAGACTTGTCCGCCACAGTCCAATGCAGGCGCTGCGTGCCGGGAACCAAGACGGGCTTGGATGTGATGACCACGCCGAACTGGATTTTTGCATCCTTGGCATGTTTCTTGATGTCGCCCAGCGGACAGTACTCGTAGTCAGGGTAGTGTTTCTGGTCGGTGACTTGGAGTTTGACCTGCGTGAGGAGGTAGATGTGCTCGGTGGGTGGGATGGCCGTGACTGCGATCGGATGTCAGTTTAATGGGCCCTGTCCGAGGGGGAATCGAGGAAACGATGAACAACGAAAGTAACTCACACAACCACTTGTACACCTGCTCGGCGACCTGCTTGTGTGTCAAGTCTGCGACGCACAACTCCAGATGATGGGGTCCCCATTTCTTCATTTCACGCTCCTTGGTGCCCTCTTCCATGTAGAGATTCACGCTGGCAAAGGTACGTCCTGACTTCGCGGCATGCTCACGGATCTTCTTGGCTGCTTCCATCTTCTCTCCATTCTCACAGTCCAGGCGGTTCAACTTGTCGACGATCAAGAACGCTTTCTTGCTGATATGGCGTGCGGTTTTGGACTTGTCGAGATGGTGGAGAAGAGTGTCCATGGAGGAGAGGTCGCTGGAGTTGAAGAAGTTGGCAGACATGCCGCTGTAATGGAACTGAGCGGCGTCGATCATGTCCTGGACATTGTTTGCATGGCCATTTTTGCCCATTGGGTCGGTGATGTAGATCCATGGTTGCTCGGGGAAGGGAGGGCATGCTGTGAACATGTTGTCGAAGGCGTCTTCATCGGACTTTGATTTCTTCCACATTTTGACGGGTGCTGTGACTGATGAGTTCCGTGGTGAGTTCTATATGAGTGTCTTGGGTACCACTTATGGGGTTGGGGAGGGCGTCTAACACGTTTGAGAGTAGAGAGCAAAGAAAACTACAGGTTGATCAAACGAGGTCTTGGATCAGACAGATGATCCAGAGGTGCCTGAAGGAGGTGAAGGCAGACTCAAGCTGAGCCTGGTGACAGCTGCAACTGCTTCGGCCCGATGTCACATTGACGAGGGAAGTGAAGGTGAAGGCGGAGTGATGGAGGGGTGAGGAGTCTCTGAAGTCTATACGAGGATTGCTGTGAGAGCGCCTTGAGGAGGGGTAGACCTAGGTTAGAAGTCAAACTCTCAATTGTGCATTACAGGACAAGCAAGGCTGAAATGTTGATGGGTGGCTGACGGTGTCCCGAAGTTGTCAGATGCTCGTGTCTCTCGTTAGATAACATGTATGGGGCACCTTTTCCAAGTTTCAATGGTCACTGCTCTACGTGCTTGCGTCCGATGCTTTGTTAGCCTAAGGCTGAGGTTGGTGTGAAGCTGACCGTGACCTCACTGTGAGGCTTGTCAGGCTGATTTGATTTTGTGACAGGAAGGTCAGTGCTTTCTTTTGCCCCTCACATTGATTGACCAGTCCACAAAAGGCTGTGTTCACGTCCAGCTTTAAAGCCGTTGTTTGCTCCAATGACCATCCGCCGTGCATCGTCAGTGTCGTGGTGGTGGGCTTAGGAATCCTGTGTGCTATCTCTTGTGGTACTGCAAAGCTAACATCAGGCTGGAAACCGGTCAAGCTGCAGCCCGCACACCAATCCAAGCTCGAGTCGAGCTCAGAGCTTGAGCTGTTAGCCTACCGGGTGCTGACCGTCGGCCCCACAACTGCCTATATCTCTGATTCGTGGATTTGCTCTCCTCACATGTGCATGTCCGTGGCCGTGCAGACGCAAGGCAGCGACTCTCCAGTCGCCCAGCTTTGGAGGGCGAAAGATAACTTTCCGCGCCTTGCCCAGCCAGGCTGAGTGACTCGAAATCAAGATAGGCGACGCCGCCACCTGCCGGGCGCTCCTCAGTCAAACGGTATTGGCCGTAAAGCGCCCGACGTGCCCATGCGTTTTCGCATCTCTTCTCCTGCTGCCACTGTACTAGGCACCTTGATGCCACAGCAGTCGCCCCAGTAGTCGGGTTCGTGACCGTACTCCTTCACATGCTGCATTCGTTCCGCCTGCGCCCGAAGCGTCTCTGGATCTAGTTGGCCCATGTCTTCAGTGCCCGCGATCAGGCCGCCAAACAAGAAATGTTGCATGATAGGTAGTTTGCCGAGGACTTCCTTGGTGAACATCTTCCGCATGCCATCTTCCACCTTTTGCCAGCTCTTTGCGCCCGAAATGTCGTCCAGCATTGGGCTGTGCCAGCGGAGTCCCTTGACGGTTTTGACACTATCCACCCATCGGACTTGGTTCAGGTAGATGTACTTGTCGCCTTCTTCCTCCAGCACGACGTTGTTGTGGATGGACTTGGGCGTTATGTAAGGGTGCCCGATCAGCTGGCTGGCTCCGAAGAAGAATGGTAGAAATTGATAGTCGTCGAGGCCCCACACACCGTGACTGCCGGCTGGCTCGAGATAGTAGGCGCTTTGAATCTTCCGCATAAGGTTGAGGTAGCGCACGAATGTATGCAACACAAGCGCCGGGAAGTCTTCTCTTTCGATCTGCTTGAGCTGATAGAGACATAGTAACCACATCATGAAGTTCAGCTCGTGACCTGATCCGTAGTCGAGCCGTTCCTCTGAGCCGAAGCAGTTGATCAGATAGACAGAGACTTCCTGTACGGCGGCCTCGTTGTTTATGCCCAGCACTTCCACGTGTATCCTATCCACATCTCTGACAATGGCCTTGTGCAGGCTGCGGAAGACCGGATTGCCGAATCGTGATCCCGTGTCGAGCGGAGGGTACCGTTGCAGGAGAGACTCAATGACGTCGAGGACGGCGTCAATGCGTTGGATCCTGGCTGACAGACGCTGTGAGTCGAGGGAGGAGATGGCTCGACCGCGCACGCAGTCGGCCAATGTGAAAATCCATGCTTGTATCAAAGAGTACGCAGGCGAGGCTAGGAATCTCTTGTGGTCGGCCGGAGACAGAATGCGCTTGACCGGAGTCGTGAAACGGATGGATTCGAGTGCTGGAGGAGCAGGTAATGGAGGTGTCTCAGGCGCTGGTTCCGTTGGCGCTGATAATTGAAGCGACCTTCTTTGCGTTCTCGGGACTAGCTTCGGTATCGAGTACGCTTTTGTTCCGTTTTGGAGCCCAGCGCCGGGGGCAGTAGCCTCTGAAGAACTCATTCGAGGTGAAAGGCCACCTAGGTACGCTGATATGTTCTGTGGAAGATGTTCTTGTTGTTGGAATCGTTACAAAGCCACCCTGCGCATAGACAGTGCGGAGGCCGGGCGAGTTCAGAAATCCAGGTCGGAGCCTGCCGGTGGTGGCGGTACAGTACGAATAGGGAAAGCCATTCGCGGAAGCAACTGTTCCGACGTGACCCCTCACGGAGTAATTGTTCCGACGCGACCCACCACCGGAACAATTACTCCGACAGCGACCATTCCTCTTCCGCAAAGGGGACTCGTCTACCTTCGTTCCTGTTTGTACTTTACACTGCTCCCCAGCAGGAGAGGTTTGTTGAATCAAGGTTTCAAGATCTTGCTGTCTGCCCCCTCTGAAAGGTCCGATTGCTCTGGCTCACCATGAGCCTTGAACCGTATCCGACAGCAGTTTACCGCTAAGGCCGTGCTTGACCACCCCACGTCTTGGTTCTCAAACTACAACAAGCAGATTGCCTTCTGTGGGAATGCAGTTGACGAACACGGGCACGGAGGGGCTTGCCATGGAGCGGACTAACGAGCTCCTGTCTCAACCTACCCAATCCTCTCCAGAATGGTGTAACCAGAAAATCTTCCAGAAGAACCGGCTAGCCTCCCGCTCGTACTTCATACCAGACACTTCTATCTGTCTGAATGGGCAATGGATGTTCGCCTACTCTTCCAGTCCGCAGGAAGCACCTGACGGCCATGTGATCAGCACGCAGCCCACCACGGGGTCTGGAAAGGGGAATGATAACTGGGCGGTTATAGACGTCCCAGGACACTGGCAACTCCAAGGGTATGGCAGACCTCATTATACGAACGTGGTATATCCGTTTCCTGTTTGTCCACCGCACGTACCCACGGAGAATCCAACAGGGACCTACCACCGCGGCTTCACGTTACCCCCGGCCTGGGAGAAGTCGAGCCAGATCAGGCTAAGGTTCGACGGCGTGGACAGCGCATTTTACTTGTGGTTGAATGGTACACAGATTGGGTACTCCCAAGGGAGCAGGAATCCTGCTGAATTCGACGTCACCAAATTCGTGCTTCGGGACAAGCCAAACTACGTTGCGGTCCAGGTGCTTCAATGGTGTTCAGGAAGCTATATCGAAGATCAAGACCAATGGTGGCTTTCGGGTATTTTTCGCGACGTGCATCTTATTGCGTTTCCAGGTCGCGCGCGAATTGACGATTTCTTCGTCCGAACGCTCTTGGACGACACTTACAAGAATGCGGATCTGGGTATCGATCTTGATCTCACACTCATTGACGGGGCTTTGATATCCTTTGAGCTGAAGGACCACGAAGGCAATGTTGTTCACGGGGATGAAGGCATCGAAGTTGCGGCTAAGACCACCAGATATGCTCACTCAATCAAGGTCCATAATCCGCACAAGTGGACGGCGGAGACGCCCAATCTGTACCACCTGGAGATCTCCTTGCAAGATCGTGAGAGTGTCCTGCTCCAGAGTATCCGGCACCGCGTCGGCTTCCGCACTGTTGAGCTTAAGGACGGAAACATCTGCGTGAACGGCAAGCGAATACTGTTTCGAGGGTCGAACCGTCACGACAACCACCCGCACCTCGGACGCGCCGTGTCAATCGACTGGGTCCGGCGTGACCTCCAAAAAATGAAAGCACACAACATTAATGCGGTGCGATGCTCGCACTATCCCTCCCATCCCAGTCTACCAGGTCTCTGCGATGAATTGGGCCTCTGGGTAGTTGACGAGGCTGATCTCGAGTGCCATGGGTTTAACGCCGCCGCCGCTGCTAACCTCAATCTCGAAGGCTTGACCTACGACGCGAAGGTGGCTAGAACATCTAAGGACGCCGCCAGTTACACATCTGACAACCCAGACTGGGAATCTGCCTACCTCGACCGGATGCATCAGCTCGTCGAGCGAGACAAGAACCATGCAAGCGTCATCATCTGGTCCCTCGGGAACGAGGCCTTCTACGGCCGCAATCACGCTGCAATGTCAAAGTGGGCAAAGCAGCGAGATCCAGGCCGGCTAGTACACTATGAACCGGACGCTCAAGGTCACACCACAGACATGATCTCCCACATGTATACATCTCCAGCAGAGTTGAAGAAAGAAGCCGAAGCCGAAGGCGACAAGTTTACGAAACCGATCATCCTCTGTGAATATGCTCATGCCATGGGGAACGGGCCAGGCCTCCTGCAGACGTACCAAGACTTGTTCCGTACCCACAGGCGTCTTCAAGGCGGTTTCATCTGGGAATGGGCCAACCATGGTCTGTGGAAGGAAGACCCTGATGGCAAGAAATACTATGCCTACGGAGGGGATTTCGGTGATGTCCCTAATGATGGAACGTTCGTCATGGACGGACTCTGTCATAGTGATCACACGCCCACGCGAGGTCTGATCGAATTGAAAAAGGTGTTTGAGCCCATCACAGCGAGGCTTGACGGACACCAGCTCGTCCTGCAAAACCATTACAATTTCGTTGGGCTGGAACACGTCAAGGCAGAATTTAATGTCCACAGCCTTGGACAAGAGTACGTTTCCTTTCGAGCCGTGCCTGATGCAACTGCAGCTCCACTAACAGGCTTACAACCAGGTCTCGAATACTTTCAGCCGGTGAGCTAATCCTCCCTTCGATCGGGCCAGGCCAGGAAGGCAGGGTACAGTTACCGGGAGAAGAGGTTCTCAAGTTCAAGAACACCAACAACGACGTGGACAGCGATGACAACGAGTGCTGGTTACTGGTCACGTTCCGCCAGAAGGAAGATAAGCCGTGGGCCAGAGCCGGCCATACAATCGCATGGCACCAAACGCAGCTGTCAACACTACGCACGAGTAAGCCCGCCCAGCACCAAACTCCAGACACGGCAGCCAACTCGGCATCACTCTCGCTCACCCATGCGACAACTCGACTGGCCTATACCATCACCACTCCATCCACGACGATAACGTTCGACCGCACCAGGGGCTATATCTCCTCCTTCACACACGACCACCACCCTCTCCTAGTCGACACACGCGTTGCAAGCCACAATCCGGCCTCTCCATCTCCGCTCTTCACCTTGGACTTCTGGCGGGCCCCCACGGACAACGATGCGGCATGGCAGACGGGCCAGTGGAAACACTACGGATTGCACCTGATGACGAGCCGGTTGAAAAGCATAGTTGCACACGCGGCCGATTCGAATTCAACATCAACATCTGCAGATAACATGCCGACCGAAGCCACGACGATAACAATCCGCGCCGAACATGTCCTCGCACCACCCAGTCTAGCCTGGCACTTTGACACCACCACAACCTACACAATCCACACAGCGCCGTTACGATCCCCATCATCCAGCAACAACAACAACAACAAGAAGAAGAACGTGTCCAACCCACAGGTTGTCATGAAGATCCACACCCATCTCCGTCCTCACGGTACATTCCCACCCAATCTCCCTCGAATAGGATACAACATCCAGCTCTCCCCCGCCTATACTCACGTCAAATGGTTCGGTCGCGGTCCCCTCGAGAGCTACAATGACAAATACCTCTCCCAGCGCGTGGGCATCTGGTCTAGCAGTATCGCCGACATGCAACAGCGGTACGACGTGCCCCAGGAGAACGGAAATCGGAACGACGTGCGATGGTGCTGTGTTTCGGCTTCCCAGCCCAGTAGTCCCGACGCGGATGTCGACCCGACTGGTGCCGGTGCTTGTAGCGCAGAACAGGGAGAGAATGCGGACCCAGGTGGCCATCCCGTCGCAAGCCACGTGGATGTGATTTCGAGAACGCCTGTGCCGGTCCTACGAGCAAGCTACACGCCCAGCCCAGACGCAACAGACCGTCCGCACATGCAGTTCTCGACTCAGCTGTACGATGCGTTCACCGTCGAAACGGCAGCTCATCCATGCGATTTGCTCGAGAGCGGGAAACGTAGACAGGGTGCCCTGTGGAGGGTTGATGCTGACGTGGCGGGCGTGGGCACCGCAGCATGTGGTCCCGGCACTGAGGAAAAAGACCAAGTCCTGACTCGAGAGAGGGAGTGGACTTTGACGTTGGAGGTGTTGTGAGTGTATGCGTGAAGGCGTAAAGACGTGGAGGCGTGGAGGCATGAAGTCAGTCAGAAAGTCAGGAGGTTTGACGCGAGCGGCGACGGTGGACGGAGTAGGAGGTGCGAAGGCCAGGAGGCGGAGACGTGCGAACGAAGATACTAGCAGTCATACGAATAGACGTATCAGTAGACACACACACACACACATACACACCTAAGTGTTCATGCGCCGCTGGTGAACCAGGATAGATCTGTCTTCTCACGCCGGGCATGACGAGACCAATCAAACAAAACCAAGGCAAGAAAGTTGTGTGATTGCGCTGTTCAGCAATGATGATCTGAGTATACTCCGGACTGTACGGCGATATTTTCCCGGATTGATAGAGCAGAATGATAGATAGTGGACGACGTGCTCCCACGGGTATGTATGACACGACAAGAACCAGATCACCTCCATTTAATAACCAATCCCTGGACGACCAGTATAATATCGCAAATAACAAATCTGGTGTGATCCAACATGTTCGGATAAGGATGAGATGTCTTGGTTCTGTCGAGGTCCTATTTGAGATATAACAGCAGCGAGCACCTTCGTCCCTTTCAACTGTCTTCACTATCCAAGTCGTACCTGACCACACAAATCGAGAAACACATCGTCCACCGCCACAGGGGCTCAGATTCCACCATGCCCCCCCAGCCTCTTAACGAATACAATGCACAAGGAAAACCAGACGTCAACGCCGGCTTGATGGTATGCGACGAGAAAGCAATGAGATCGTAACATGTACAGGTATTGTGTCAGTGATCATCTAGTTCGAGATGACATAGGTTGCAGTACCGGAGATGATAGATACCTAGGGCAATAGATTAGCATCAGGATCAGACAGCAGCCGGAAACAGACGTGATACGTACAGTGCATCCTTGGGAGTTGCATCCAGTGGCGCCGCAATATTGGCCGTTGGAGTATTTGCAAGATCCGGACAAATTGCCCTTCAGCTCCACAGTGCCTTGATATTGCGCGTTCGTCGTGGGAGAGTTCTGGAAGATGGACAACCAGGTGATGCCGCCCTTGGCACCGACGCCGAAGTTTATGGGGGCGTAGTTGCCGACGTTTCCACCAGGCGATCCCCACTGGCAACCCACAGCAGCAGAAGTACCGATGGGATTCAGGTAGTACTGAGCGGACGTGGACTGTCCTTGCCATTGGTAGTACGAGCCAGCATCCGGGACCGTCAATTGCTCAGTCTCACCGGGCTGAAGTTCGACAGGAATAGTCTCGGATTCAGTGCCAGGGTAGTCGGTTCGGCAAATGGCGACCACGGAGTTGGCGCTGTTGGTTGCTTGCACACCACCAACACCTGGGATGCAAAGGTTGGTCGAAAGGCCAGGGTTGGTCAAGCGGAGCTTACCACCAGTGCATTGGAGACCACCAACGGATTGGCCTGTCGCACCCTGGGTCGAGGGCCACTGCGACTTTTGGTAGCCGGGAGGGCAAGCATACGAGCACATCATCCCTTCACTGCAAGACTCGCCGGAGATGCCGGTCACAATGTGGTTGACAAATCCACCTGCGATGGTAACTGCTTGCAGACCCGACCATCCGGCCATGCCCAGGTAGTCGAGCGATACAGCACCATACTGCGACGGGAAGGTGGCACAATCAAGTTCTCCGTCAGGGAACGGTGCGTCAACACCGGAGCCGCCAGACGAGTACGACGGAGTGGAGGAAGATTGAGCAGAACCCCAGTCAGAGGCGGACTCGCTTGGGCTAGACCAAGCAGTCGTAGTTGCAGATTGGTAGAATTCGGCCGCCGCTGCGGACGAGGCCACAGCAACTGTGGTGGTGCTGGTGCTCGATGCCGTACTCGACTCTGTCCAGGTCGACGTGGGGGCAGCCCAGGAGCTGCTGGCGGGCGAAGTCTGAGAGCAGACACCTGGGTCCTGACCATCCACAAACTTCAATTCATTGTCCTGCAGCCCTTCGCACACCTCTTCGGCAGTGATCTCCTTTCCATTGAGCATGTACACGTAGTCGGTTGGGCCCGGCGCCCAGGCGGTCTTGGTGACATCGCGCTCGTTCAGTTTGTGCTCGTGGAAGCGTCGGTGCTTGTGGACATGAGGTTGGGCAAGAACCGCGGTGGCGGTGACTGCCGTCAAGGCAACCGAAGTGAATCTCATATTGACGGTGATTGCGAGTGTCGTGGCGATGGTCGTGCGGCAGTCTCTCAAAGACTGGCAGTCAGCCGGATGTCAAGGAGTGTATAAGTTAGGTGACGCTGAAGAATACGAGGCTCGTCGAGTCTGTGAAGCACGGCCAGCGCGTTAGTCTCTCTTCTTGCCTCTCAGGTCTGTAAGGGGACGAGTTTCCCAGTCAAAGAGGGGGACAAAGCAAGGGAGTGGGAGGCCGTTCGCAGGGTCAGGTGGGCGTACAAAGCCAGAGACTCATATGATCAGTGCTGGAATGCTGGGACGCGGAGGCTCGAGTGCTCGCTCTCAAGGGAGGAGGTTGGCGCGACGGGTTACTGAAAGGAGTGAACGAGAGAAAAGTCTCTCTGGTAAAGAACGTGGAAGCCAAAACAGGGCAAGAGAGAGGCAGGGTAGATAGAGAGGTGAAGCGAAGTGAAATGCAGCGTCCGGTCAGTTCTGCAACGGGATGAAATGGTTATGCAGGATTGAAAGGGAAACGGAAAGGAGAGACGACGAGGCAGCTTTCTGGGCGCCAGGCACTCGGCCGCTGGGCATGGGGCTGGTTGGGCGGGCCATTCTTTGTGCCCCCGTAGGCTTAGCTTTCAGGAACAGGCCTAGCCTGGAGCGTCCCCCTGCCCCATAACTGGCCCGCGCTGCACCACAAAGAAATTGCGGCTCCACAAGCGGCGCCTTCGATCTGCCGCTAACAAGCTGCTTGACCCAAGTTGTTTGTCTACGATTGCGAGCTCCGCTGTCATTGGTTCTGCCTCTGCTCGAACAAACGAGTCTGAGGACAAAGCGACGGCCATCACGCTACCAACTGTGACTGGCCATGAACCGTCATTGCGAATGGCATCTACCGTTAAGATGAAGCGGGCAAGCGAAAGTGAGAAATGACCGACGACGATCGCTGCGGAGGTGACGAGGTAGCTAATCAGCGGGAGATGGGTCATGGAAGAGCCAGATGGAGCAGATCCAAGGTTCTGATAAGAGGCCACGCAACCCAACGCGAATGCATCTTGCTTGGTTTGGCAGACTGGATACGTACAAATTTCCCATTCGCGCAGCAAGCAGCATGAGTGCAACAGCTGCAAGCAGACCGCTGCATCGGAGCATCACGCTGGGTTGTGGAGGCACGAGTCGTGCAAAAGGGGATATTGGTTGCTGGTAACTGCCCATGTGAAGACGAAGCGCGCGCTGGAAATGACGACCAACATTCGAGGTCGACTTTTACGTGAGGTGTTGAACATGGTCGACTGTCCTCGTTACCATGGATGAAGCATCCTGCAGGATTGGGCAGTGACCAAGGCATTCCCATAACGTTGTTCTCCATGCTGTTCACCGTGCTTGCGATCTCGTCATGGCTTTGGTGCCCTGGCAATGCTGGGAAGAAACATCGATGTCGTCTGGAGCTCTGAAGCATAGCAGGCCCAGCTTGCCGAGTGGGTTCTTGTCTGTCGTACGCGGACAGATATGGTTGCTGCTGAACTTTGTGCAACCCCTGACATAGCGAATATCAACGTGTTTTTGCTCCCCTGCAACAATACCGCAAACGAGTCGGGCGACCCTGAAACTCCAGTGGATGATCGCTCGCGCACAGTATCGCATTTTACCTCGCACAACAGCAGCGCGATGACAGATCTGGAACACGCGTCTGGCATATTGGCAGCAGACGCAAACCGAAGCTGCCGTGCGCACCCCGGCCACCCTCAGACCTTGAGGTGGAGGGGTTGAAGCACCGATGCCAGCACACCTCACGAACTCAGCTTGTCGTCATGTACTTCTCGCAGTCGCGGTTGCTCGTCCAGACGAATAGCGCTTGAGCACCCGCGACATCAAAATACACGCCCTGGCTGTCAACATGACGATCTTCAAGCCACCACCTCCCGTGTGGCTTCCTGTCAAACTCCTCTGCCGGAACCAGTGGGGGAGAGTCATAGCGGAGAGTGTCGAAGCGACGGTGCCTGTGTCAACTTGTTTCTCTCGGCAAACTTTTAGTGGCTGCAACAGATAAATTAAGTAAGATTTGGCGGTACCTTATCGAACGTCGTCCAACCGCGGCCGCAGATTGCGCCACCTTAAGCGACGCTAGCGGGATAGCGATCGGCCCCAACTGACCGCCCTGGCTACGTGTGTGTTTCACCATTTCCAGGCTTTTCTCGCCCTGCAATTTGGGATGCAGCTGCAAGCACTTTAACTTTTCCTGGTGTTGTTGCATCATGAGTCACGCGAACTCTACCGAACACGAGCGCGGAAATGCTGTTCAGAGAAGAGTTACAGCTGGGAGGGCTGAAGCGGGAAAGAATGCCAAGCAAAGACATGGCAGATCCTGATGTCGTGCAGGAGCCCGAGAAATCTTCCGAGCCACAGCTTCATGGGCGCCTGACATTTGACGAGTACGAGGCTGGCTGGCCTGGCCCGTTCTGACACCATCACCCGTCCGCAAGCTTCTGTCATCTCTGACCCTCGCCGCTGATGACGACAGGAAGCTCGTGGACACCGCGACCTTGCGCTCTGACCTTGGTAGCCACGACGCGAGTATGCCTCTCGGCCTCTCGTGATGTGGGCCCCATGATTTTTCGCGTGATGGTGAACGTCGAGACGTCTGTGGATTTATCGATTGGCCGGCTATCGGCAGCTCATCTCGGTCTTCTGCCTTCTCATGCTGTCAACCCGATTTCATGTCCTGGCTGTGGTCTGTGAAAAAGTATGCCCAAGTCTGCCTGTGAGGTTAGCAGCTGTCCGCACGTAATATAGCCGGTGCAACGAGACTTGTTGGGGAGGCTCCATCTCTGAGCTCAAAGAGTTGCTGAAGCATATTAGACAGGTCGGTGGAAGCCACTCTCTGGGGGATAGCGCGGACTGCGACATCATCCTCGGTGACCGAAATGATGTATGACAGCTCAACTCCAAGCTGAGGTGGCAGGCTTGATTGCCTTCACTGGAACAGAGTCGTCGTTCGAAGTGGCGGCATCGCAAGGTAGTTTTGCACAAGAATCACCGCGGTGGCGGTACAAAAACAAGACGATTGTCCTCCCTGGTCGTTCATTCCAGGATTACCGAAAATATCATTCCAGACAGTACTTCGTCCTGACCCACGAGTTAGCGTGTACTAGCCAGCACATTCCTACAACGACGTGATCCAACACAAACGACCAGTCGCCGATCGACCAACCCATGGCCAAAGCCGCACTCAGTTCACCCTGAACACCGTTGCTAAAATGCAACAATTTCTCGACCAGCCGTGCCAAACGCGTTGTTTCCAATGACGCGGGCAATCCTAGGTAGTACCCGCCCAAAGTCACTTGATGAACGCCGGCCCACCCAATAAATTGACAATCGTCACTTTTTATTCTGGACAGGCGTCGATGCTATTGCTAGCACCACGACCAGACTCGCAATGATGAGCGAGCCTGTTATGAATGAGACTGCGAAGATGCTCCCGCGACTGGCAGGAAATTTGCCCCGTATGATCCAGTATTGAGACTCGAAGTAGCGATGAAACCCAATGAAGAGAATCACTATAGAGACTGCGATGAAGGTTGCCCCAAGTGGTTTGCCCACATGCCGCATCCTCGCAGCGCCGAGTTCAGGGTTGGTACCAGTCTCGGCGCTCCCGTCGCCGCTCGAGGCCGCAATGCCCGCGGCTTGGTGTTGCGACAGACCCGTCGGTGGCAGGAGAAGGATCTGGTCGAGGAGCGTCGGACCCAGCGTCGGAGGGCTCGTTGGAGCCGACATAGATGCAGCGACCTGCTGAAGGAACGGTAGAAGTTCGGCTGGCACGGACTGTCCGATGAGCGGCGACAAAGGTATCGTCTGGCTGACACTCGACGTCGACTGGCTTTGACCGGACAAAGAACTATTCAGGCGAAAGAGTTGTGTGACTGCTATGCCAATGCTAGCGAATGCTAGACTCGTCCTCAGCCAAGCCAGAAAGGTCCTTTCCAAAGCCAAATGATCGCGAGCTACCGAGCCTTTGTTTTCTAGTGTGACTGAACCATATTTTTCGGATGCGCTCTTGAACCATTCGGTCACCCGGTTTCTCTTGTGCTCTTCCTCATCGCCGTGTTCGTGGGGAGCATCGTTGGGGTTCACGAGGGTCGATGAGGAGGGCTGTGACGCAGTAGTCGCGGTTGTTCTCGTGCTCTGGGAATTGCTCTCATTGGTGGTGTCGTAACGACGCTCTGTCTGGTGCTCTACTGCTCGAATTGGAGTAGACTCGTCCGACTCGCTTTCGGCCCTCCGGTACGACGACATTGGGGATTGAGAATGAGTTTTGGTCCCCTGCGAGAAACGAACGCTTGACTGCCGGCGGGGTGTTGGGAGCGCAGATGGAGTGGAGCTGGGTTGTTGAGAGCCATTGCGGTTTTGATCTTGCATCGCCATGAATTAGAGCTAGCACAGACCAGTGTCAGCGACAACGCCGACTAAGATTGACGAGAGGCCTCCCGCTGCAGCTCCGGCAAGCATCAAAGGGAGATCGCGAGACGGAATTCGATAACGTCCGTGCGTTCGGATCGTCTTCGAGACCGAACGGGAGTCACTGATTGGGTAGTTGAAGCGGTGATGGAGACCCGCTGGGTGTTTATGAATGTCGTGCGAGGACCCAAGCTATGGCGTGATTTCGAGGATACGATATCAGAGGTCCTAATTAGCTTTGGGTGGATTAGCGAAAAGAGATGCTGTGAAAGGCTTGTGATTCGAGTGCCATGCTTGCGATACTCGAACTACGAGCTACAACCGGCATCGTGGTTAATTACTGTGCGTACTCCGTACCTGAGAATGAAATCATCGACAAGTCAGAAAGCGGTGAGATTGGCGACTTTTCGTGGAGAGCTGCGTCATTAGTGAGAAAGCTCCGCGCACTCACCCCGTCCTTCTTTACCTAATGAGGCTGCTTAAATGGCGGGGAAGACGCCTAACAGCCGAATCCTGGAGCCTGATATAATACGATGCCGGGGTGCTGCAGGCTACCACTGTGTCTGCCGCCACTACTCCGTATGGTTTCGTCCTTAAGAAGGCTTTCTTTTGGAGATGGCATTGAAAAAAGGATCTCACCTGGGAATCCCTGATAAGAGCCTTTTCGCCCAAAACAAGCACCATGGCAGATATCGCGACTGACACAGCGGTGCGGAGGAATGAGTCGCGCGCTGGGTCGACAACCAGTGTCGTCGCTGGCCAACCGACGGAACAACTCCAGGTTGAAGAGGCCAACGATGAACAGGTCCAGTATCCTACCGGGCCGCAGCTATGGCTCAACGCTGGGGCGATGATGTTGGTCTGTTTCTTGCACGGGCTGGATCTGACTATTGTTGCTCCTACCGTGCCGTCTCTAACGAATGAGTTCAAGACCGTCGCCGATATAGGCTGGTACTCTGCCGTGTACGGCCTTGTGTTGAGCGCGACAAATTTCTTCTTTGGAAAACTGTACACTCTATTCGATCTCAAGAAAGTCTACGTCGCCTCCGTGGCCACATTTGAGCTGGGCTCGGTGATGTGTACCTTTGCTCCCAGCTCGATTGTGTTCATCCTGGGCCGCGCAGTCGCTGGTATGCTGCTTTGCTATGCCTCCGCCCCCAATGCAGTGCTACTGCAACTGCTGACGTCTATTGATGTTACCAGGTCTTGGGGCAGGCGGTCAGGGTACGGTAGAGACGGGATGTGGTTTTGACTATCATGCGCTCACAGCTTTCTTCAGGTATCGGAGTCATGACTTTCATCTCTCGCTCGTTTCCAGTTGAGAAAAGGCCGATGATGAACGGCATCATGGGTTTTGCTCAAAGCTTTGGTTTGGTCAGTGCACCCGCCATAGGAGGCGCTCTCATCGATGCCTTCAGCTGGCGAGTCTGTTATGGTATCAATATCCCGCTCGGGGTCATTGCCATCCTCATTTCGCTATTCTGGATGAAAGACTTGTTTCCCAACCCAGACCTCCAGCTTCCTCTGCCTGAGAAGCTCAGGCGTCTGGATCCGGTCGGCACGATCCTCGTCCTGCCTTGTGTAGTATGTTTGCTGCTCGCACTGATCTGGGGAGGTACAAAGTTCGCCTGGAATGACTGGCGAGTTATTCTACTTTTTGTCCTGTTCGCGGTCCTGAGTGGCGCATTCGGCTATGTCCAATATCGTCAGCAGGAAAAGGCTATACTGCCGCCGCGTATTATGAAGAATCGGACCGTGCTTGCAAGCGCCGTTTTCTCCTGTTGCACCAATGGCATTCTTGCAGTCACCGAGTACTATATCGCCATCTATTTTCAGGGTGTGCAAGGGTACAGCGCCGCGAGGGCGGGTCTCTTAGGTCTCCCGATGATTGTTGGACTCGCCGTCACTTCGCTGTTGGCTGCTTTGAGCACAGGCTGGATCGGGTATTATACACGTAAGTTCGCAGCTGCAATCGACGATTTCGCTGACTTGGCCAGCATTTCTGTTTGCTACCAGCATCTTCGCACCGATTGCTTCCGGCCTGCTAACCACCTTGGATCTGGACGACAGTCCGGTCAAGGTCGCGGCACTGTTGGGCTTCCTGGGGGTTGCTGTCGGCGTAAGTTCTATCTTTGTTATAAAGCTTTTCCCGATGGTCTTGGCTGCAGAGGGTGTGGACTAACGGAGCTTCGCAGTTTGGCATCCAGCAACCTGTCACGGCGATAATGACGGTGTTATCGCCAAAAGACATCCCCTTAGCAGTGGGCGTGCTCGCGCTTGGTTCTGGGCTTGGGTCGTCTGCATTCATTGCGACCTCTGCGACTCTCTTCCAGAACAGACTGGTGGTCGAGATTGCCAAGCACTCTCCTGGCACCAACACAACAATCCTGGACGATCACGGCTTGTCTGACCTGCGCAAAGTGCTGGGCCCGGATCGCTTGAAGGACGTGCTTTTCGGTTACAACGAAGCGGTCATCCAAACGCTGTATCTTCCGCTTGGACTCGGGCTGCTAACCATTGTCGGTTCAACATTGACAGAAGTCAAATCTGTTAAGAAAAAGGACTAGGGTGGTGGTAGCGGACTGGTGATAACTGGGTAGGGTGTCGTCGCAAGCTCACGTTGACAGTGATCATGGTGCCCCGGTTTTTCACTATGTGTCTACGCGACAGAGGTTGCCGGCTGTCAGATCCTCGGACAAGCCAACACTGCTACAATCAGTACCGACCAGTCACTATACAGTTACAGCACATGAATTTGACGACAAAGGAGTTCGACAAGGCCGAATATCTGGAAAGGTGTGCGTTCGATAAGATGAGGCTGTCTATCATGATACCTCGTACGCACTTCCAGCCGAAAGCCTCACCCCAGACAATCCTTACACAGCAGCCGCCTAGCACCTGCTTCGTAGCATCGTCGGAGTCTCTTCTGAACTTCTGAACTGTCCACGCGCAGAAGCTTGGCTCCAGCATTAGCTTCCCTCTCTGACGTACTTGTCCTCAGCATTACTGGATATGCGAATCGCCCTCTGATCGAGATGACACCCTCGCTTACCGCTCGGCGTGAAGCTTTTCTCGTCATCTGCCTTCCCTTGCCCGCAACAATGGTGGCAGGGGGGCAAAGAGATGGAAGAAGAAGAAGACGACGACATTTTCTTATTGAAGTCAGTATTACGCAATGAATTCAAGTCCAGCTCACCGTGTATCGCCTTAGGCATCCTTATACTTCCGCGAAAAGCGACTACAGAAGCCTGATTTCATAGCTCTTGGCTTCTCTCCTGTTCCCAAAGATTCCTCTTCGCCATCCAAGGTCTCAAACTCATATCCATTGAACTTGGACAATGGGATTGGTCAGACCCTGTCGCTTACAAAAACCGTTGAGCAGATCCGCGCATGTGAAATTGACTTGGGTCCCCAAACGAGCATGCGGAGAAAGACGGATTTCTTGTTTGAGCTGCAGATGGACTTCTCTCGTCCACGAAAGAGGTGATTCGAACGCCAAGTCACCCCAGACATGTGGTGCTATTAGTTCCCATGGCCAAGGTCTGGGGAAAGCCAAGTGGAGAAGAGCTGGTGTTGATCAAGGCTCCTGCAGGAATCTGTGACGGAAAGGCCCAGCGGCATGACCATGACGGGCTTAAAGCTCCTCGACATCATTCCGCCATGAGATAGACGCCTGAGCCCAGTCAATTAGTCTGTAGTCGGCCTGACATTTGCCGCCGTTTGCATCAGGCATGATCTTGGCGACTCCCTGCAAGGCGGGTCTTCAAAGTAGTCCCCGAAGAGGGATGACCAGATGCATGAGACCATTTAGGATGCGTGGGGTGTGGACGAGCACCATAAACGGGCACTCGTACTCGTATGGGAAGTTACGAATGAGGTTGACTGACGTCAGAATGAGAGGCAGCCTGAGATAGACCACATTCTGCCGTTGCTGGTTGTGATGGAGAAACGATCCAGCAGTGTCTTAGACTTGGTTTGACAACGCCGTGATGTCAACCTTTGAGAATCGCAGCGCCAGTCGCTCGGAACTAAGCCAGCCAAGACAGGCTAGAGAAGTGCCGATCAAAGCCCTCGTTTTCGAGATGGCTTCTGTGGCTCTGAGCGATCAGTAACGGAAAAGTGAAATCCGAAATAAGCTTGAATCCAGCGACATACATTGCAGGGTCGAATGATCTGCCGTATTGCCAAGCATCACGGCTTGGCATAGATTCCCGAGATTTCCCGACGGCAACAACGCGTTCACTTCCTGCTTAAAGATCGTCAGCAAGGCGTCAAGGACGACTTGATCATTTTCTAACCCTGCGCACAGACGAACACCCTGCTCTGCCTCGTGACAATGAGGCAAGCCTCGTTGCCGCTGGAGAACCTGCGGACGTGGGCTCACTTCAACGACGTCAGGCTTTTCGAAGCTTCAATCGAGCCCCGCATCGTTGGTGAGGATGGCAACGAGAAGGGTGGCGGCTTGCAAGCCGACGCCGAGCATGGGCCAGGGAAGCCCTTCGTCGCGGTGCCCCTGGACCTTGTCCTGTCCAAAGAGCGAGTTGAGCAATGTGCGAAAGCAGACCAACATTTGAAAGGATTGATCGAAGCTGCTCCGTCCTTGTTCAAGGTAGGTTGCAGGCGGTGGCAGCTCTGAAGTTCCTCTCAGGTAGGTGCTGCACAATAGACTGATCATCGCGATTACATGGCAGACTCCGCGCACGGCAGTGCTTTTATTCCTTGTCTACCAGATGACCATCAACTGCCCTGATTGTCAGGGCCATGGCCTGGGCGTTAGCAATCCTTTTGCCGACTATGTGAAAATGCTACCGCACGACATTCTGCTTCCCACCTTTTACACATCAGAAGAGAGGGATTTGCTTTCCGGGACGTCGCTCTCGGATGCGCTTGAACAAAAATTGATCAGCCTCGAACGCGAATTTGACAGTCTAAAAGCCTTTACAGCAGAGATTCCTTGGTGCCAGAAGATCTGGTGGGATGATCGCACGGGCTGTCTGTCTGTTGAGGACTGGAAACTAGCAGATGCCATGTACCGGTCTCGTGCACTCGAACTACCACGCGGCGCCGGTCTGGGCATGGTTCCCGTAGTGGACATGGCGAACCATGCCGCCGACGAGCGGTACAATGCTAGATTCGAGGTTGATGAAGAAACACAGTCAGTCTTGTTGGTTGCACGAGACAACCGGACCGTCAAACGAGGTGACGAAATCACCATAATGTATGGCTGCGGAGGCGCTTGTGAGATGATTTTCTCATATGGTTTTCTGGAGGAGCACGCGAGCAGCGCAAGGGAGATGTTCCTTGGTTTGTCTATCCCAACCGACGATCCACTGCGTGTGGCAAAGATCCGATTTGCTCAAGAAGCCCCTGGTGTCCGCATCTACGTTGATGACTCAGATCAGGTACATTGGGAAAGCACGTTTGTCTGGTGGGCCTGCGTCAATCAAGAAGACGGTCTGGATTTCCGAGTGGAGCGCACGCTCGACGGAAACATGGAGCTGCAGGCTCTATGGAAGGACGAAGAGCTCAATGCAGCGGCGCTGCAGTCAACCTTGGAGAATGATCGTCTCCGAGATGTGTTCGTCCTGCGTGCGGTAGTCATGATTCAGGAAAGGGTCGAGCAGCAAGGCACAAAGCTCGCCACGAGTGAAGGTGATTTCCAAAACACGCTCGTCGGCAATCAAGTCAGAGTCCCTGTCTATCAAACAATCGGAAGACTCCGGACCCTGGAAATCGAGCTTCTTGCTCGTGCCTACGAGATGCTAGACACAGAGGTAAGTCGTAGCGACTTGGCATGATACGTCCCTGACCGCTGTACAGAAGGCAAATCTCCTTGAATCTAGTGTCGTCCGCACTTACCTGGGAATTGGCCAGCCTCCAACAACTGAATCCACCGGAATAGCCCCAGAAGATTTCTCATAAGAACACATTCACAGTACGAGTTCAATCACACCACAAAGCATGAGATGCAGAGTGCAAGGGACAGCCTTGTCTGAGCTCCTCGAATTGCGTCCCAGGTCGTCGCGGATAAGATCGGAGCTGAGCACGTGCCGGGGTACCAAGTGGCGGGACAAGCGGAATGCAGAGGACAAATTTAGCATTGCTGCATATCTGCATATCAGGTGGGCTGACGCATGCCTCGCCTGCTAGTTGATAGTCGACACCCTACTCGTAACCACTGCCCCTCCCTTCCTTCACGAGTCAAGTCGGCTCTCGTAATGTGAGAGTCACCTTGTCCTTGTTTCGGTATTCCCCGACGTTCCGCTCGTTCACCCACCTCTTTGCAGAACCTATGCAGCGTCGCAAACCGTTGAGGTACTGTACTCGTGTCGATAAGGGAGATGTTCAGCTGGTGGCGCGTCGTCGTCACGAGTAGTGGACAACAAGCAGGCTGGTGGTGCTAGGTACGTACTAGGGCTCGTGATCGTCGGTATTGCATTGCATGAGCGACACCAGCGGTTCCGCCTCCAGACTGTGACGACTGGGCCATTTAAGCGAAAAAGGTAGCAACACTCGATTCACTTCGACTTTCGAGATACTCGAGCACTCTTGCTGTCATCGTTCATTCGTCTTGGGGGACCAACCTTTCTCGGCGGCCAATGCTCGGATGGAGGGAAGAATGACGGAGGGCACACTGCAATTGGCTGAGGAAGGCTGCAGAAGCGTGGCTGCGTCAAAAACATCGACTGGGAACGACACGATTCGCTCTCTTCCATTTGCCGCTCGAGATGTGGATATTTACCGCCGTGCAGGTTTGCGGGGGGGCGGTGGAAGAAGAAAAGCACAAGAGTGAAGGCTTGAGCAGATTCAGCAAGTCGGAGCGCTCAGCTTACTCGGCTCCAGTTGGGAGTGGTGGAAGGCTGGATGGTCAACCGGACATCACGGACAGTGCCATTCTTTGGGCGTCTCCGGAGAGGCTAAGCCCCGCCCACTAGTCCCCAGCAGGCTACCCTAAGCAGAGTCTTGCAGGTCTCGGGATTCAACAAACAGCCCACTGGGACCCCGCGCTGTTCTTTCCTCAGGCTTCAGTCCCCAGGCCCCAGGCCGCCCCGCCCTTACGAGTGACGGCCCACAAACTGCACCGTTGACCGTGATTTCACCCCAGAGTCGATCCATGACTTTCTGGTCCGAATTCGCTTCAGCAAGACTCGAGCAAAGTCAAAACGCCATTCAGACCACCTCTGAATCCGGGCTCGACGCTTGACCGCAGACTATTCTGCACATCCTTAGTTCATAATCCCCTGCGAAGTCTCGGCGTCCGCTCCCTGGCCACTGGCGACGACTGCCACTCCTGCAGCGTCCAGTCAATTCTTTCCCAATCGATATCCGCATCGCCCTGATCTCCTCGAGGGATCTCTGGCCTGTCTCGAGAGTGGCATGTTGTCATAAGCCCTGCCATCTCCTGCATCTGTTCACACTTCCCCGGAAGTTCTGGACTCTTTCCTAAACAATTCCTTCTGAAGCTCCACTAGACCGGACCACGATTCCATTGTACCTGCGTATACTTGTGCCATATCTGAAATACACCTCAACGAACATACACTTGGCAACATGCCTGGTATACTGC